CCACTACATACCAGACACTTGGACCGATATTTCGGGTCAATTACAATGTTGCTGTCCTTGGGAGCCTCCCTGGTGGTCTAGGTATTAAGTCTCAGCACCATCCCTGCTACGGCCTGAGTTAGATCCCTGGCCAGGGAGCTACCCACATGGCGCAGCAGACCTCTCCTATCTCACCCGCTGCCCCCCTCAGCAGTGGGTTTCAGTAGATCCACTTATTCTGCACCCCACTCTGTCTCTGATGAATCCTCTCACCACCACCACCACCCGCACCTCCGCCTGCACCCCAGTTCTTCTACTCAAAAATTAAAAAAATATTTTTTTTAAAAAACACATCATGTTTCTGTCCTTGGAGCATGAAATCCAGCAAGCAAGCAAGAGCAATTCATGTCATCCATTCAATAATGACACCCTGCATGGTGATGAGGCGCAGGTAGCTTTGAGGTACAAAGAACGTAGCAGTGACCACATCAGATCAAGTCCCTGCCCTGCGCAGCTGCCCCGGTAAAGCGGCAGAGGGAGGGCAAATACTCAGGAAGTAAAAAAATGAGAAAATTTCATAACAGACCAAAAAACACCTCCTTTCTGGGGAGGTGGCCCTGTCAGTGCAGAGGCAGCGTTAGGGAGATGCCCCACGCCAGGGCTGTCTGCTTCCTCACCTAGTGCCCATGAAGCCCTGGGTGAGTGATGGAGCTAATGAAGAGGAGGTTGGTAGTCTTCCGTTCTCCTCGCCAAGTCCTTCTGTCTTAGCTGAGACATTTAAGGGGCATCGGACCCATGTGGGTGAATTACTCAGTCACGCTGGGCTCTCCCGGACACGCTACACAGGAGGCATGCATGTCATTAAGAAACGCCCTTTTTGGTTTTTTTCTCTTATTGGTCAGTCTGATGCTTGCTTGACTCTATGCCAGCGTAGAAGAACCCAGGGGGGCACTGCCTGACAGCAGGAAGGTGGCAGTGCCCCTGGCAGGTGCAGGACAGCTTGCACTTTTGGCAACAGTGCTCAGTCTACCTTCAAGTGTGCCCAGATGAGGCCAAGTGCACAGCCCCCTGTGCTGTGTGCAGTGGCATCACGGCTGACCCAGCTTCAGGAACACAGGGCTCTGCCCAGCTGCTGTGAGCGTTGCCCGCAGACAGACGCCCTCATCAGCCCCCTCCAAGGAGCACCATCTTCCAGAAGCTGGTGTCCCATCTCTGGGCAGCCCACACCCACGCTGAACAGCGGGGGGGGGGCTTAGCAATGTTGAAGATCAGCCTGTGTCCCTAAAAGGCCAGCAGAGAACCCCAGAACACTGCTTGACCTCTCCCTCTTCCCTGCCCTGTGTCCTTCCCAATCCCCTCCCACCCTCCTCATCCCGGTCCCTGAGAAATGAAAACTCCATCTCAGAGTCTACCCCTTGGGAACCCCACTGGCAACATATATTCAGTGGGAGACACTCTGGCTTTGGACTCAGACTGGCTTTCCAGCACCACCGCTTACTTGCCATGCGACCTTAGACCTTTTAAAGCTCAGTTTCCAAATCTGTAAAGTGGACAAACTCTTGCCCCCTCACAGGGAAGTTAGTTGTGGGCATTAAAATATGGAAAGTCCTTTAGCACAGTGATGGACGTAGTTGGTCACTGAATACATAGGAATCCTAAAATATGCCATTCGATGGCTCTGCCATTAACAGGCTGTGACTTGGGACAGTGTCTTCCTCTCTCCAGGCCTCCACATCCTCCTCTGCAAAGGGTTTGGACTTGGAATCACTCACCGGGGGCACTTTCTGCCCGCCCTCCCTCGCTGCACAGGCGCTCTGCTGAGCACTGTACTTTTTTCATTCTCCTGCTGGGTTTTCATTCTCCTGCTGGGTTTTCTGTCTCTTGCTGGGTTTTCATTCTCCTGCTGGATTGCTACTTCCTAATTCCCACCATCTTCCTCATTCTACAGGGTCTATCAAGAGGCTGAGAAATCTGGCCCCAGGGCGCTCAGCGGGTAAGTGAGGGCACAGGTTTGGAAGCCGGGCAGCGGGCTTCAAGGCCCGTGGCTGCACCGGGAAGCCCCGTGTGTCCCTCGAGGAGCGGGGCATGTTCCGTGCCAGGGCTGACATTCTTCAGGCTCACACGGCCTCCTCTCCAGCTGAATGGAAAACATTTGCAGAAAAGATCATCTGAATCCCGTCAGCCCGCTGGCCCGGCTGAAGGAAGGCAGGGAGCGAAGTCGAGCGAGCTGGCCGAGGACACTCGCTCAGCCCAGCAGCGGTGGGGCAGCCACCTCCACGGCCACGGCCCCGGGTTCATCCGTCGCTGCCACCCTGTCCAGCAGGAGACTGGCGGGGCTGGAAGCTGGGCAGGGGGAACTTGATGAAGCGCCACTCTAGCCCTCGGGGGCAGCCTCTCAACGGCGCCCTCCCCTTGCCCTGGGCTCCGTGGCTGGCACCCTGGGCTGTGCCAGCCATCCAGTCAGGGCTCCAGGTCACAGGCTTTTCCAAAGGGCATTCGAGCTGCCCAGGTGAGATGAACTGGGAACACAGACACACATCTCTTTCCGGGAATCTCTGCCTTGCCACCCAAACACTCAGTCTGCTCCGGGGCTTCTCCAAGAGAAGAAGCTTGGAAAGGAGCAGATGGGAAGCAGGTCAGCTGTCCTGGGAGCATATCCTTGAGGGCCAGCCCCGGGCCGCAGGAGCAGAACGCCCCAGCCCCACCACAGCTTCGAACCAAAGTCTCAGTTTCCTCACTTGAAAAACAGATCTTCCTACCATCTGACTTTCTTGTGAGCATGAAATGACCTATGAAATGTTTGTTATTTAATAGATAAGTCCTTTACTCCTGGAGAGAAAGTACATAAAGACGAGCATTTACACAGGCATGGCGTGCACGCGCGCGCGCCCACACACACACACACATACACACACACTCCATGTCAGAATCACAGCAACACGGCAATACCCTGAAGGCAGAATTATACCCACCCACTGATTGGCGTGAAAGGCGCACACTCAAACGCTGCCTTCCCAATTTGGGAATTCTAAGCACAGATGGGATGTCAGCTCCAACTTCTCTCCAGTTTCCAAGTCACACTTGTCAAAGGCACATTTAAAAATACTGTCACTTCTAATTCTGCCTTGGAAGCATCTACTCAATGCATATACTTGGGCTTATGTAGGTGGGGGGTAATACTCTATTTTTTTTTCTTTTGTTGGTAATTCAAGTCTTGGTGATACAAATGTTTAGCAAAATATGGAAGCGCTGTGCAATCACAAGAAGAGGTTTATACTTTTACTTATTCATATCTCCTTAAGATGCTTCTGACACTTAATATCAAAGCACTCTTCACCCGTAAATAAAATAGGTGATATTTTTCATAAAAGTACTTATGCACAACACGTATGTGATGGAAAAAGCATTGCAATTCCCTGCTGGTAAGTGTAACTAGGCGCTATTGTGGCAATACTAATCTAGAGGCGTCAAATACCAATGTCTTAAACTGAGTCGTTCTACCTTAGAGAATGTGCTCCAGAACATAACTGGATGTTGGCAAGAGCTTAATATGCCAAGATATTCACTGTGGCACTTTCATAGTGAGGAAGAGTCACAATCAAAAGTCCAGCAGTAGGGGCCTCCCTGGTGGCTCAGAGGGTTAAGTCTCAGCACTATGAAGCTATCTGCAAGCCACTGCAGCATGATTTTGATCCCCAGCCAGGGAACTGACCTACATGGTGCAGCAGACCTTTCCTGTCTCGCCTGCTGCTCCCCTCAGCAGTGTATTTCAGTACATCCACCTGTTCTGCTCTCCACTCGGTCTCTGGTGAATCCTCTCACCCCCACACCTCTGGCCTGCAACCCAGCTCTTGTATGCAAAAATAAATAAAATCTTAAAAAAAGACACCAATGTCCAGCAGTAGAGGAAGAGCTGGTGAACTTCCTGTGTCTGTCCGGTCAATGACATGACCAATAATACCAATAACTGTCACCAATAACACTGCCGTGTCTCTACCTGCTTCTCCATCACCAAACTGTGAGCATTGTGTGAGCAGGAAGGCAGACTGATGGGTGGATGAAGGAATGAATGAACACAGGCATTACCCACGAATGCCTGATTTAATGAGATCTAGAACAACTTGGAAATAGACACCATGCCACGAGAGGTATAAATTACAGCAATAACACTCTAGAAACTACACTACCTCAGACCTAACACAGAAACCCAAGGTGATGAGAAGGAAAGAAACCAACTAACATGGAGTAACATTAAAAATAACTGTGTGGTGTTTCCTTCTGAGTTTCTGCATTGAGTTTTCTGCAGCTAACAAGTCATAAAATAGGACCTGCTCTTGAGGTTTGTGTTGAAGAGCAAATGCTTACTTAGCACAGTGCTTAGGACAAAATGAAGGCTTTGTTATATATTGACACATTTCTAAAAATATGGCATCAGTGCTTTTCATGAAATGTGAGATCTGTCTTCTCCCCACCACAAAACCCTAACTAACGGAGTGAAGAAAAAAAAAGTCTAAATCCTCAAAGACAGCAAAAGCAAACAATGGGGAATGAGCAAAGGGCCGCAGGTGAGGGATTTCAATGAATCCTCAGAGAAGGCCACGGGCTGGCACTCCCAGCCACGGCCTGGGCTTGAGATGACTCCTCCTGCATGAGCTGTTATCTGTCCCTTTGGCCAGGGCCGCAATGACAGATGTCTAGAGACCTTCAGACATCATGTCACAGCGCAGGAATAAGGGACGCCTGGTTCTTGGCTGAGCACAGCTGGAGCCCAGGCTGAGCCTCTTGCTTCCTGACTCAGAGAAATCAGGAAGGGGGCCTGCATGGAGGCCTGCCCCTCCCACCTCACCTGCCCAGGGTGCCCTGCACCCACCTCCCCAGCCTTCCTGAGGCAGGTGTGCAATCGATGGGCTCCTGAGTGGATGAAGGTGAGCTGAGGCTAGGAGGAAAGGAGAAAGCAAGCGTGGAGGGAGGGTAGAGAGGAGGGGCGCTCTCACCAGGAGCTGGGATTACAAGGAACTTACCTTTCTCCGGGAGGGTGGGCAGAGCCACCGAGGGGCAAAAACTGGGAGCACCACTCTGAGTAACTGAAAGAAAGGACAAGGCAGCTTTGATTACCCCAAGATCATTGAGTCCTGAAGGTGTTGACAGGTGCAATTTGGGGATCATGAAATTGGACTTGGAGCGGGGCAGACCCACCAAGCTGGACGCCCGGCAGCACCGAGGATGGGTCGGGATGTGAGAGGCTGTGCTGCAGTAACAAATGCAGCATCTCAGTGACCGAAAACAACCACAAAGGTCACTTCACCCTTCAACCATTTGTCCACCACAAGCGGGTCTTTGCCGGGGTGAGGACACAAAGTTCTAGCATGTTCCAGAGACCTGCAGCGAACCACACCAATGGCCACCACCATCACCTCCTGACTCTGGGAACTGAGCAAAGCCCCTCACCTTTCTGGGCCTCGGTTTGCACATTTGTGAAATGGGGATAAGAAAACCTACCTCAAAAACTGCTATGAGGCTAATAGGAGATAAAGCAAAGCTTTGGCATAATGTTATAGGCATAATCCCAAGCTCGACAGAGGGCAGCTATTAGTGCCAGGCAGCATGGCAGGTGGAAGGCCCAGACTTTGAGAGCACAGAGACCTGGACTCCGCCCTCAAATGCCACTGAGTACACCGTGCTGATGGCCTGTTATCTGACCTCCCAAACCCGCCTCTGCACAGGTACCATGAGGACGAGTAGTCGAATGAAGGGGTGACGCACGCATGTGCTTATCTCCTCCCTTGCTCTGCCCTTACCGCACAGATCCAATCTTCAAAGCCTCAGGAGCACACACAGAACCTCCCCATGGCCCAGCTGTTCAAGGGTCAAGGGCAGAGCCCTAGGGTCAGTGGCCCAGGGCAAGACTGGCTTGGCCGCCTTCCTCTGTGTGACCTTGAGCAAGTTTAACCTCGGTTAAACTATCCTGTCCTCGGCTTCCTTGTCTGCAAAGTGGAGCCTGACCCAAGACTTTCCATGGAGGCACATAAGGACAGGAGACAAGGGCAATGTCAAGGTGAATAAGGGCAGCATTTACTCGGGGCTTACTGTCTGCCCAAAGCTTTGCATGAACCAGCTCATCTAACCTCACCACCCTGAGGCAGAACTATGCAAAGCTCTGGGCAGGCAAGTTCCATGCTGGGCCCCAAAGTGCCTGCTTGGGTTGCCTCATACCCTGCCCCTCCCTCGCCTTCTTCACTCTGGCTGAATATGACAAGCCCAGCTTCTCTGAGTTCTAGAACCTCCAGTTGTGTGTGTCTTTCCTGGGGCTCCACCTGCCTGGAGACACCTGCTCGATCATTCCACCGCCCTGGCTCCCGATATCCGCAGACACACTACTTCCCTGCAGGACCTGGGGACACACTGCACCCAGCCCCAACCCCAGAGTGCCTGCCCCAGGCCAGTGTGGAGAGACAGAGATTTGGCATTTCTAACAAGATCCCAGGTGCTGATGGCCCCACGGGTCCAGGGGCCCACTCTGAGGAGTGCTGAGCTCACACTACATTCTGTCAAGGTAACAGGTAACTCTTGTCAAGGTAACTCTGTCAAGTCAGAGTCACCTCCTGGCCCACTGGTTTCTCTGCACCAGCCTGGCACTTGGCACCTGCTGGTTTGCTGAGATCTCTGTCGCCCTTGAAAGAGAGTGGTTCTCAGAGAAAGATCCTGCCAGCAGAGGAGCAGTCTTCAGAGGGCAAGTTAAGTCGTCCATGGGTATCAAGGGCATTCAATGTCCCGGTCCCCAGGCCTGGGAATTCTACCTCTGGAGAGGCATCTTGAAATTCAAAGCCAGGTCAGATTTACACTACACTGATGGGACCCTGGAAAGGGTCCCTGATGGGGACCCTTTATCTACACTGATGGGACCCTGGAAAGTAGAGAAATGTCTCTGGCTGTGAGAACAGTCAGGATACACCGTCATCCCAGGGAGAGTCCAGGTGCAGCTCGCCCCCCACCCCAGAGCTCTTGGCCCCATCCCCGCTGGTTTCACCCAGCCTGTTTCTCACCCACTTCAGTGGACACAACTAGCCTTTCAGGGGAGTCTTCTTCATTGTATAGGAAAAGCTGAACCCTGCGAGTTCTCAGCCCCCTGGGGCACTGAAACCACAACACCCCATTCCCTGGGAGGCCAGAGCCTCCCTTGGGGATCTCCTACTTGCATTCTTACTGTGTCACCTTGAACCAGTGGCCCAGCCGGTTCGCACTTGTTCAACAAATAAATGCCACGCGCTCTGCTCCCCCAACTACTCTCAGGACCGCCGAGTCTGGTGGCTTGAAAGTGGCCATGGGGGAGCATGAACACCCTGGTAAGTGGGAGCCACTACCAAACACGGTGCCCTCACCTTGCCAGCACAGCCCCCAACGGGGTTGTTTTGGAGCTGAGTAAGGCAGTATCTGTGGTGCGCTAGCCCAGGCTGGAGCCAGCTGTGCAGTCATGGAGGCAGCTGTCTCAGGGGTGAGACGCTGCTGCAGCACAGGATGGGGCACCGGGCGACCTCCCTAATGTGGTCACCAGGCGCCACCAAGGGAGCCCACCACTTCCTGTCCAGCTTCTGTTCCCGTATCTGTACCTAGAATAGCTACAAGGTTCAAGTGCACTTGCTTTGCAGAAGAGAGGAATCTTGAGGCTTCGGTGGACATTTTTAGAAACCACATTTGACACTTTGTAAACTAGGCAAAGCCCCTGCCCCACTTGCAGGCACGCAGCGCAGGGGAGAGAAAACCCAGCAGGCTCTTCAGGAAGGAGGTGTCCGCTCAGCAGATGCCTGCCCCTTCCAGGAACTTGCCTCTGGGTGGTGCTCGGCCACACCTGGGCCTGGGCCCCTGCACCCACCCTGAAGTCAAGAACGCTTCCTCCCTGGGTACCACTGCCAGGAAGGGGCTGCAGCAGCCTCATTTGCATTCAGAGTGGCAGCCCTAGCCTCTCAGTTCTGTGCTGAGACACAAGGAATTTCCTAGTGATTTGCAGCCAAAAGGCCAGAAAGTGCATTGCTGGGGGCTCTCCAGGATCCCCTCTTGGCACTTGCTGCTCTGGGTTTGTGCCCTTCCTCCCGGATTCTAGCAGATTCACTTTACAGGTGAACATGCAATGGCCCTTGTGCGGGCATCTGAGCAGGTGTCTGGCCCACCTGCCTCCTCTCCCCACACCCCACTCCCTGAGCTTTCCCTGGAGTGCACTGGGCATCAGTCCTTGGAGAATGGAACCCCTGCTCTTGCTGAGCTCCAGAAGCCCCCAGGCACCCCTACAGCAACATAGGCCATTGCACTGAGTGGCCCTCTGGGCACAGAGTAAGTGTCTCCTCGGGAGGGGGCAGGAGCAGGACCAAGCTCACAGGCATTTATGAGTACAAGGGAAAGGGCTTTCCAGTGGTTTCTGGAAAGAAATTCTTCTTAAGAGGGGTTCTTGTCTTTCACTGCTGCCTCCCAGCAGGGCTCACCCTTTGCACAGGCCCTTCTAGCTCTCCTGCCTGCACAGAGTTTGGCCCTGGCAGGAGCTGGATGACCATGGCTTCCTCACCCTTTCCCCAGAGGGAGTTCTCCAGAAACTGGACCAGGGCTCTCTTCTGGCATTTGGCCCTTGGCCTGTAGCGGGGTCAGCGGCCCACTACCTGGATTAAGTGACAAGTGAGAGAACGAGTAGAAACACATCTGCTGGTCTCCCCCGTGGGCACTGGCACTCTAACTATACTCGGAGGCACCTCCCCCCACCCCCACAGCCTCAACGGAGCTGTCACCTTCTCTGCCCCACCTTCCTGCTGGCTGAGGCTTCCAGTCTCAGCTGGGCCAGAGGCCCCCTGCAATTGAAAGCTTGAAGTCCCTGGAGGGGACTGGTGATGACAGTGAGAAGCTGAAGAGGTTATTGATGCATTCCGTAAACACAGCCTGAGGTCACACTGGCCAGCCTTCCTGTTTTTATCAACAGATGCCAATATATTTCTTTACTGCTTGAGCTGAATCAGTTTCTGTTGCTGGCACCCAACAGAGCCTGGCTGACCCGCCTCCCAGCACAAGAACAGCCCAGCAAAGACACCATGTAGCCCTTCAGGGCAGGAACTCACCAGGCTTCTGGTACCATCCGAAGGGATAGGTGCGGGCTTCAGTGTCGGGGGAGCTGCAGTCCAGCAGGCGCCAGGCGCCTCTGTTCTCCTCACTGCACGTCTGATACCCCAAGTTGTTCAGAGTTAGGCATGTCACCTCTCCCCCTGGAGCAAAAAGGTCAGCAGGATGAGGAAAGTGGCCAGGGTGGAAGATTCCAGATGAGCGAGGGAGACAGAGATCTCATTGGGACACATCACCATAGCCAGGTGTGTGTTCAGCCACTGAGGAAAAGCCTGGTGCCCTGGGGAGCAGGGATGGTGGCAGCTAATACCTCACTGAGCACCCACAGGTGCCCAGGGCGGTGCTGGGCTCTGCCTGCATTCTACTGCTAGGCCCCTACACAGCCCTATGAGGAGGGTCGCCTTGTGTCCCCGTGCAGAGGAGGAAACTGAGGCTCAGAGATTGAGTGACTTGTCCAGGATCACTCCAGTGGACCTGAATCAAGAACTAAATTCAAACCATGTGGATGGAGCCAAAGTTCACCCACATCAAATGCCGGAACAAGGCTGGACAGGAGAGCAGGAGACAGTCACACCCCAGCCCGATGAAGCGCTGGTGAGGCGACAGGCCCGGGGCGTGCGTCCTCAGGGCACTTCCCACCTGCGCAAGGGGATGGCTCCTCCCACCAACCATGAGGAAGGCTGGGACTGGACAACTCCATGGACATGAGGGGCTTTCTGGATGGCGCCCTATGCGCAGAGGGCCCCGCCCTTACCTTTCAGCTGGGAGACATTGAGGAAGCCGAAGCCGATGCAGCACGGGTCCAGGTCACACAACCGCTCGCACTCGAAGAACCTGGAGCAGGAAGTGGAAGAGCAAAGCCAGGTGTTCCAGGTGGCCCAAGAGCAAAGCCAGGCGCTCATGGGTGGCCCAAGAGCAAAGCCAGGCGTTCATGGGTGGCCCACCTACTGGGCGGGCTGAACCGCCACCTGATCTGGGGCCTCCCCAACCTCCTACATGGGGTGCCTGGGCCAGTCTTCCAGGGTGGATTCCCAGCTTGGTTCTTTCCAAAACCCAGATTCTCCCGTCTCAGGACAGCTGCCTCGCCCTTCTTCACGCGTCTGCTTACTCAGCAGATCCGCTGTGCCTGTGACGGGCGGGGGTCAGAGCCAGGCCACCTCAGGGCTGACTGTGCTGACCATCCCGTCAGGCGGGGAGAAAGCCCCAGCTCTGGACTCTGGGGAAAGGGAAGGGTGGGCCGGGTGTCTCCAGGGGCAGGGGTTCCAGTCCAAGTGACCCGCACAGGTGCCTGCCCGGGGCCAGGGCGCTGAGCCTGTGCTCCCCAGCCTCTCCTTCCATGCCTTCCCCTGGGCCCTCACGCGCAGAGTGAGCCTCTGCTTCCTGGGACCCGGCGCTGGGCTCTCACTCAGGACCTACTTTGCTCAAGAACTTGCTGGATCTCCCTCTCAGCTTCAAGGACCAGTCCTGGCAGGAGTAACTTGGTGGCTCCAAACCAGTCCCCCAGGCTCTGCCCTAAGACCCCTGCGCTGGCCACTCAGTTGGGTTCTGGGCACTTGTTCTGATGCCTGAGAGTTCACTGGAGGCTGCAGTTTCTAAGAGGTGTGGGGACCCCTTTTTGTTCTTGCTGTTCCCCTTCCCATTGGAGCCCCGGAAGCCAAGTCACGTCCAGGGAATACAGCCTCCCTGTCTCAGGCAGCTGCTGCGGGGCTGGCTGCCTCTCCACCCAGATCCTGGGGACCACCTTCCCATTTTTCCCTGTCTCAGAGTCCAGCCACCCGCCATTTCTTTCCCTTTCTTGGGGTCCATTGCTAAGCCGCACCCTGACAAGTGTGCTTCCCCACTGAACTCCCTCTGCTGAGCCCAGACACAAGCTCTGCACCCCCAACCCTGGCACCCCAGCACCAGGGTCAGGCTGATCCCTGGGTATGCCCCTCAGTTTCATCCCTGCCCCTCAGCACAGGCACCCAGCGAGACCTCAAGACAGACTGTTCCATACCATTGTTTTATCTGCACTTTCAAAAGTAGATTTTATATGCCAGCAACATGCCAGCTTCGTAAATCAATCCCATTTCCTAGATCAGTAGTTCCTGCCCCTGTGCCTCTTGAATTCTACAGGATGGGAATTCAGATTGTTGAGCCACACCCCAGGAAATGCTGTTTCAGCGGATCCTGGGATGGGGCTTGGAAAGAAGCTCCTGGAGGCTGGCGGAGGGTCCACAGACTAGAGAGAAGCATCACCTTCACCTATACAACTAAATAACAGCTTGCTGGACATAACATTAAGAATGGACATTTTTAAAGTAATAAATAAAAAAGCTTATATGTATATGATCCTCTTAGAAGCTCCAGTGGCTGCCCAGATTCTACACCAACACAGACACGCCTTGCTGTCAAGCTCGCTGTGCTGGATGATCACCTTATTCTTGGGGGAGACATGGCTCTATGCTCCCCTTTGGCGTCAGCTGAGTCAGGGCCTAGTGCTGTGTTTAGTGTCAGTAACCCACTTAGCACCCTCCTTAGCTGCACTTACCTCCCACCCCCTTGTATATCCTTTACATTGGCTTCTACAATTCTTTATGCTTTTGAGTTTAACTGATAATATGGCGCCTCCTTTTGGGGGCAGAAGGCCCTACGGTGAACATTAGCAGGGTGGGGGCAGTGAAAGGAAGTGGCTTACCCATTGGAAATGGATTTGTTGGACATGGACACTTTGCTTCTAATGGAAACCCCTGTCAGCTTTCGGAACGGCAGGCGGGTATAAAAGTTGTCCACTTTCTCCTTCAGTACAACTACACAGGAGAGAAAATACATTATTTAGAGACATCTAGAAAATCTGGAAACAAAGGTGAAAAACCAGGTTGAAAGCTTCTGGTTAAAGAAGGCATGTGCAATTCACATATTTATTTTCTGTCCCTACCCCTAACCTCATTAATAGCAGGTACATACACCCACAAGAATGAGGGGCAAGGAAGGGAAATTAGAAAGCACAAAGAGGAAAAAAAGTGACTTAATAAACCAAAAAAAAGCTTAATCCTCAACTTCTCTGTGGGAGAAAAGCAAGAATAATCCAAAACGCCTTCTGGAATCCCTAACAATTTAAGAACCGGAGACACCGGGATGAAGGTGGCCATTTCCAGAATTGACTAGAAGTGTCCCCCAGAAGCAATTAGGTATCCAGTTTCCTCCTCTGCTTGCTCAGCTAACAGCTGCCCTGCTCCCACCACAGAAGGCGGAGCTGTGTTTTCAAGAGGGGGTGGGGTGTGGGGCTCCTGGGGATTCCTTCAAGTCAGCCCACATGAAGATGAAGATGAGACTCTTCATCTTCCAGCTTTGTTTGGCACCCAAAGCACTGCTCCCGGGTCAGACGTAAGGAGATTCCTTGGGAGGAAGGGCCTAGAAACACTGCATGAGGGATGCCCCAGAGGCAGGAGATTGTCCTACCAGAAACCTGACCTTAGCAATTCCCACCACCCCCTGCAGCCTCTGGATCAGCTGCTGAGCCCTCCTGACATCTGCGTGGAAAACCAAAGGCCACACAGTGAATGCAGGACGTGGCACCTTGGAAGACACAGTGCAAGGTGAAAACTACTCCCCCAAATAGCATCATTAATGTCCCTGGGAAGAAGGCCAAGTGCCGTCCTGGCAAAGCAGCCCTGGCTGTTCTGCAGTCTGCAGCTGGCCGGAACCCTGGCTGACAGGAGCCCAGCCGCTTTCCCTGAGGAGTGGCCTCCAGGGCAGGCTTAGTCCCGACAGTCAACCTGATCATTTCTGCCACTTTAGATCTCTACAAGGAGCATGCATACCTTTATTTTACAAGGAAGCAGCAGTTGACCTGGATATTTCTGAAACCACAGAGCCAGCAGCCCACTGGAAATGCAGCCCACAGAACCCACCAAGCACTCACCTTTCTTCCGGAACAGGGCCTGTGGCCTGTGGGGCAGGACAAGCCTGCAGCCCCTGGCACTGGACTCCATGGCACCGTCACACACCTGGGCCTCAGGATAGAGGGTGCAGGTGAAGTAGAGGGGAGCACTGTCTGTTATCTCCACCAGCTGACAGAAAGTGGGCTCCTGGACACAGCCTAAGGCAGAACAGAGTGAGATGTAAGTCCTTGGGAGGCCTGCTGGGGAGGTTCTAGAATAACCTGGAAAGAAAGACTGGTGGGGATTCTTCTTAGGCAGGGCACAGGCCTAGTCTGGAAAGTCCAAGAAAAACACTTGTTCTGCTAGCTGGGGAGAGGTCCGCCTGAGAAACAGGGAGTCTGCAGTTCTGCTAAAGGCAGAGATGGTGAGGTGTCAGCGAGAACAGCCGCACAGGAGGCGAGAGGAGATAAGCCTGTCAGATCTACCCAGCATCATCTCAGGGTCAGTCAAATATCTTCAGACCAGAGGCCACAGAAGGGTCCAGACTTTGTGAGCCATCTTTCCTGCTCCCACTCCCACATCTGTCTTTGCCACTGGCAGATGTGAGCTACCTGACAGGAGAAGTTGAGTCATGTTTTTGTTTTCTCATCTCCCAGATCAAACACAAGCCCCAGATGCTCAATAACTTCCTGCCAAGTGATGGACAAATGGATGGACAGACAGACAGACGAATAGGAGGATGGAAGGGTGGAGGGATGGGCAGGCATGTTGTTAGGTGGGTGGGTGTGTGAGTATATAAATGGGTGCATGGGGGGCCTCCCTGGTGGTGCAAGGGGTTAAGACACAACCTATGAAGCTCTCTGCAGCTACTTCAGCATGAGTTCGATTCCCCCGCCAGCCAGGGAGGAACCCACATGGGAAGCAGACCTCTCCTGACTTGCCCGCTGCTCCCCTCAGCAGTGTATTTTGTCAGTCTGCCTGTTCTATTCTCCACTCTGTCTCTGGTGAATCCTCTCACCCCCCACACATCTGGACTGAACCCCAGCTCTTGTATGCATAAATAAATCTTTAAAAAAATAAATGGGTGCATCGGTGGGTGGATGGATGATGGACTTACAGACAGAGAGGTGGATTGATGGATGATGGAGATGGACGATGCATGGAAGTTGGATGGATGGACAGGTGGAGAGATGGATGGGAGGGTGAGTGGATGGATGATGGGTGGATAGGTGGGTGGGTGGAGAGATAAATGGGAGGTTGGGTGGGTGGAGAGATGGATGATGGGTAGGTGGAGAGATGGATGATGGACAGGTGGAGAGATGGGTGAGTGGGTAGGTGGATGGGCAGGCATGTTGGTAGGAAGGTGGGTGGGTGGATGGATGCATGGATGGGTGGATGGATGACAGGATCCAGGGACAGAGTAGATGAACCATGGTCTAAGCTTCTTGAAGGCTGGGGCCATGTCCTGTCTTTCTTCCAGGTCACCCATGATGCCCGCACAAAGGCAACGGCCGAGCTACACCACGGAGTTTGATCCTATCTCTCAGGGGCGGTCACGGGGATGCCTGGTGGCAGTGGCGGAAGGGGAAGGCTGTGGTCTAAGGATACTTACGAGAGAAGCACCACAGGTTCGCCTGCTGAGATGAAAAGAGATGCTTGAAGAGCCTGTGCCGCCGGCTTGGCAGGGATCGGTTTCCACTGACAACGGCCTGGGTAAGGTCCACAGGGGAGAAGAGCTCTGTGGTCAAATCTGAAAAAAAGGGAGGACCGTGAATATGACAAAGACACACCCCACTTCAGGCTCCATAAAGAGGTTCCCTAGAGCTGAGGGACCCACAGCTCAGGCCTGGGGTGGGGGCTGGGGGAGCGACATTTCCGCACCTCATGAGGACTCTGACCTTCCAGAGAAACTGATTTAGGGGCCATGAAGCAGTTCATGGAGGGGAGCTGGGCACTGACAGTGTCCCTCAGCTCGGGGCTCTGGAGTGAGGGGCATTCCACCCCAAACAGACACCCCCACTTGGCCTTGGCTGGAGCACCCTCCCCACAGCCACTGCCCACGCTCCATGCAGCTGCTCAGGATGGCGGAGCTCCTCCCTGGCAAGCGGCCTCAAGGCGGGTAAGGGGTGTGAGCACCTGGCTGGGCACTAGGCTGGGCTCAGAGACCATCACACCCCTTTGTTTCCGCACCTCCTGTTGCTGGTCTGCGCTGCACACGCCCCCTCCCCGCTGACCTGCGTTGGCACCGGTCACCTCTTTCTATTTTTTAATTTGGTTCTTTTTAAATATAACTTCACTCCTTTGCAGAGGAACTTCTTCATTTATTTCAAGAGGATTGGTAACTGCATTTGAAGCATTTTTTGTTATTCTTGTTTATTTTCCATCACCCCCCACATCCCCTAGCCCTGTCCCTCTCCCCCTCCACCTCAGAGACCTCACTGCATTTACTGATGTCCGCTACTTTGTGCTTGACCTTCTCGAGTCATCTGTTCTATAAAATGTCAGGCATTTGTCTTTGCCGTGCTGACTACGCAATGCCGTACCCCTTCAGCCAGCCTACGAGGGAGCAGCAGCAGCAGGGAGCAGGCCCCAGGTGCTGGGAAAGTGTCCTCTTAGCCTTTGCACAGGCTGTTCCCTCTCCTGGAGCATCTTGTCCCCAGGAAATGTCCAGCAGATCCTTCCAGGCCCCGCAGAGAAGCCGCGTGATTCCCTCAGGGTCTGGCCCTCACTCCCACAGGACACGGCCCCGTCCCCATCACAGCCCCTGCCTCGGGGCCTCCCGTGGCTGCAGTTCTCGCTAGTCTGGAAAGTCCAGTGCAGCAGGTGGGCAGCGCAGCCTCTGGGGTGAGAGGATGAACACCACGGCCACCAGTGTAGACCTGGCTTGCGCCGCATTAGGAAGGCTCGTTTCCTGCTGTCCTCAGACCCCTGTGCTCCCCATGAAGTGGCTTCCGGAGAGGAGGCCGCCTGCCTGGCTCCCCTGTGTGTCTGGGGGCTCGCTCACTGCAGGAAGCTGAGGCAGGAAGGAGAGACTCTGCTCTGGGCCTTGAATCCGAGAGGTGCTCTCTCCCTCCCGGGGACACAGACCAGGAGAAGCCGCAGGGACCCCCGCAGAGGAGGGGCTCAAGGGGCTCCTCCCACGAGGGCCTTGTCTTCTTCAGCCTAGAAAGGGAACCAGCTGAGACCAGGACACTGGGCCTGAGCTGGTCTGTTCGCCCAAGGCCTTCCCAGGCCCTGGGCCGGGCCCAGAGCTGCTGGAGGGACGCCGGGATTGCACCATAGGTTCTGCACAGACCCTGGCACAGAGCTTGATGATGGCTTTTACAGATGATCTCGGCGCCACTGAACCACTCACAGTGACACTGGCTGAACTGTGTGGCAGCCCCGGGAAGGCCCCAGAAGGCTGGGGTCACAGGAGTGCCCGGGGAGGCAGGGCCTGCAGGATCCCCTGCAGCACCAGCATCCCCAGCCCAGAAGATGGAAGCCCGGGGTGGGTGGGAGGCAGCTGTGGCCAGAACTTCCCCCAGAGAAGCCAGACATCTGAATTTGTATATAAAACCTCCCAATTAAAAATACTGGTTCAGTTTTAAAAAATTAAAATTCTTCTCTGCAAATCAAGCAAAACCTGTGTGTTGTGTAAGCAGGGGGCGGCCTGTCAAGGGGCTGCAAGCCCACGCTGCCTACGTCTGGGCCGTGAGGCTGGGTTCCAGAAGGGCCCAGGCTTTGCAGTCAGCTGGCTGGCTTGACCCCAGCTTGACCCTGGCACAGCTGCTCACTCAGTGCTGGGCTGGATTAAGGGAGGGACCCCACGTATCTCTTGGTTAAATGGGAATAAGGACACCGATCCACAGCCTTGTAACCTTTGAGAGACGATGCATAAACTGGCCCGGAGCAGGGCCTGGCAGCCAGGAGACCCAGGAGCAGGGTAGCAGGCGTCTCTTGTGCCTCCACAAGTGAGGGTCACGGTCACCCTGGATTCAGGGGGAAAGCCATGGCTGGTTGCACAGAAGTCTGGATGCCAGCCATGTGCTCGGGAGGCTCCCCATGGCTGCCTCCTTCCCCACAGCAGTGGCGGCCTAGCAGGGGCCTCACCTCACTTTCAGTGCCGATGGCCCCTCTGAGGAGATGACCGTGTTTATGAAGTGGATAGTGGGGTCAGAGCTCACAGGGGAGTCTGTGGCTGCAGATTCACTGAGGACCCTCTTGGCTTCCCTCTAACTTCCACAGCTATACCCCCGTCTAGGATGAGGGTCGTGTCTGGTACCTGGGTCTACCGCCAGCGCTGGCCTCACTGCCGGTTCTCTTCTGCATCCCACAGACTCGGACCGAGACCCCATGTCAGAATCTAGGAGGGAAAAGAGAAAAGGTGGTCGAAGGCTGGGGAGGAGAAGGGAGGCCTCCTCTGGTCAGCCAGACGGTAATGCCACGTGGGAATTCTCAGGGCCAACATCGGGGTGCCCAGGACAGATGCCGCCTCACCCAGGGGCAGGGTCTGCACAGCTCAGCCTTTTCAGACGCCGCCACCCCTCGGCACAAGGCTGGTCCTTGACAGTGACATTGGCAAAGGCTTTGGCCCTCACAGAGTATGTTCATCAGCGTCGGTCTTGACGATGCTCAGGAGCAGGGTTTGCAAAGAACAGACCCAGAGGGGTGAGATCACGTGTGCCAGGACACCCACGTGGTACTGGGTGCATCGGAATTAGACAAATTCAATAAAGTTTCCATGTCAGGAGCGAGTCTTCCAAAAGCAGATTCTGGCAGGAGCCAGGGGTCCTACTCGCCCACAGTTAGCAAGATGTCCCGAGGAGAAGCAACGCCTTACTTTCTCACCAGCTACATCGAATGTGCCACAAATTTTTCGTAACTGGGCACCCAGATCTGGGTGTCAGCCCCAGGACCTGCCGGACTCACTCGAGGTCTCCAAGTCTCATTTTTCTGGTCTGAAAAAATGAGCGACAGGTCGTCCCTCGATAGGCCCGCGTTATAGCCGTGGCCAAGTGAGCAAAGGGTGTGGCGGTTCATTCTAGCACTTCAAAGTGAAGACGAGGCTAGCGCCCCCTCAGCATCTTATGTCACCCACAGGGTGTGGAGCTCAAGTTTCTGACCTCAGGGGTGAGCAACGGACCCAAATCCACACCCCGTACCCCAAGTCTACACTGTGCCCCCACCACCATCGCACAAGCACAGAAGCAGCTCACTGCTGCCTCTCAGGAGACAGAGGGGGTGGGGCAGTGAGAAGAGGAGGCTCGAGAGACACTGGGTCATTCCTCCTACCTCTGGGGGTGGGGGTGGGGGGGGTGGGGCCGATGGCCTGGACACAGGTCGCTCTTGTCTGCATTCCTGAGGCCCGAGGCCAAGGCGTGCGCACCTCTCCTCCCACGTCATTCAGGCTCACCTGACGCTCTCCCACGCCATGGCTCCAGGTGGGCTCTTGGCCAGTGTTCAGCAAACTTAGTGGAGGCCCGAGAGGCCACACCTGTGCTTAACCTGAGCCCCCAACCTGACCCCCCACACACACAGGGCCACTGCCTCTAAGCAAAAGGTCATGGCGAATCTGCCCTGTCCCCACACTCCAGCCTCAGGGAGAGGCACCTGAGGGTGAGGCTGAGTCCCTGGGAGATGCTGCAGCAGCCTCAGAGCCTCATCCTAGTGACCAGGCCTGTGGCCAGCAAACGCGACCCCCAGGAACCAGGCTCCCTTCCCCCACCCATCCGTGGGTTCCATGCTTTTCACATTTTTCATTGGCCGTGCCTTGTCTGAGGAGGGTTGAGGCCCCTTACTTCACATCAAGCTCTCACTTGGAAAGTAAATCTACACTTTTCTCCCTGAGGAGGTGGCCTGGGTAGGGGATGTCACGTGATCCCGTGTCCTGCTCCCCCTACCCCGCAGAGATTACCTTTCCAGAGATAAACCTGCTGGAAGCTGGTGAAGGTGTCTTGAGTTCCCTCCAGGTGCGTCAGACCTGAAAAGAGGGTGGTTCTCCTGTGAGCGTGCAGTCAGGTCGGCCGCCATCACCACCTCTGCTCCCCTCCTGCCCTGGCCCCTCCTGGGCCTGAAACTCTGTTTCCCACAAAGGTGCACCCCCAAAGCCTGCTGGAGCGTTCTCCCCATGCTGTGCTACAAAACCAGGGCCAATCAGGCCCAGGTGTCTTGCAGAGGTCACCAAAGGGATGACTGGAGAGGGACCGTGAGCTGTGACACAGACTCACTTGAGGGACTGACAATGGCCTAAGGGGAGCAGAGTTCATGGGGCACTTGACTGCCGTGTTCATTCTTTGCATCTCTTCAGTCCTCTGAGACTCTCGCTGGCCACAGGGATGGTAACTCTGAGCTTGCAATAATGTGTATTAACTGGCTTCTCAGCAGTACCCTACGAGGCAAAGCTGCCAATATTTATCAACATAACTGAATTTTTTTTTTTCCTGCCAAACTACACTCCCCTGGTAAGATTGGCTTTGCCGCACTATTTCTTGACAGTTAGGGTTTATTGTCTTGCCTCTGTTCTACCTTCAATTGCTGCCAGTTTCCCCTGTGATGGGAAGGGCTGAGAAAAGAGTTCATCAGTCGTGGAAGACACAACAGGAGACAGCTGGCTCCCAACTTGAGACCAAGAAATGATGAGAGTTTGTTTTTAATTACTAAGAGCCGTTGTCATTTACCCAAGACCATAATGTCTAGGTTAAGTCTCACAGGTAGACATTTTTGCCCCTAATTTCTAGGTGAAGACCAAAACCCAGAGGCAGATGCAAGAGTTCACCCTCCACCTGCCTGGTTCCTCACCCCTTGCTCTTAGTTGCCACACCTAGGAGAGGGTCATGCACATTGACTTCCACCCACCCAAAATGGCAGGAGGTACATAGGTTCTTATGTGAAAGGTGTGAAACTAGGTTTCAAGAGGGATAGTTTAACAATGAACTGTGGCAAACTCAAACTTTTAAAATGACCCTGCGGACGACCACCCTCTACGCCAGGGAGGTGAGCCACAGATACCAGGTGTGCCTCCATCTGGTTCTGGTTCTGCTTCTGCAAAGAGAATAATGATGGTGCTAGAGTCTCATGGGTTGTTGTAGGGTAAGGTGAAAGTATCAGGCTTTTCTGCCCTCCCGCCATTAGGATAGATGAGGGAACCCTGTGGTCCTGAATGCATGCCTGATGGCGGGCACCTGCAGTGGGTACACCTGGGCTGAGAGACTGAGTTTATAAGGGCGGCATCACAGGGATACCAGCAGAAGCCGAGAATGAACGAAAGCAGGAGAGAAGGCTTGCTGGGGGCTGGAAGATCTGCCAGCCTCCCGGCCCCCAGCACCCCTACCTGCCGTGTGCCTGGTAAATCCCAATAAAAGCCTGCAAAGCCACCGAGGGCTCCAGGACTCTTTCCTCCTTTACCTGGTCTGCTGGGTCACAGAAAACCTGCTCAGTGCCCTGTTCCTGTCCTTACAGTTGTCCAGTGCTGGCACGATTCCAAGTGCTCCACGTGCAGCCTTCCCTCAACCAACTTCCGAAGAGGCAGAAGTTGTCATTGTCCTCCTTTTACAACTTGGAAGACCGCTCGGAAGGTCAGGAATCAGTGAGCATTCATGCTGGGATTTGGGTCCTGGGCTGTGCTCCAGAGTCTGTCTGCTCACCCCCATCTAACCCTCCGCCTAGGGGGAAGGACGAGGCTGGTCTCCACCAGCACTGGGGGACAGTCTGTCTTTATGGTCAGTGGTTCCGCCTGCGTTTTTTCAATCCATTTTCTCCCTCATTTGTTCAGAGCCCTGGAATCTTCCCTCACTCTTCTTTCCCTCCCTCAGTATTGGTTGTTGGGGGGCCTCCCCAGTGGCGCAGCAGTTGAGCGCTGGGCTGTGAAGCTGCCCGCAGCCTCTGCAGCGCCCGTTCGATCCCCAGCTGCTCCCCGGCCACGGGAGGAGGGTCCCGCATGGCGCGCAGACCTCTCCTGCCGCCCGCTGCTCCCCTCAGCAGTGTGCTTCAGTCCTTCTGCCTGCTCTGCTCCCCGCTCTGGCTCTGGTGAATCCTCTCACCCTCCCGCGCTTGTGACTGTACCCAGTGCTTGTAAAAATAAATAAATCTTTAAAATATATATATATAGGTTGTTGGAAAGGGTATCTGTCAGCTAGTCACTCTTTAGTAAGAACTTAAAGTACCATGTTTATTTTCCTGGGGGGTTAATTGTGCTCCAAGACTGAGCTCTCCTATAGGAAGGACGGGATCTAGGTTCTGCTGTCCCAAGGGGAGGGGCCTCCTGATAGTCTGTGTAGAAGGTCACCTCCAATTTGGAACTTCACAGGGAGACCTCAGGCTGCCTGAAGTCCCCATCAAAGAGAACCTCTCTTTAAGCTTTAGTTTGCATCTCCCAATGTACCCCTACACACAGGACTCTGGGGAAAAAATAACTTCAAAAGCCCCTTGGGGATCACTCCTTCTCAGAGGGGCAGCCAGAGCGCGAGCCTCCCTGTTGGACACACCCCACACACGCGCTCCACGCCAAGCTCGATTCACTGCCCATGAACTCATCGAGTGCATTTCTTCACGTGCTTGTTTTCACCCCGGCCTACCTTGGAGGGTAATGGATGTCATATGCCTGCTACTCATCACATAAATAAACTATCTGATTTTTTTGAATCCAAAAGTAACTAAGCCTTATGGAATGCCACATTCTGAGATCTTTTTCTTCCAGGCTCTGGTAAATACACACTCCAAGTAATTGTGTCTCCATACCAGGCTTCATGCTTGCAGGGTAAGGAAAAAAAATGCCAGGCTTTTCTGCCCTCCCGCCATCAGGATAGATGATGGATCCCTGCGGTCCTGAATGCATGCCTGATGGCAGCACCTGGAGTAGGGTGTGGGCAGAGGTAGATGGGATTCACCTGGGCTGAGACTGTGCTTTTTAAGGGCGGCATCACGGGGACGCCAACAGCAGCAGAAGCCGAAAGAGAAGCCAAGAAATAGCAGAACAAACGGAAGAGCAGAGAAGCAGAGAGAAGGCCAGAGAGCCCAGATAGAGTGAGGATTTGCTGGGGGCTGGGAGGCCTGCCAACCTCCCAGCACCCCTGCCTGCCATATGCCTGGTGAACCCCAATAAAAGACCTGCAAAACCCCTGAGGGCTCTGACTCCTCCTTTACCCGGTCTGCATGGGATCCTAGAAAACCTGCACCGTGCCCGTTCCTGCCTCTACAATGCTCCATGATGTGAATCCAGCAATTAGGAAGACACAGCCCAGTTCTTAAAATATAACAAAAATAACTTTTTTTTTTACATGATCATCTCATCTAATACTACACTATGTGTCAGACACTCCACTAAGTTCTATGCATGATCTGTAAGTGCCCAGACAGAAGCTGTTACCAACTGCCCTGGGGGGCCCTTCTGCTTAGGAGCCCTGAGACTTTGGGTGGTTTCCTCTGTGTGCCTCAGTTTCTTCAGCTATAAAGTGGGGAGAGAGATGACAGCAGTGCCCCTCCCCTCTCCATGCGGAGGTGAGGACTCCTGAGTTTATTAGGCCTCCCGAGCCCCACCTGGCTCAGAGTAGACTGATGGCAGAAATTGCTGCTGTCACTACAGTCACCCACTTTTCCCCTTTACAACACCCTGTGAGAATGGAGCTGTCTTTTCCCCATTTTATACACAAGCAATTAGGCCTGGAGGTAGTTATTGACTTGTTTAAGATCACACCATCAGTATCCAAATCGGGGATTCATTCGGGGCAGATTCTCCGCCTAGCTGGTGAGGGAAGTCTACAGGCAAAGGGCAAAGGGCGGGCCTGCCCATCACCCTCTGCGGAGCCTGTGTGAAGCAGTTCTGCAAAGCTGGAAGCAATAAGCTCTGGAGGGTAGTCAGGGAGGGCTTTTGGAGGAGGTGAGAGAACCTCCACTAGAACCCCTCAGCTACGGTGCATTGAGGTCTTTGGGATGTCTCCAAGAGGCAAGAGATGGTCCCTTTCAGCCCTTGGAGGACCATGTCCTGCAGAGACAGGAAGCTCCCTAAAAAAAAAGCACCCCTGACCTCCCTCACATGCTCAGCTCACCTGGCTGACCTGCAAGTGTTTTCATCCCTCCCAAATCAGAGGCAGCATTGGAAACACCTGAGTTCTGAGTTCAGTTAAAAAGCAGAGAGGGCCTCCCTGGTGGTGCAAGGGGTTAAGCACCACACTATGAAGCAATCTGCAGCCTCTGCAGAATGAGTTTGATCCCTGACCAGCCAGGGAGAAACCCCATGGCACAGCAGACCTCTCCTGTCTCACCCGCTGCTCCCCTCAGCAGTGTATTTCAGTCTGCCTGTTCTGCTCCCCACTCTGTCTCTGGTGAATCCTCTCACCCCCACCTCCACATCTCTGGCCTGTACCCCAGCTCTTGTATGCATAAATAAATAAGTCTTTTAAAAAAATTCAGTTTTTAAAATAAATAAATAAAAATAAAAAGCAGAGAGGAGGCAGCTGGAGCCAGATCCCCCCAACCTCATATTAGGACTGGAAGAGGTGAGTGAACCAGGCCTGTTCTGGCCATAAATTAAGACCCTTTGGGTTGAAGGGAAACTTGAGTGACTCTCAAACTTAGTGGGCACAGCATAATCCAGAGAGCTCGGTCACCCCAGCCAAGTCCTAGGCCCCCAGGGGTCAGTGTGGGGCCTGACAATTTGCCTTTCTCACCAGCTCTGGGGGAGGCTGAACCCCATCCCGACCACGGGCGGTGCTATGTGGTCAGCCCCCAGCGCAGGACAGCTCAGCCGCCTGCAGCACTGAGGCCCATCAAAGCTCTTGTGTGGCAGCTCTGGCTGCTCCTCATGCAGCATTTTTGGGTTCTTTCTTTTCAGAACCAGGAATTCCTCAGGGGCGGGGCAGGGCTCAAGTGAGGTAGCAGAGACCTGGCTGGCATGCAGTGCCAGCTGTACAGGAACGTGGGCAAAGGGCAGACTTACCCTTGAACTCCTGGCCTCCCAGGCGCAACGTCACCTGACGGCTCCCCTGGGCAAACGTGACGGTGGGACAGGCAGCGCTGGTCTGGCCTGCAGATGGGCCACCCCAGTCTTCGGCGTGGCAGAGCAAGACATCAGGGGAGCTCAGCAGCCCACAGAGGATGGGGCCTGCAGAGTGACAAGATGGAGGAGTTGTGGGGGGGCGTGCCAGGTCCCTCAGACCCACGTCTGTGCTGAGACGCTGTAAGAGAGGGGCAGGTGCCAATACTGGGGAGTGGACAGAGACATGGGACTTGGCAAAATGGTTGTTAATTGGGTGGTTCTTCCCTGTGATGCTGCAGTTGTCTCACCGGCACTCGGCTCTAGTATTTGTCAATAGCACCCCAGAAGCGTCTAGTGCTCAGCCAGACTCCAGCATCCCTGACCAAGGTAGAGCATTTGGCTTCGCAGATGGGGAAACTGAGGCACAGAAATGGAGAAAGGGTCTCCAGTTGTTGAGATCAGGGGAGTGGCGGGTGCAGGCTGGGGTGTGGGGTGGAGGAAGGCAGGGGCCTGGGAAGAGCCTGCTGAGCTCTCAGAGGAATCCTGAGTCCCGGCCGCCCTCCCCCAGCAGCAGGCCAAAAGCCAGAATCAGAGAAATCCATGCTAAGCAGGGAATGTTTCTCCTGCTCCCAGATCCATGCAGCTTTATGCTTCTGTGCTAACGTGTCAGAAAGACTCTACGTGTCTGAAAGGGGGAGCGCCGAGAGAGATGAGAAGTCCTTTGACCTCACACTGCAGCTTCCATAAACCACCCCCAAGCCTCGGACCACTAAGCACCACTTCTAAGTAGCCTCAGCTGCAACAGAGGCACAGAAGCCTCATGAAGTCTCATTACCATCAGTGCAAACAAAGCCATTTAGGGGCTGGCGGTTGGAGGAAGCTGAAGCATAGCTGGGGGAGGGCTGAGGAACAGAGAGAATCCACCAGAAAGTTAAATGACTTTCCAGATGGCCACTGAAGGACATAGCAGACCTGTTCCTGGTCATCAGAAGATCTAGCCAAGATTTTACAAATTAAACTCCAAATCTGCCTATGAGACAAGACTGAGGAAAACATCTGCCTGGTGTTTTATGTGTGTCTCGAATACAGCCTCACGCTCAGCCTCTCAAGGAGGCTCAGCGCGCCAGAACTTGCAGATCAGGGCTGGGCCTGCAGGGAGAGGCATGCACGCGCCCGCCAGAAATGTCCTGGAAAAAGGATTCTGCGGGCTTCCTGCCCGCGAGCACATCCATCCTGCTCTATATGATCCCGAGGAATGTGAGGTCAACATCTTCACTCAGAAAACCATATGGTCAAGTGAATGAGCATCTGGGGAGTTTGTGGTGTCCTCAGAAAAGGACATTTAGATCAAAGAGGCAAAAGGCATGTGAGATTAGAACTTTTGTGTTTCTAAATATAGAAATACATAAAGGCATACACATGTGTGTGCATGTGTGTATGTGCATGTGTGTATCTCTATCTCTCTATCCATCCATCCATATTTTTGGCTCACCTGAACACTGACATGCATGCACACCCTCTCATGGCAGAGCACAAATCCTGAGATGAATTTTCAGGATTCAACTAACTCCAATCCAGGTTACCACGTCACCCGCCAACAATACTTCATCTTCGCCGCCACGATGGCGGTGAGCTAGCTCAGCATTTTTCAGTAATCCCCTTGTCTGAACTCTCAGCCACATTCCAAACTGTTGACAAACTTCCTCCGTCCATCCACCCGCTCCACCTTGGTTTCCAGGAGGCTGCACTCTCCTGGGCCTCTGCCTTCCTCTCTGGCCCTCGTCCTCTGAAACTCACAGGTGTCTACCTGCTCTTCAGGGGTTCACTGGGGACCAGCCCATCCCCTCCACCTCCTCGCCCTGTGCCTTCTGACGACCCAGTCCTCATTCGCACTTTCTGCTTTGCACTCCCCGGCTCTTACGACCTTGTTTCTGGACCCCGGTGCGGGGCTGTGCTGGATACACATGTGCAGGAAGACAGAACCAACCGGAGTGAAGGCCACGGTCCTCACAGGGCACCCTGTGTCCTCAACTAGACTCTAAGCTCCTCCTGTTGAGGCCCAACACCTAGCACATCGGCTTGCACACATATGGTGGCCAATCAAAGTTTGTAATTGAAAATGAGGTCTTGAAAGAGGTCAAGTTCTAGCATACCAGGAACCAAACCCATGGCCAGCACGACTCACCCATTATTTTATAACAAAAAGAAAAACAGAGACTATCAAGATGGCCATTTCATGGACGAAAGAACTGCAATCTAGATAGTTCCAGCAGCTTGTCTAAGGCTGCACAGCCAGAAAGAGACAGAGTGACAACCAGCAACCGGGTGTGTCTGGCATAAAGCCCTTCTCAGCCACTAGGCCATGCAGCCGAGTACCTGGATTTACTTCTCTAGGCAGAATTCCATCCCTACGGTTGAGTCAACCAGAAACTCCAGTCCTGTCTGTCACAAGACCGGGCACACAGCAGGTGCTGTCGATGACTGTTGAATAAACGCTCCTGGGTGATGGGAATGAGCTACCACTTTTGATCCAATGCAGGCAGCCCAGGCTCCTGCGGTGGCACGGTGTAAGCTGCTGTCCCCTAGAATGACCTCTCAGTGCCATCACCTTCCAAGCTGCGTGGCCCTGAACAAAGACTACGTCTCGATTTCTCTATTTGTGAGACGGATCTCATAGTCCCCCCCGGAGGGAGCAGCAAGGGAGGACTCCGTGTCGCGCAGTCAGCACGGCCTGGGCCACGGGGAGCAAGGTCTGGGCCGCAGGGAGCAGCCAGGGTGCGTCCCTGGCGTAGGTCTGTGAAAGCCGCCGTCCCCTGCCCACGGCCCTCTGGCCTCCGTGACCCCGCCCGCTCCCTGTCCTTTGCCGGGCCGCTGTCCACGGTCACGTTACCTGCTTGGACCTGCGCGAGGATGAAGCCGTCACAGCACGGGTCTCCACCGCAGGCCAGAACACAGAAGACATGCGCCTCCGTCAGGCCGGCTCCCGGGGCAGAGACCAGCACCGGGCTGTACAGGCCGGAGAGCGCGTTTCCGAAGCCGGTTGGTTCGAAACTCTTCTGGCTTGTGGTGGTGAATTCTTGGCCTGGGGAGAAGGGAGGAAAATTACAGCTTTCGAAGCAGAGCAGAGTGAGGCCGCGCTGGCTGGGGCATGACAGCGGACCCCAGCTGGTGCCGGGCAGCGTGTGGCCCGGGGGGGCTGCTCCCCACCTTGGTGAACTCCACGTGGCTCTGCCCAGAGAGCAGGAGCTGAGGGGGCGTAAAATAACAAACACTAAGAAGGAAATACAGTATCAGCCCCTAACACTGAGCCCCACGTGGAGCCCCGAGGACCGGAGCCACCCAGCTCCACCAACCTACCCTTTTTCAAAAACACAGCCGGAGACTCTGGCGCTCCTGTGCGCACTTTCACCTGGCACCTAATGCTTCCCACGCTGGTGGCCTTGGAGTTGCCCAGAGCATCCTGGTCCTGGGGATGGAAGGAGGCTGCATTATCACCTGCTACAGTGATTGTCTCAACAAGCATCTGTCAAACTCTAAACATGGTCGGGCGCTGGGCTAGGGCGTTAGGGAAGATTCCTGCACATGAGTCTCTGCCCCTCCACTGGCACACGCAGTAAGCAGCAAATCCCAGTCCCAAGTGTTGGCTGCAGAGACACATGTGATCAGAGGGGAAGCCGTTATGGAAGACAGGATGATTAATGCTGCTGAGAACAGGCAGCTAGAAAAGAGTATCTGGGTGGGTGTTGATGTATAGGTAAGAGATGGTCAGGTGGAAGCAGGGGGTTTAAGCAGAGGAAGCAGCAGAGATGGAGACTGGGCATCACAGGAGTGTCTTAAGAACTTGGTCCAGTGATTCTCGGGGAGGCTGAGCTATGAGAAGGGAGTATGGGGAAGAGAGGCTCATGGAAGCTCTGAGCACATGGAGCTTGTCTCCAGGGAGGCCAGGGGAGGGTTTGCAGCTTGGAATTGGGGAGGCCAGACTCCCAGAGGCCTGCCACTCTCCTTAGCTCTGCCTTTGTAACTAGGCCCTGTATCCACAAAATGCACTGGTTTGTTACCATTAAAAAGAACAAGGTTAATTACTAAGATGCAGAAATGTGTGTGAAAAAATCAAGGAGAAAAGAAAAGGTCCCATAAAACATTAACACATAAGGAAACAAAAAACAATGCTTATAGACACACACACATTTTCTGGAAGGATCCAGAAGACACTGCAGAGTAAAAATGGAGTTTGCATATGCTTAGCAGTGAAGGAGTGAGCAGATAGGAGACCTGCTTTTCACCCTTCTGCCCAAATTCATGGTCACAATGGAATGGCCAATATCCTACCAGCTTTGACTTACAGAAGCAGAACTTCATGTGGTCTTTTTTCTTGTTAAACTATAACCATATTTGACTTCTCCAAATGAAAAGAATGCTGGGGTTTGGGACTCAGTGGGCTAGGAGTTATTTGGGCTCCAGAGAGTGGCCCATTGCATCCTGGCCTTGGCTGCCTGATGAGCTGAGCTGGTGAGGTGTGGGGGTGGGAGCAGTTCAGGGTCAAGATTGTCTTGAATGGATTTGTCAGGAATGATACAGCTCAGACCCTGAACCACCTCTGCTCTACTGCAGCCTCAGTGTCCCAGTCTAACCCCTTTGAAGAGGTACCAGGATCAGCTACTGGCTGCTCACTGCACCACCCCAATATCCTGAGTTGCATTCACTTTGCTTCTATAGAATGGACAGGGGTGAGCGAGAAGAACTGCCACACGGACACTGTGACCCACCTGACCAGTTGTCACGCAGGTGATGTGGTCGCTTGTCCAAGCATAGAAATCACAGGAGACCTCTGATCCCACTGTGGCCACCGTGAGGAAGCTGCAGGCCTCATCCAATGCACAGTCTGCAGGCACACTGGACAGTCACTGCCTGTCCCTGAGCTGGTGCTGAGCGCAGATAGACCCACACCCCAGCCCCTGCCCCCAGCGCACCCAAACACACATGCACAGAAATGCATATGCACAAAAACACACAAATACACATGAATTCACACATGAATACACAAAAATACGTGTGCAAACACACATGCATTTGCACAAGACATCTACTGAGCACGTGCTGTAGTAATCACTCTCTGTGCTGAGAAATCATTGCCCCTACCTGGCAAGTGAGGAAACTGAGACTCAGCTCCATACAGTGACTTACCCAAGGCAACATGGTTGCCATGCAGGAAAGCCAGAAGCCACATCTACAGACTAGGATTTAAGGGGCTAAGACGTCAAACCTACAGACACATAGGCACTAAGCTGTATCTACCTAAATTAAACCTTTCAGACGCTACTGCTTCTATTCACTGCAGGTGTTTTCAGTTTTACTCAGTTGGTTTTGCCAAGGTCAGCAGAGTCTATGGCTACACAGTTCTCCACGGGCCCACCTCCCCGCAACCCCATACCTGCTAAGCACTGCACCAGTGGGGATTCAGAACCAGGAACCCTGGACCTAACTGCCACAGCAACGTCAGCACTGTAGATCACATTTGATTCTGGAACCTTCTCGAATTTCCGCATCACTGAAAGCAAAGCAGACTTGTGAAAGGGGAGGCCCTGGCGGGTACAGAGCAGCTGCAGAGAAGCCAAACAGTGTCAGGTCAGGAAGTCACTCCCCATTCCCAGCCACAGGTCACACAAATGCCCAAAGACAGAGCTTCTGTCCAGCATGCAGCCTGCCGGCCCACACTGAGACCTGTCACTCTCCCAGTGTCCCTTTCTCCACCCCATTGTTGGAAGTAAAGGAAAATTTCATATGCGAGTCCTTATGACTCACTTATTTCTTTGATATTGACTTTGCATCTAATTCTCTATTTCCCTATCCTTAGCTTTGAGGGAAAATTATACCCTACCAATATTTTATTAAAAATGTTCTTTCCATGACAACTTCAATTACTTCTGCAAATAGGTAAATTATTTTGAAACAGACCAACAGGTACACAGGGGATTATGTAAATCTACAAATGTGTCTCAGGCAATTGTTTGACAATATTTGTTTAAATGATATATCAGCATCTGCTTTTCAAGTTACCATGTACAAGCCCGAGCTCCTTTCTGGCAGGAAACACATGGTCATATGCTATTGGAACTAGACAAGGGAGGAGAGCAGTAGGATTTCTCAAGGCTATGGGCTTGGAACTCACCCCCAAGCAAAAGCCTTGCAGGTAACTCTCAAGGAATGAGACTCATTTTACAAGCTAAGAATGTCCAGCAGGATCAGTAGTTTATGCTCTCAACCAACACGTCCAAAAGCACAAGGTTTAGTTTCGAGCAAACTAACTATATGCATGCACACTCCTCTGATGCTTCTAAGGGGGACAAAAAAAGCATGTCTAGGTTTCTTTGATTCATGTCAGTAAAATTAAGCAATCTCTTCCTAGACTCTCGGGAAAAATTATTCCTTTGCAGGTGGGGTGAAAGAGAGGAGTGTGGGTAGACTAGAAATGACATGTTTCAAGACTTCAGAATTTTGATAAAGTAGGAAAAAATTCCAACTTTGCAAAATGGTCCTTCCACCTGTCCTCAGCCCTCCACTCTCCCCTCTTCCTTTCTCTTATATTTTCATGCTCCTGGGAATCTGGTTTGTAGAGACTCAAATTCCAGCCCAGTCAACACCAGCTCTGGGCAGCCTGTTGTCTCTAAGCTTAGCTGCACAGACCAGGAGCTCACAACATTCTGGGAGGCTAAATACAGCTGGAAAGGTCTTTCGGTTCCCGATGAAAGTCTTCCCAGCAGCCACATGACAGTCAGTTTAGCTTTTCAGTTAGAAAACATGCTGGTTTCCACAAAAGCTTCACTGTGGTGATGGGAGCCCCACACGCAGCGTTCTAAGGAGCCCCTGGACAAATACTGCAGCAGCCGTCCCTGACCTGGGCTGGCAATGACTGCATGGGCTGCTGAACTAGTCTGCAGATTTGTTGGTACAATTCCCACATGCCGAGCTTCTCCTCGGAAGCTATTTACAAATGTCTCGGGAAAAAGTATTGAGGGTCAACAGCAGAGCCCATCACCGTATCTGACGGTGACTCCTGCTGTTTAGGTGCCTGTGACTTTCCAGACATGAGCAATGTTGGATAATGACAGGGATCTACTGTTCTATTTACTGAATGGTTGGATGGATGGAGTGTGGGAGGGTGGGTGGTGGTTGGATGGATGCAAGGATGGATGTGGGTGGAGGGGTGGGTGGCTACATGGTGGACAAATGAATGACTACCAAGATCATTACAACACTGGAAACCTGGAGACACTATGAAGATGGTGTCATTCCAGCGGTGGCCATGATCCTGTTTGGGCACTCAGCGTGGTCCACAAACAGTGCGCTGTGGGCCAGCAAGGAGCAGAAACAGAAAAGCAGATCCAGAACTAAAGAGATGTAGAACTTAAATATTTTCAGACTAATTTTGTGAATAAACAACCCAGCAAAGCTCCAGGGGACCACCGTGAGGGAGAGATTTAAGGTCAGGAGGCTGCAGGCAGCGGGGAAGAGTCCCAAGTCAGCAGGCAGCCCTCGGTGTTAGCATTCTCACGGGACGATGTTGACCCTCCATGTCTCTGAGGCAGGCAGGAAGCCTAGGGGGACTGGGGATCAGAGAGGTTGAACAACTTGCCCTGGGTAGCCCAGCGAGCAAGTATGGAGATAAGACAGGCACTCAAGGAAAAATGCTGACCAGCTTTTCAGAGGAAGCTGCCCCCCAAAAGAAGCCCTCTGCAGGTGGATTATTTCAAATTCCTTTCTTGGGCTCACTGAAGTATTTAGGGGTGATGTTTCAGGGTGTCTGAAACTTACTTTCCAATCATTGAAAAGAAAGCAAGAAAGAACAGAACACTAGCAATTTTTGGATGTAGGTGATGGGTATTTGTTCATTCTGCTTTTCTTTCTACATAGATTAAGAATTTCCAAAACAAGAAGTTGGAGACAAATGCATCTCACACATCTCTTCCTCTCTAGAAAGGTCTTGAGCTCCCCCAGCCTCTCCCCAGCAATAGTGGCTGAGGCAAGGAGCACGTACTCAGGCACTGGGAGTCCGAGAGTGGAGCCTCCATTTCCGACCACGGCAGCCTCTGCCCCCCGGTGTCCACACAGAAGGCCATCCCGCTGTCACTGGCCCTCTGGCTGGCCCGGTACTGGCCATCCTGGTCACACTGCAGGCCCAACTCATTCATCTGGCAGTCTGTGACACCTGGAACCAAGACAGGGGCATAGAATGAACACTGGCCCCTGGACAGGGACCCTCTCCTTCCTGCCCCCCCAACCCCCCATGTTGAATGGGTGTCCATCTCACTGTCTAACCCAGACTCACAGTAGGTTGGAGCCCGGCAGTGTCTCTACCCTGAGCAAAGGATGACCCCAGGCCCTGTACAGCCACTCAGCGCCTTGGGCCAGGCCCCACTCGTCTGCTCATGCTCCGGGGTCTGCTGCATGTGCAATGCAGCACCTCCTCTCATGCCATTTGCTCAGTCTCTGCCCATCTGGTGTCTGCTCAGGGCTCCCCAGTCATCAGTGTGGCTGCTTGTCCACAGCCGTCAGCTCTCAACTCAATGTTCACTCCTCAGGGAAGCCCCGACCCTCCTGAAGTTCGAGGCACTGTCCTATCAGCTCGCGCTCGCCAGCACAGTGCTTGGCTAAGGTGCCCATTGTCTGTGCAAATGAGGGTGTGCCAAAGGCTCCGGGTGGGCAGCAGCCTGATCTGGTCTACCTTCTGCTGTGCCCAGTGTCCGGCTCAGTGTCTGACACATAATGCAAGTCTCCCAATCACTAAACACATCTTGCATCCACAGACAACTACTTCTGGTCCGTGCTCGAGCTGTTCCTCGGGCAGGAATCTCCCCTCAACCTGCGCCCCACTTGCCTTTCAGCAGCTGCTGTACCAGCACCTGCCATCGACCTCCGAAGAGGACTGTGCCACCACAGCAGAGTTACACCATACAGAGCCCCTTTTCCTAGCAAGTCCAAGCCCTACCAGAGTCCGAGGGGGTGCATCTTTGCTTGCTTGACACACCCGGCATCTATACGACACAAAGAGGTGCTCGATGGGTTTTTGAAGAACGATATCAAGGGGGAACAGCCTGACTTAATCCTGCAGGGCTGGGAAGCAGATGAAAGACATTCTTTAACAGCAGCCCAGGGACTGGAGAACACTAACTGGTCTCATTTTCTATATTTTGAGGCCAATAATTATATGACTGACTATTGATTAGTAACTTTTGTGTGTGTGGTGAGGTTAGCATGGGTGCTTTAAATGCTTCTCGTGCCATATGTGCTGTGCATGCAAAATGCATCAATAGCAAAGTGGGCGGGGGGGTGGGAGGAGGAGGGGACAAAAAGGAGGCAGAGAGCTCGGAAGGATGCAGAGGCTGCTTGGTTATCAACACAGCCTCAGAATCACTCACTGGACCCAGACGTTTAGGAACCAGAGAAGTATTTTTAAGTGAAAACTATAGTACAGACCTCAAGTATACAGAAGAATGCGATTCTGTGATCGCGCCACATCTTTTAAAGTCTGGCAAACCCTCCTGTGTTCCTCTCCCCTCTGAGTCCCTCTAAGAACACAGACCAGGTCACACAACGGAGGAACGGCAGCGTTCATGTCACGGAGATGCTCTTAGTCTCACACAGACCCTTCACACACATCCACCCCCACCCTGGAGACACAACCACTGACATCTATTCTACTAGGAAGAAGTCTGGAGGCGGAAGGATGTGACACTACCCTGTAGAGGTGCAATCAGAGCTCACCCCCAAAAGTGGGATAGTTCACCTTAAAGCTTTTAGTTCCTCTCAACCACTTTAATGGATTCCATTCTGCTCTAAACTGAAGGCTCGGGCCCCCTAGATTCATCAGGTGAAGCTCTAGCCCCAGTCTGAGGCATTTGGAGACAGAATCTTTCAGAGACTATTCAGTTTAATGAGATCATGAGGGTGGGGGCCCATGGTGAGATTAGCGCCCTCTGAGAAAGTAAGGCACAGGAAATCTCCTGCTCCATGTGCCCCACCACAGACAGGCCGTGTGTGCACATAACCGAGATGAGAAGGCTCGCCAAGAACCATCCATGCTGGCGCCCTGAGCTTGGACTTGCAGCCTCTAGAGCCACGAGGAGCAAATGTTTGTGATTAAAGCCACGCTGCCAGCAGCTATTTACTCACAGCAGCCCAAACTGGCTAAAATGCTTCACAACCACCCTGTGCTTGAGATATCAGCGGCGCCATGAGATAGGTGAGGGAGTTGACATCCAGAGGAGGAAAGAGACTTGGCCGAGGTCCCAGAGCGTAGGAGGGGAGCCTGAACTAGGCCAGCTGGAGCCAAGCCTCAGCCTCTTCCTGTCCCCCATCATCCCTGCAACCCCCTTCACAAACAAGTCTCAGTATGATGCATCCACCCCCTTGTAGGAAGCATTTCTCCAGCAGGGCACCAGCACCCCCAGCCTCCAAGCCACAGAGAACCCCGTCCCTGTGTGCAGACCAAGGGCGACCTCAGATGTCAAGACACTCAACTTCCCTGCCAAAGAGGTTCTGTTCCAGGAGGAGCAACAGACTCCCAGCCGACACCTGCCCTCTTCCCGTTACTTCCCTGGAATTACTACCCTCTTACCACTGCCCCCCTAACCAAGGCAAACCACCCTGATCAGAGGAGGTGACTTGATCACTTTTAACTAATTATTTTAAGAGTCTAAAAACTATTCTGGGGGCCTTCCTGGTGGTGCAAGGGATTAAGCATCAGCGCTAAGAAGCTATCTGCAGCCACCACACCAGGAGTTCGATCCCTGATCAGGGAGGTGACCCACATGGCTCAGCAGACTTCTCCCATCTCACCCACTGCTCCCCTCAGCAGTGTATTTCAGTCAGTCTGCCTGATCTGCTCCCTGCTCTGTCTCTGGTGAATCCTCTCACCCTCTGCACCTCTGGCCTGTACCCCGGCTCTTGCATGCATGCATGCATAAATAAATCTTTAAAAAAAATAAAAACTATTCTAATCTCAAGCAGTAACAAGTTTGCCTCGTGTTGACACAATTTCAAACTGGCACGAAAAGATGCCTATCAGCTGTGGGTTCTCACTAGGAAAAACCCAGCCATACCCAGGTGATGATCAGCAAGGAGGCTGAGTGAAACCTCCTGACCTCCGGGAAGGCCCCAACGCACACCACGCGCCAGACGCACAGGCCGGGGGCGCTGCAAGCCACGCGATGTTACAACTGTATGTGGAAAGATCTTCCACGTCTCAACCTGATAAGGGTGACATCCAAAAACCAGAAGTTTCAGAATCAGACAACACTAAGGTCAAGGACCAGTTATATCACATCCTAACTCAGAGGCTTGGGCTAAATCACTCCTCTAAGCCCTAGTCTTCCTGTCTGTAAAAACTGAGCCAAGAACGTTTACCTAGAAGGGCAGTTGGCAGGAGTGAATGAGATGGCACAAGTACAATGTCAGGCTGAGATCCTGGCAGGGTATAGGCAATCAAAGATGGTGGCCAATCTTCTCAAGAGGCATTTGGCCTCCACTCAAGAGGCATTTGGCAATGTCTGCAGGCTTATGTGGTTATCACAACTCAGGTAGGGTACCTAGGGTCTAGTGGTTAAGGGTCTGAGAGGCTACTAAATAAGTATCTTGCAATACAGGTGACAGCCCCCCAAAAATGGAGAATTATCTGATGCCAAATTTCAAAGTGCCCAGGATGGGCACCCTGAGGTGTCCCCCTTGCTTTGGAAGGTTTCTCTTTCTAAGAAGGGCCCTGAAGAGCTTACAGTGAGTCTGGCTGAAAGCTCCAACAGAAACAGTCTTTCTGCCCACAGGGCATGGGACACAGGCCAGGCTGCCCGCCCGCTCTTGGTAGAAGCCAACCGGACAGGGGATGCAGCGCTCATCCTGCGAGTAGCTCCCTTCAGGACACTTCACTAGGAGAGAAAACAGAGAAAGGATGTTAGAGACAAGACAACTGCTCCACAGAGACAACCTTAGAACACGCAGGGCCCGTGACATCCATCCCACATGAGCGCTCCCTCCCTTACAAAGGCCTGTCGAGACCCCGGGTGCCTGCACTCTCAGAGCTGAGGGTAGCTGTGAGCACAGGAGCCAGGGCCTTCTCTCCAGAGCTGACAGGCTGTTGGGACTTGAGGATACCAGGTAGGAATTCCAGATGTAAGTGAAATGCAGCAGGAAAGGCAGGCCTCTCTCAGGGTGACCCCTGAGACCACATGGTGAGGTGCTCCAGGGCCAGGGTGTCGGAGAGGATTCCAGGCAGGGGGAAATAGGAAGTGCAGAATCCTGGGGCAGGCACGAATCTGGGATGTCAAGGAATGGGCAGAGGAAAGCAGAGCCAGCTGTGAAGCCAGAGCTCAGTGGACAAGGGAAGGTGGACGGGGATGAAGCTGGAGTTGGAACGAGGTGCATCCATCCCTACAAAACCACGGTAGCAATTCACAAAGTTTACTAAGAACATGGTGGGGGGCAGTGGGGGGCGGGTGTAAACTTTGGGGTGGACAGATGGCTGCAGTCCCTTTCCCCACTAGACCTAAAAGACTGTGGACGTCCCCGAAGCTCCATTTTCTCCTCTGTGAAACGCAGTTAGCAATACGATCTTAATGAAATAGCGATGATGCAGAGAAAGCACCCGTCACAGTGCCAGACCTGACCATGTGCTCACCGCACGGTCCAGTTTTTATGCTGGAGGAGCCCTTCCTTGTAGCCAGAGTCCACACGGGTGCTGCCCCACCAGTGCCCATGCTGGGGGCAGTGCCAACAATTCAGAGCCATCTCACCTGACTCATGTGGGCTCCCTGCTGCTCGCTCACTGATGGCATTCAGACCTGGGACGAGGGTCAGGTGAGTGAGAGGCCCGGACATGGGATGATGGAGGCCTTCATGGCCAGAGTAGTTGGGTTTCGGCTACTCAGAAATGCCCTTCAAGGACCCTAGGAGTGAGGGCTCTGTGCTGTGGATGCCCCGCTCACCTCCCTCTGTTCCCCCATGGTCTGCCAGCTCTCAGTTCTCTCCAGACTTGAGCACTTCTAATCCCTCCTATTTTGCCTCCTCTCGTAAGGTCTGGAACTGAGAAGCCAGAAACCCAAACCAGAGAGACAGAGGTTCCTAAGTTAAAGTCGGAGGAGCTCTGTCCTATGAAAGAAGGTGAACTTGGCCACAGCGATTCTATGGTGGGGGAGGGGCTCTTTTTGCTTTCTTTCCCAGGCCAGGCTTGGGTTATCAGCTTCCAGAAGTGTGTGTGACACAATGAAGGAGCAGCTGAAAGCAGGGAGCTCTGTGTGCTGGGTACGCCCAGGCCTTCCACAGCACTCCGGGCGCTCGTGCATAGCCCACTTCACGGAGGAGAAAGATGATCCTCGGGACACTAACACACCTCCCTGGCGTGCTTTTCTGCCAAGGGCAGTAGGAAATAAGAATACAGGGCTCACCAAGCACAGTGCCCAGCGTTTCGGCACGTTAGCTCCCAACCCCATCCTCGGCTGGAGAAAACTGACGTGCGAGGTCAAGCTGGACCCGGGGACAGACCCCCTTCTCTCCAAACCAGACTTGTTCCTCTGCCCGCCCATCCAGCCACCCTCCTCTAGAGAAGGAAGCGCAGCCAGACGTGTGGGACAGGGAGGCTACGAGGGCGCAGCCCGGGGTGACTGTCTCTGCACAGCTCAGCTCGGCTCGTCTGAGTAAATCAGAAACTCCAGGCACATCCTGGAAACTGAAAGCTGTGATCTGCTCCCTCCGAGAGCAGGTTTCACTACTTCTATGAGTCAGGCGCTTGAGCTCCTCTATATTTTAACCCCAGAACAATGGCTGTGTTTTTCAAGTCATCTCCAAGTACGCTGAGAGGAAAACAAAACCCATCCTGAGTCAGCCGCCTCTAAAGCCCAAGGGGCAGGTGACGGGCAGACAGAAGAGAACCTGCCAGCTCCTCCCCGCCATGCTCCTATGCGTGTGCCATTTCTCCTCAGGCTTCCTCCCATCCCTGATGTCCAGAAAGACCCATCCTGCCCTCGGCACTGAGTCCCCTGAAAGACTCTTGAGTCCACTGCAAGACGGGGCCTAACCGTCCATGAGACCTGTCCAGGAAAATCACTGCCAAACCCCTGTGGTCTCAATGCCCTCCTTGGGAAACTGCAGCAGCTTGGTCTATCGGAGTTGGACAGTTTCTCAAAGCTTCGGGGTTATGCCATCCCTCCTGCAGAGCGCAGAACAGAGTTTGGAATCATATAGAGGGGAGTTTAAGTCTCAGCACTGCCCACCATGGCAGAGCAGGAGCTGAGTGTGCTGCATGAAGGATGGGCTTTGTGTCGACATCCCAGGCCATGCAATGCACAGCCCCCAGGAAACAGGTGTTAACACCACTTCGTTCCAGGTGCTGCTTTGTGGGGACCCAAGATCCCTCCTATGGAAGGTGCCGGAGCTGGGACTTGAACCCTGGGCCTCCTGACATCAAGGAGCAGTTTCCTAATTCTTTTAACAGGATGCCCCTGGCTGCCACTCTGGGCAGCCTGTGACGGAAACTCAGCAGCAAACAGATGAGGGCACCGATGCGGGAGAAAGCCGGGCTCCGGGGCTGCGTGCGGGGCCTTTCGAACCGGCGGAGTAGGGCCTGGCTGGTGTGTGACTGACTGCTCACTGTGAGTCAGTGAAAGTCAGCTGAAAAACAGAATTTGGGTGTTTTTGGAGCTAGGATTGGCAAACTGCAGCCCAGGGGCCAGATTCAGCTCGACTTCTGTTTGGCAAATAAAGTTTTCTTGGAATGTGGCCACATTTTTCCCTGACAACGGATGAGTTGAGTCATCAAGACAAAAACCATATGGTCCAGAAGGCCTAAAAGACTTGTTCTCCTGACCTTTGCAGGAAGAGTTGGCCAGGCCTGTTCTAGAGCAAGTGCCGTCCGGCCTTGGCCCCGCAGCTGCCCCTTCCCCAGCGCCAGCCTACGGCTCTGAAGTCCACTGAGTTGGGGTCCGGTGGAGTCCCAGCACCCCTACTGGTTGGCACCCCTCAGGCCAGACTCTGCGCCTCCTACTCGGTTTCCGCTGCCCGCCCAGCACTGGGCCCCTGCCCCCACAGACAAGCAAGGTGAGGGTCAGCTCTCCAGTGGGGCCCCGAAAGGAAACCGGATCATCCTCAAGCGCTGAGTCAGGTGGGGTTCTCTGGCCTCCCCTGGACCAGCGCCCCCACCCTCTCCAGCCGCTCCAGTACCGGCTCCATGCTCAGGGGCGCTCTAAGTGGAGCTCCCGCACCCCACACCTGCTCCATCTGGGATGGTGATAAGCAGGCTCCTGGACCCTCTCCCCTGATAGACAGACAGACAGACAGACACGCACACACACACACACACACACACACACTAATGCAGGGTCCCCAGCCGTAGAACCCAGAACTTTTCACCTAAATCTGAGAGCACAGTGGAGGCAGCGTCAGGGCCAGGCCCTAGAAGGCAGCACCATTCACTCCTGTGGCATTTTTTGCTGGGGCAGCTCTGGTGAGGTGGACAGAAGGTGAGCTATGGCCTTGGAGAAGCCGGGGTTGCCCCCCGCACCCCACATCGGTTATGTCACTCAGGTCCCTTGTTTGAGTCAACTCTGCTCTGGGCGCCAAGATAAGCGGTCTCATTTCATCCAAGTCTCAACGTTCCTCTGTCGAGTGGGGGTACAGCCACGGGGCTGCGGGGAGAGTGACAGGCCTGGAAGGTGCACTGGAAAGAGCAGAGTGCCCTGGAGACATGGCGGGAAGTGCCGGAGTCCCCGCTCCTGTGTGCCGACTCTGCTGCATCTGAAATCCAGCGTGGGCTCAGAGCTGGCACCAGCGTCGTGAGAGGAAGACGCATCAACTTTGTGTTGCCCCCAATATAGGTAATGGGAACATTCAACACAAAGCAAAGCAAGAAACATCTTTCAATAAAATGGCCTCTCTGCCTGCCCGTGATGCCACATGGCGGGAGACTGCTCCTCCCGGGGCTCTAGGACCTTGGGTAGGAGACAGGACAATGTTCCCCAAAACTTCCCTGTCCTAACCCTGCAGCCTGAGGTCAAGGGAGTTCACAGGGAAAAGGACATGAGGGGTGCAGAAGGTCACTAATGAGCTGAGCCTCAGACAGGGCGGCCCTGGAGCTCCTTAGAAGTGAGAGAGCCGGAGGGAGCTGCCACTAGGGGTGGGCCGGAGAGTGAGAGCGCGTGGTTGTGGGGCTGAAGGAAGGAAGGCAGCAGCCATCAGGAGAGGGCAACAGCAGGGAGCTGGAAGGGGGGTCTGCCGAGGGCCTCCCAGGAACTCAGGCCTCGATGGTGACCCGAGTCAGAAGCAGAACTTCGGGGCCATAGGATGATCCGAGTGTGTGGATTTCAGGCACTAAGTGTCTGCCACGGTGGCGACGGGAAACTCGGCCTCCCTTGCCAGGATTTGCTGTTACCTTCAATGAAAATAAGCCCCGAAGCTGCTTGTGTGGGAGGGAAGGACACCCCAGGAACCCCCACCAGGACCGCCCCCTGGCTCGCAGACAGCCTCAGCTGGGGACGGCTATTTGGGCTTGGTGGTGAGCAGCCAGAGAATAAGAAACACCCGGGCGGACAGCACAGCCTGGGCCCCCAGCCCAGGCCATCAAGAATTAGGAGCAAGGGCCCTTCACACATCGGCGTTCTTCTATCATGCCAGCAGCACCCCTAGTTTCAGCTGCCACCTCCTGGGTGACGGCACGGCCACGCAGAATGGATGTCTGAGGGGCTTTTGCTGAATTAATGAATGAACAGGTCTCCCTCGACGCCCAGAGCAGCCCTCCCGCGCTCCGGCGCCCTCCCGCACCTCACGGGGACAGGGGTACCTACCGCACCCCAGGGGTTCCTGGATGTTGTTGCCGGGGGTCAAGACTCGGTGGAATCCTTCCAAGCACCCAAACCATGTCCTCGCGGAGGTCCCAAAACTGTCCCCCTGGGGGAAGCGGATGGAGGTGTCTGCGGGGAAGGTCTTGGAATCCAGATGGAGCTGGAAGGCACCGCTTTGGACCAGCTCTGCGAAGGCCCCGACAAGGCCCACTAAGGCCACCTCTGCAAGACAGGCCAGGGCGAGAAAGGGGACGCTGTCATCACCTGGCACCTCACCTTGTAGCAGGAGAAACTGAGGCCCAGAGAAGGGGACTGATTGGCCTCGGGTCACACAGGAATCAGAAGCACAACCTTAACCAGGGACTTTGCCCCCGGTCTCTGCTCCTGCCACGTCCGGGACATCAGTGAGATACCCTTGGTCTAGGGCAGCCTGTCTCCAGTCACCAATCTAAGCAGGGTGTGCAGATAGCAACTGTGCCAATACCCTATCCTCCTGCCCTGCCCTGTCCCCCACCCCAGCACCACCACACAATCCACTGCTCCCCTTAGATCTTCCTACCCTCCCGAGAGACCTCATCACAACTGTCCTCTTTCAAAGAGTGTGAATTGTGTGTCTATAGTGTAAGTGTCTGAGACGCTTTCTAATGGGAATAAATACATTATAAACCAGCAGAGACTCCCTCCCCGGCCCCACTGGTCTTCACAGTGCCCCCTCTCTGCACCCACAAAATCAGAATTGAAAGCTGTCCACGGACATGCCATCAGGTGACACCTCTGCAGACGAGTAAGCGATGGCTGAGAACATGTTTCAGGATCAGGTTGCACCAGGCCCAGGGCCCTGCAGGACGGCCCTGGGCATCTCTGGCTCCCGCTGATGGAGGAGGAAACTGAGGCCTCACCCAAGACTCCAGAGGCGTCAGGCAACAGATGGTGGGGGTCGTACCAATATCGTGCAAGGTAGGAAGAGAGGCTGTGGGTGCCTCCTCCAGCTGCAGTCTCCACGTGACATTCACTCCCAAGAGCTCCCTGCTCACACACTCCACCTGCACCGTGGCGTCATCGCAGACAGGGATGGAAACGGGGGACCCCAAGGTCTTCATCTACAGGGAGACGAAGCCTCCAGTTCAGAACACAGAGCAGAGGCTGGCTCCGTGGGGCTGCCCCAAGAGCCAGAGCTTCTGCTGTCACTTTCTGCAGCCTTAATGGGCCCCCTCAGGGGTCAGGCATGATCAACCCATTTCCCCAGTGGGGTCCATCAGTCAGGCCCGCGAGAAGTGCTTTAAACATATTTAGTCTCCAGAGCAACCTTCGCAATCCGCACTCTCTCGCCCCCAGAACAGACGGGGATTTGCATCAGAGAGGCTGGGAACTGCCCAGCATTGCACAGACAGTGAATGGCAGGGTGGGGACTTCCCCCCACCTTGGGCCCCCCATTTGGGAGTTCTGGACCTCTCTGCAGAGTGTAAAGGGCAAAGGCTTTGGATGCACATATTATCTCACATCACCCCAGTCTCCCAGGTAGGAGCCTCTGGGCCCGGCCACCCTGGTGGGGAGCAGGGGGCAAGATTTGAACCCAGATGCATCTGACTCAAAGGCTTGTAAGTATCTGCAAGTATCAGCTCCAACTTAAAGACACCCACCTCGACCTGAGGGGCTCCATCTGGTTCACCTGACACCCTTTCCTGGAAACCACGAGTAAGTAGCCCCCCCCACCCCAGGTCTCCATGGGTCTTCAGCGTGGTTCTTAGCACCAGGTGGGGGGATTCTGGGACACTGCCCCCTCACTGTATAAGACTTCCTTTCCCACCTCGGTGAATAGCATCCAGCCACTTCCAGCTGTGTGGCCTGGCCAATTACTCCTCTCCCCTCATCTACAGAGAGGTAACAATAGCCATAACCCTGTGGACATGGCCAGGCTAATCCATGCCAGCAACCATGGGTGAGCCCGGCACACAGCGAGTGCTCAGCACACAGGATGGCCAGTGATGACAGGGTACAGCTTCCACCTCCGCAGCTGCATAATTAGCCTCGGCTGAGTGAGCTTCTCACCCCAGGCTGATCCCTGGAGCCCCAAGACTTTCTGAGGACCCACTCACAGGGGAGCCAGGCACACACCTGGATCTGGCAGAAACCCCGAGCCGTGAGCTCATCCAGCACGAAGACCCGGAAGGCCTGCAGCAAGCCTGCATAGTCTGCACTGCACATCTTCTCGGGCGGGAGCTGCAGCTGGATCTGCCCCCGGGTCTGCAAGGTCTGCCACAGCTGGGGCCCTGCGGGCAAGTGCCAGAAGTCAGCAGTCACAGGCAGAAGGCCCACGGGCTACTTTTCTTGTTGGGTTTTTCCCTGTTACAGTAACCCTTCTGCACTGCCACCTTGCTCTGTCATCCTCTGTGTCTAAACCCCTCTGAGCATGAAGGCTTGCCTCTGAAACTTTTCAGCAAATGCCCAGCAAGTCGGCCCTTCATCAGCTGCTACACCAGCTGCTTTACATTTGGGGATCCTGGACCCACTACAAAGGGTTTTGCTGGTTCTGATTAGACACCATAGTCTATGAGAAAGGCATACCCTAAAGTGGTTGTTCAGTGCACAACATGGACAAACATGCAGGGCAGCCCTGCAACCCACTTCCAGAGTCAATACCCACCCCTCTCCTCCCCCAAGTCCCTTGCTCTAGATCTACCCTGACCAGCCTGTCTTGGTTTCAGCTTTGGCCACTCTGTCATAGTGAGAGGGAGAGGCCATTTACTTGTCCAAATTGTATGTGCAACTTTTTCCAGAGAGCATTCTCCATCCCAGAATGCTTTGCTGCAAATGCTGTCCTTTGACAGCCACTCAGCACCTGTCACAATCAGTCCATGATCCACACTACAGTCCCAAATGCCCGCCTACTGTCCTGGTGTGCCCAGTGGCAGGCCCCAGCATCCACCCCTGCCCTGCCTGGCTGTGGGTAACCTCTCCAGTTCCTGCCTTGGCGTATGCAGCCAGAGCCTGGGCTGGTCAACCATGGTAACCCGCATAGCATGGACACCTGCATACTGACCACAGCCCTATTGCCAAGGCCTCCCAGGAGGGACGCCACAATGGCAGCTGTCCCATGGAGCAGAGTGTGGGCCATGAAGCAGCTCTACTCCTTCTAGAAGAAGGCCCTCCCCTCTGCTCCCAATGCCACCTGGTTTACCATGGAAATGCTACAGTTTTGACAGGGGAAAATGAAGCTCCACAGTCCCAGGTCCTGCATGGAAGTGGGGTAAGAGCAGACACCCCAAGGCCACTCACGCTGGCAGGCTTGGGGCTGTGGCGGCGGTGACACCCATTGTCTTCCCTGCAGGTCGCACTCCAGCGGCCCCACCAGGAACGCACTCCGGTAGCCCTGGCGGCAGTGAAGCTGGCACTGCTGGACGGGGGCTCCTCCTGGGCCTGAGGCCTGCTCGCACAGGAGCACACCTGCAGCCACCTCTGACACGTTGAAGGGCAGTGGGCACTGTGGACCTGGGAGGGTGGAAGAGGGGCTAGCACAGACGCAAGTTTCCACGTCGCGAGGGTCACGGGCAACCACATCCCCCCAGAGCTTCCTGCCACCCCTCCCATGCTCCAGGCACCCCAACCTCGGCAAAGGATCTGAGCAGAACCCTCCAGGCTGGGGAGCCCTCTGCGGCTCGGGACTTACTCTCACAGGCAGGCTGTCCCCCAGCCACGCGGGTCCCGGGCACCTCCTCGCCGCTGCCCAGCACACACCAGCAGCTGCCCTGGGCCGGGTCACACTGCACTGGGGAGAAGCCTCTGTCTTCTGCCCTGCAAGTTGGGGCGGGGCCTGGGCCAGTGCTCCCGGGGAAGAGTCCATCGTGGAGTGCTTCACAGAGGCCCGGGCCTTGACGCAAAGACAAGCCAGATGGGGTGGAGGCCCACGCAGCCCGGAGGCTGCCACAGCCCCGCTGTCCCCAGCATCACCCACCACCTGCCTGCACGATCCTCGGGCCCTGGACTGCCTCCCACTGGGGTGTTGGATTAGGACAAGGCAAAACCCAGGCTTTGCTGAGCTCTGGACTTCACTACACCCACACCCGCATGCACACTCACTCACACATGCACACACAAACACACAGACACACACACATACTGCCTGTTCTCAAGATAGAATCTTAAAGGAGATTTGACATGCGAGTGATTACTGTTCAGAGGTCGGGGGGCAATAGCATCTATGGTGCCAAAGCGGCAGAACTGGGGGGCACAGTCAGCCTGGGTCACCATACCCAGTTCTCCCGGGAAGCCTGGGGCAGAGGAGGGGGCTACTCACACAGACCACTGCCGTTCGTGCCAGGCCACACCCCCTCTCCTGAGGCCTGGTCCACGCACCAGATGCCACCTTCCGCAGCCTGCCGCTGGGCGTACTGCCCTGTCTGAGACAAAGCCACCGGGCTGGTGAGCAGATATCAGGAATGTTCCTTCTCAGACTTCTGACAATGGCCTCTCCAAATGCGGGGGATGGGTGCACAGCGCTGTCCTAACTAGGGCCAAACCCCTGGCTACCCCCGGAAGCAGGGCCACAGTCATCAGTTTATGTCACTGGGGGCCGAGACGGGAATGGCTGGGGAGGGCCAGGGTCTCAACCCCAAAGCCCGACCACTCCTCTAGCCCCCCAATTCAGGAAATGCTTTGCAACAAGCTTCCCAGAGGGAGGAACCAGAGGCATGCATGGCAGGGAATAAAGAAAACTCCGCAGCCCCCAATTCTGGGTCGCACCTGGGCCCCGCCTGGCTCCTCCCAGGCCAGCTGGGGAACACTGGGCAGGCCTCCATTGTCCGGGCCTCAGTTTCCCTCTCTGAAACTCTAAGGAGGAGGGGCCGGAGCCCTTAGCACCATCCTTCTGGGAGCGCTGATGAAGCAGATCCCCTCCCTCCCTACAACAGGACATGCTTACTGCCCAGGGGGCCGCCCCCGCCTGGCTGCCCTGAGGGCCTTTCAGTGTTTGTGGCCACCTGCCCACTTGATGCACCCCGTGCCCCATTCACAGACGGGAACGGCAGCACCTACCCTGACACTGGCAGGTGGCCATGAGGCTCGCCTGGTTTATCAGCCCCACCCCAGGGTGCTGGCTGCTCCCCAGAGGCAGGGACCCTGCCGGGGCCTGCTACTCAGGGAGTCCCAGAGAATCGGTGCTGCCCCGGCCGGCCTGTAAGCCTCGCAGGGAAGATTCAAACCCAAGCAAAGGTCTGAGAAAATGGAACACTGCAGAGACCATTCTGAGAGGTCTCCAACTTCAGGTCACAACTTCCCATGAGCTCCAAACTAAAACAAATGGACTGAAAAACTAGAGAAAGCTCCCTCACCCTGTGCAGGAGAGTTCTGGCACCTCCCCTGGGCCTTCAGAGGCTTACCTCCAGGCAGGTTGGGATGAACAGGTCTCTGGGAGACGGGTTTCCTTGGGATCCGGCCTGTTTCCAGCTGGAAAGCAGCCCACTCGCGCGGGATTTCTCACAGGGTGTGGGGCCTGTGTTGGGAAGGGCGAGCTCTTAACAGGCAGAGTGGGGTGCAAAGTGGGAGCAGGGAGCCCTGGCTGGCCCCCAGGGTCAGAGCTGGGTCTCTGGGCAGATGGAGGTGCCCAGCAGCACCGAGAACTGGGATCTCAGAGAAGCAGCTGAGGCTCAGGGACGAGGCCTGTGGTTTAGGCTGGTGGAGGACAGACGTGAGCAGCTGCGGAAGCTACAAACGTGGGTGAAAAGCACAGGAGCAGCTGTCGGGGGACACCGAGGGTTCCTTCCCCACTCTCAGGCGCTTCTCCCCGCCTGAGAAGCTAGGAGCACAAGTCCAGGTGGGCCAAGATCTGAGAGTCACCCAGGGCCGGGGATTTGCAAGCGTACGGTCTGGCTGCACCTGGGTGTGGTGCTTAAGGAGCGCAGGCACGGAGCCTCGCCGGTGGGTGTCACCGGCCCAGGTGCCCACGTCCGGGCAGGCAGGAGGGTTCGCAGGCTTCACTTACACTGGGGGAGCCGAGGGGAGCGGGCGGTCAGCGAGGCGGAGATATACTCGCCCTTCCCGTCCACACACCAGCAGTGCCCTGGAAAAGAACCGGGACCAGCAATTCAGGAATTGTGCTGGGCGGCTCGCCCCGAGTGTCCCCCAAACTTTCCTGGTTTGCTTTTGTTGCAGTGGCCATCAGGCCCCATCTGACTATCCCGCCTGCTTGACACTGTCCACAACAATCACAGGTCTCAGCACCGAGTCCCCCAGAAACCACCCGCCTGACCTTCGGGCTGGGAGAAGGTGATGGAAAAGGCCACAAAGGCCAGAGGAGCTAAGGGATTTGCCTCCAGCTGCCAAAGAGGGACCCAGAGGACAGCTCGCCTGCCCCAGGTGCACTCTTTCCTCAACACGGAAAGGAGCGGTGTCGCTCAGCCCTCCCCGGGCGCCCGAACCCCTTACCGGTCCCGGCGTGGCACTGCAAGGGCTGCCACCTTCCAAAAGCATCACACTGCGGCACGTAGGGGCCCGCCGGCCATAGGGCGACGCCGGTAGAACCGCCAGGGAAGAAGCCTCGGCTCTGGTGGAAGCTGAAGGCTACGGGAGAAGCGCAGAGGTGAGAGCCCGGCCTACAAGGCCCCGCGCCGCCCCGGGGCCGTCTGACTCAGCACAGCCCACGTGCGCCACGGGCAGCACCGGGCAGACCGCGCTTCACGACAGAGGGTGAGTGCAGTAGGGAGGACTCGGCTGTCATCTTGACAGACTCCATGGGGCCTTGTCTTCAGGCTCACGAGCCAATGGTGCCAGCGAAACATTTGTTTAGAATTTGCTTCGTGCCAGACATCATCTCAGCACACGTTCTGATTAATGGAGCCCTCAATGATCCTCTAAAAGCTGATGTGAACCCATGTAATGGGGAGACACTGAGGCACGGGGGGATTAAGCAGTTCACACTGAGGGGACCCCAAAGTCAGCCGTGTAAACTGTCCTCTCAGCCTTCCCTGATAAACTCTTACAGTTTGGTTCTTTACGCCTTTCAAAACTTTGCTCTTGCAGGATCTTACGGGATCTTCCCACAGCTTGGTAAAGCTGGGTTTTCACCCCGTGAGGAGACTCATTAAGGGAGGTGAAGGGGTACCCAAGGGCTCACCCCATGCTCTGCACACCGCATCCTCCTGCCCGGCCCGGGCCACTCCTCACAGCTTCTCAGCTGCTTGATATTGGGCTTTCTGATCTAGTTTAGGTATCTCTTCCATGCCAGCACCCTAAGCATTTGGTGCGGGGAGTGTCAGATAAAGAAGGCAGATGAACAAGGGGCCTGCCATCCAAAGGGCAGCCTCAGGGAAGAGAGGGGGGCCACAGAGAGGGCACTGGGGTTCTCTCGTGGGTTTGGAGAACAAAGCACAAGGCAGCTGAGGCCTGTCTCCTGGCGTAGCCCCTCCCAGGAACAGGCCAGCAGGACTGGCATGGATGTTTTCAGGGGAAGAACCTGCTTTGCTGTCACTGTGATCTAAGTCCAAGGAATACTAGGCAGGGAATCAGCTGAGACAATCGTGTAAGGGCTGGGGAACCCGGGTACAGCCTGGAGACAAGTCATTTGTTGCCGAGTTGATACGGGGTTGTAGTTGATACGGGACTGGAGGAAGAGGGTGGGGCTCTGGGATGAGACAGGTGTAGTTTGAGTCCAGCTGTGCAGGCACCAGCTAGGCAGGGGACAGACGCTGGCGCAGGCAGACCGCCCAGGCTGTTAGGTCTGAATCATGTGAACTTGAGCACGTACTTAACCCCAGTTCCCTCTGAGAAGAATGGTGCTTACAGCATCCTCCTTGTGGAACTGTTGGCTCAAATGCAAAGAGCTGTTTAGGGGAGCAATGCCCACCCGGGTGTGAGTTTTATTACAGGCCAGAGCTCTCTCAGCGTATTTCTCTCTGACAGGCAGGTGATGAGAGCTGCAGCCCCTCGGCACCAGGCAGCATGGAGCCCTGCCCCCAGGTGGCTGTGCTGGTGCATCTGGAGAGGTGGAGACCATTCCGGTTTTGACCAGTTTCACAAAGCCATTCTGCCTTTTCTTTCCTAGGAACCCATGAAGCTGGGGAAACCAAGGCAGCAAAGTTCTGAAGACGGTGAAGAGTAATTCAAGCTCTGGCTTCCCCAAAGAGATGGAACAAGATAATGGAAGTGCATGACACTCACTAGACAGAGCTGCCAGACGAATGGCATAATCGCCCCCACTCAGAAACTTCTCTGTGAAGGTCTCCTGCGAAGGAGAGAGCTGGGGAAGGGCGAGCTCCTCACTGGTCAGGCGGATTCCCTTGGCTGCTAGGAAACTCTCTCCCAGGGGGAACAAGGAATCGTTGGAAGCCAAGACAATCTCTTCCGTTTCCTTAATGAACTGCAGGACACGAAGCTTCACTTCTTCACAAGAGCCAGGACCTAGGGAAATAAAGACATCAGGGATGGGGTCACTCACCACACACAGCTCCCTCTGATCACTGTGAATGTGCATGCACACACACACATATGCACGTATGCATGCATGCACGCACACGCACACACATACACACACACACATGCATTTCAGCCTCAGCTGTCTCCTTCTCAGCACTTCTTTCCACAACTTGGATGATTCTTTCTGTATTGTTTCCATGATTTCATTCACTCAAAATTCATGGAGAACCAACTATGCAGAAGATTATTAAGAGCCATGTGTATTCCACGCAAAGCATTTGAGCACATTTACTCAGACAATCTAATTTAATCAATGCAACAATCCAATAAGATTTTAGTCTTAACTGCATATTACACATGAGAATTGAGGCATGGAGAAATTATACAACTCAGATAAGCTTCCAGCCTGCAAGTAGTTGATTTGGAATTTCAGTCTAGGCAGTATGACTCCAGAACCAGTGAACTTGACCAGCTGTCTTTATTGGAAGGATGGATGGGTGGGTGGATGGTTGGATGGATGGATGCATGGATGGATGGATGCATGGATGGATAGGTGGACAAATGGATGGATGTAGAGGTGATTGGGTGGTTAGATGGAAAGGTGGATGAGTGTTGGATGGATAGGTATTCGGAAGTTCGCTGCCTACTTGACTGGCTAGACAATATCAACAACTGAAGGAAGGAATTGTAGTTTAGTGGTTACGCTTGCACAGACAAAGTTGCTCTCAGAGATCTCTGGGTTCAAATGTCAACTTGACCACCTATCAGCTGTGTGATTTTGCATAATGTGTTCAACACTTCTGAGCTTCAGTTTTGTGAAATGTGCAGCGGCATCTATAGCTACAGGATTTTTATAATTATCCTATGAGGTGTTGCAGCTGAAGTGCTTGGCACAGTGACTGGCCTACGTTGCCCTTGAAATGATCAGTACTAACAAGAGCCACCCTGGGCATAGTTATTTCAACAAATCACACTGTGAATTCTACAGTAAATGTGTTTGTGGATAAAGCTGGAGAGAGCATTGATCTACCTGTGAGTCTTTCAGAAATGCAGGTGTTGATTCAGTAGGTGGAGCATGAGATTCTGAGTTTCTTTTTTTCCCCCTACTTCTTTATTTCCCTAACATGTGTTTTTATTTATTTTACCCCACCACCATCCCTATGTCCCTGTCCCTTTCTCTCATCACCCCTCCACTACAGAGCCCTCACTGCATTTATTAATGCCACTAGTTTTTATATTTTACTTTGTCAAATCATCCATTATATACATTTCCAGTATTTGTCTTTGTTATTTGATTTGCTTTATCACACATTTTACTATAAATGGCTGCATTTCATCTTTCTTTCTGGATGAAGAGTATTCCTTAGTATGGATAGACCACATGTTCTCAATCGAATCATCTATTGATGGGCATAGGACTATATCCATATCTGGAATTCTGAATTCTCATGAGTTTCCAATGTGATATTTATGTTGTTGAAATCCATTTAAGTATCAAAACCCTGAACTGATGGCCACCAAGCCCCCTTAATATGCCCCATCAACAGGAATGTAACCTGTACCCCCAAAAATGTAGATTTCTATACCTATAGATTATATGTGTGTGGTACTATAATGCTACATTTGGTATTGTTTACACAGATGTTTCAACTGTAAGCACTTACTTGTAAAAACAACAATAGAAATTTAAATGGAAGAGATAAAATTACTAATTCTAGATAGGACTTTTGATACTTTCCAACAGATTACCTTGGGGAGAGACTGGTCACTTACTCTCTTGCTATGTGATACAAATGACAGTGGATTGATTCTAAACGTAGGTCAAAGGCTTTGCCCAGCATTCAAGCCAAGGTCAATAATACTACAAAGCTACAGGGTATTTTTGGTATCGGCAACTCAGACCCAGAAAATTGGGTCCAAAGAGAATCAAATTCAATCTTAGGGGCATCTACAATGATAGGAATGTCCCCGAGTAGCGGACTTGACATTGGTGTGGAGAATGAACCCACAGATCTCACCACAATCACGTAACAGTCCTACTAACATCTATGTGTTTACTTGAGGGTCACCTACTGCTAGAACTTGACATTTCAGGAATGATCCTACCAGGGAGCCTCCAGGCTGCTCGCAATCCGAGGGGCATGATCATACTCACTGCCTGTTCTCATCCAATATCCTCAAATCTACTTGCTGCTAAAGCCTAAATTTTAGCTAATGTTGAAATAGTCCGAACCATTTTACACTATCCAGAAAAGTCTGGACAACATCAAACACTGTAAAGAATGAAGATTTTGTTGGACCTGAACAGGTATAATTTCACCTGTGAGAGCAGCAACTGTTGGGTAGAGAAATCTTGATTTGATAAGAACGATGTTGGATTTGGCTGTCGTTTCAAACTGCCGCCATGGTGAGTTGGAATAAGGCATTTTAATTCAATACAGAGTCAGTCTTAGCTCATGTGAGCCTCACATACCAAAGCTTTCCTATGAGCCCATCTGCCATAAAGCTTAATTTAAAGACCTTTCAGCAAACTCCTCAAGGAAATGAAAGGCAGTTGGAAGGCAGAAGTACTTCCAAAAGTCCCAAGCACCTGGCAATGGCCTGGGTAAGTCACTAGACCATTGCAAATGTGTTGGTTCATCTGACGGTACACCTCATTTATGAGCGAGAAACTGAAGTGTTAGCTGATAGAGGGTAAGGGCAAGGTCATGTCACTCCATGGCGATCATCAGATCAAAGATAAGGCTTTGTATACAGGAGACTCCAGTTAAAAACTGAGGCACTGATTGAAGTAATCAACTATTTGAAAAATTTCAAATGAACTCACATTAACTCTGCAACCCCTGGCCTCAGTGTTAAAGACTGAATGTCTGGGTCACTCCCCAAAATACATTCACAGGTTGAACACCCGCCCTGAAATGGGATGGTTTTTATAGGGAAGGACTCTGGGAGGTGACTGGGTTAGATGAAGTCATGAGGTCAGGATGTGGTGTCTCATAAGGTAGTGAAAAGACCAGAGTCTTTCTTTCCTGCCCTGTGAATTCACAGCAAGACGGCAGCTGTTGGCATACCAGGCAGAGGGCCCACACCAGGAGCCAAAGCTGCTAGTACTTGTGATCTTGACCATTCCAGCTTCTAGAACTGAGACTGAAACGTCTGTTGGTAAAGCTGTGGAATTCTCTTAAAGCCACAGTAGAGACAATACATTGGGTTTCTTCAATCACCTATTGAAGGGATGTCCCCAGCCTTCTCTAAGCTCTATTCCAGCTGTAACACTCAATATCCTTCCACCAGACAATCCTGAAAACACACACACACACACACACACACAATATCATTTCTTAACACAGCTTAACTCACATGCCGGGGCCTTGTTTGGCTCGGTCTGGGTCCCTTCTAGTTCTCGACCAGCCTCATCCACACACCAGCATCTCCGAAGGTCAAAGTGTGCCAGAGGAGAGCTGAAGTCTGAGTAGGGCCCTGGGTATCTGCTGAGCTGGCCACTTAGGATCTGCCAGAAGAGGTAGGGCTCCAGAAAGATGTTCTCTACAGGCTGGGTCAGGTTCCCTTCCAAAATCGCCAATGGGACATCTTGGAGAAAAGGGTATCTTGCCAGCCCTGGGAAGATGCCTTGTTGGCCGGTCTCATAGAGGTTTTGAATAAAGAGACGGAAGCTTCCAGAAGCTGCTTCTCTATAGCTCATGACCTTCATGAGCAGCTCAGTGGGGCTTGACTCCTGGCCTCGGTTGTTCTGAGCTCTCCATCGTTCATACCACTCAAAGGCCTGCTCAGGGGGCCCGTCGCACTGCACGCGTCTCCACGACCCACTGGCACTGCACTGTGGGATGTAGATGCCAGAGAGGGTGGCTGGCAAGCTGACAGGGGAGCGCAAGGCCCGCACTGCCCCAAGGAAGGCTTGCTCGGCTTGCAGCTGACAGGAAGTGGGGCCTGCAGGAACAATGTGTCAGGTTAAGAAGTTGAATAAGCACGAAAATCCAAGATGGAAGCTCTGAACTGTCCCAACTCCATCAAAACCCCAGAAAGACACAGAAATCCCACCGACCTCACTGACCTTAAATTTGTAAATAACATCTAGACCCAAGCATTGCCCCCACCAAAAGGGCACCACTGACCCACCTCTGGTCTGCACCGCAGAACCACAGGTAGTGGTTCCTTCAGGCCATAAATTTCCCCATTCACCCACTACAAGGATAAACATTATCATGACTGTTCTGGGTGTTTAAACTTTTGATTAAATTTTTAATTTACATTTTTGATTTTTAACTTAATTTTTATAATGAAAAATCGAATTTTTATATTAACTGGCAAAAATTTGCCATCCACAGAAGTTCGGGCCTAAACCATGACTGAATTCTCTTTTTCTGTCTTGCATTGTGTCAGGCCCCCAGCCGAGAAGCAGTCTACAGACTGAATGCCCAACGGACTTACATTGACTTGGTTCTCCAGGTTCCCTTCGAGTTCCAGGAATCACCTGACCCTCAGCATCAACACAGTAGCACTCTGAGTTGAAGCACTGAACAGGGAGGAAATGCCCCTCACTTGTACAAGAAGGGACAAACAGGCTGGACCCAGCCGGCTGGCTCCTGGAGAGGGTTTGCATGAGAGCCCTTTGCTTCTGACACTCTGTGGGGCACGCAGGTTGTCCACCTCTAACCCTGGAGCCTGGAAGTTCTTTGCCCTGGGAATCCACACACCAGCACTCTCCAGCAAAGCACTGGACATCCTCATAGCTTCCCTCTGCCGTGCATGAAGGGACAAAAAGGCTGCCAGGACTCTGCTCACAGCTGTTGGAGCCAAGCACCATTTCTAGCACGTCACCCAAGTCCCCGGCTATGTCTGCGGGCACAGACACAGCATGCTGCAGGAAGAGCAGGAATTCGGGAAGCTCCAGGAGAGAAGCCAGGAAGTTCAAGACCTTCTGGTTCTCCTGTAAGTTGACTTCCAAGCCAAAGCTGCCCACAATAGGCTTGTTCATAGCAGCACCCTTCCCAGAGGCCTCCGGGATTTCTGTAGTGGGACTGGAATCCAAGCTCAAGGACAGAGGGGTGGCTGGATCAACTAGTGCCCCTCCACTTTGAAAGCCTGGAAGACCAAGTTGCTGGAAAAATTGACTGAAGTTAAATGTCCCTCTAGTGCCAAGGGCTCCAGACAAATTAAACTGGCCAAGGTTCACCAGAAATTTCCCTCCAAAGAGATTCTGCTGGAGTCGTTTTGGGTTGGTAGTAAACTGAAGGGCCAGACGAGCCAGTTCTCGGGAGGGAAATATCGCTCTGAGGGCTTCTTTGAGGAGACTTCCTGAAGCAGCAAACTGTTGACCCTGCCCCTCCACCATCGGGCGGAGAATCCCAGAGTCCACGAAGAGCTCCCTGGCCAAGCGTGAGCAGAACGGGGGGACTCTGGCCACTCGTGGAGAGTCCTCCTGCCTTTCCTCAGGAACCAAGAACAAGTCGTGCCGGCTGAAGTAGCCCGAGGGTCCAAAGTGGAGTCTGGACAGGGCCTGCCGCCTCTTGGAGACACAGGACTGGTCTTCAGCTGAGCACCACAGAGGAAACAGAGAAATGGTTTTACCATGACACGTCGCCCTGACACGGCCTCTCAGCAATTTCTGGTAACGAGAGATCAACAAGCTCAATCAAGAGCACCTCCCTGTATCCTGATTTTTTTTCCTTCTAGCTGAGCTGATCTGCGGTCACCATTTTAGGGAATGACTCCTCCAACGACTCCTCCCTCTGCTGGCTTTCACGAGAGGGCCCCCGCCAAGGCCAGGCTTCCACACACAGGCCCACCTTCTGAGAAGCTGACCACACCTGGCCACCTGCACTGGGTTTGATGGTCTCCTCCTCCCTTGTCCTCCCAAGAGCCACACCCACCCAGCATCTCAGAATGGGCCTTATTTGATAACGGGGTCCTTGCAGATACAAGTAGCTCAGATGAGGTCGTTCTGGAGTCAGGTGGGTCCTAAATTCAATGGCCTGCATCCTGTAAGAAGGCCAGGTGGAGACACAGAGACACCAGGGAGGAGACCACACAAAGATGGGGGCAGAGGGTGGGATGATGCAGCTGTGAGCCAAGAACATCAAGGGCTGCCAGCAGCTAAGAGTCTCCTCCAGGGCCTTCCGAGGGGACACAGCCCTGTCCACACTCTCAGTTCACACTCCTTGCCTCGGGAGCTGAGAGAGTGGAGCCACCCAATTTGTGGTGATGTTACAACTGTCAAAGGAAACCCACAGGCCAAAAATTCCTTCTGTGTTTTTAATGAAATGCTGCTTTTCAGAAGGCTCTTAATGGACATTAACGTTTCATTCTATGGCTTCGTGGCTCCTTGTGGGTCGTCTTGTCCAGGCTATTTCATCACCTTTTTGAGGGTAAGACCAATACTTAAAATGCCATTGATATAAAATGCTATTAGTACAGTAAGAAGCCTTTTCCTATGTGGTAATATATAATAACGTAGGGAACGTGTTATTTCCTATAATATAATAGGATGATGCCCACTCAGCCAACACACTTAACACCCCCATGTAGGTTCCGAACCGGTCCTTAAAATTACTGACTAAACATGGATTAGCTCAGTCTGCCCCGTGCATGATCAGGTCATCCATTTTAAACAGCCCAGGATGACTGTAATCACACTAAGAAAAAAGTTTTAATTAAATTCCAAGTGTTTCTTGGTCACATAGGTGGGAGGAATTAAGCTCCATTTTTCTCCACAAAACCATAAATCTCAGAGGTTTTCAACCATCCACCCACCTACCCCCAACTTTTTAAAATATTTCTTTTCCCTCAGTTCACAAGGATGCCAGAAAGGAAATCAGCCAATTTTGTTCTGTAACCAAGCAACAGAGAAAGAACTGGAACATGTGGTCAGAGAGAGAAGGAAAGACCGGCAGCCTCAGAGCACGCAAGACACCCCTCCGCGAGATCAAGGCTTCCTTGAAGGCTGGTACAGGAAGGTGTGGAAGAAATAAAGTTTGTTCCTTTCATTCATTTGTTATATAGTTACCAAGGCAAAAAAAAAAACAAAACAAAAAAACAAAACCAGATATTGATTCCATGTGTTTCCAAGGCAACAGGAGTGAGACCCCAGAGAGAAAAGGTCCAACCGCCTGGTGGTGAATTCGGAAGCACTCTTGTTTTTCATTTGGGCATCATCGCTCCTCGTTTTCACCTGGAAATCGGAGGTGCTCTTCTCCAGGTCTTCACAGACATGACACGGAATGGTAAATGCCTTCAAGGCAGAACTTGCCAAGGTTTCTTTTCCTGCGTCCACACCCAGCAGAGAGAATGCCCCCCGATACCGTGCGGAATGCCGCAGCGCTCAGTCGGAGCAACAGACTGATTTCACGGGAACTAGGGAAGGGACACGACACGCATCTCTTCTGAGGCCGTTCCAAGACCTGTCTCCGCTTGGCGGGTTCAGACCTGCCTGTTCTGCGCTCCCCCGAGGGCTGCGGAGGAGGGGGCCCCACGGGGGTGGCCGGGACACTTCCCACGCCCACCCTCTCCTCCCAGCCCCTGCTTCTGCTTCAGTGTCGGGCCTCTTGCTGGGTTGGATGTCTCTCCCCAACATTCAGGTCCTGCCCGGAAGCTCAGCCTGTGGCCAGACCTGGAAATAAGGTCACTGCAGATGTGACAAGTCCTACTAGCGGGGCCGGTGTCCTGGCCAGGAAAGAAACGCAGCGGCAGACACGCCGAGACGACAGTCAGCGGTCGACACACGCAGGGTGTGCGGAGAAGCTGCCCCAGCCCAAGGGACAGGGAGGGACAGGGAGGGTCAGCGAGCCCTGCGGGCCGGGCAGAGGCAGGCAGGGTCCTCCCGCAGAGCCTCAGGAGGGAGCTCGGTCCCTAACACCTTGATTTTGGATTTCCAGCCTCCAGGATGGGAAGAGAATAAATTCCTGTTGTTCTAAGAAACTCAACTTAATTTTTCACAGCAGCTCTGGGAAACAAACAGCCCCGGGTCTCTCTTTAGGACCTCAAATTGGCCCATCGCTTCCAGACTAATGCTCCTTTCCCTCTCTCCTCAACGTGTCCAGGTGATCTTCCTCACACAGGAGGCCCGTCCGGGCACTCTCTAGCCCAGAACCCCTCCACATCGCTCCCTGCCCTCAAGGGTGAAGCCCTGAGTCTTTGTCATGGTTTGAAAGACTCCACTGTCTCACCCTTGCCCTGCCCGGCGTCCTAAGGCTCTGAACAGCACCCGTACCCACATGGCGTTTTCTTCTCTCTCCCTAAGGATCCACGGCCCACTAGCACATCAGTGTCTATTCTACATGACCTAATAACTGCATGTCTCCTGTCCTATATAGGGAGAATGTCTTTCCTTAATTTCCCCCTTCAGGAAATGTATTTATTTTCAGAAAACTCCAATCAAATGTCACCTCTTCCATGAAGCCTTCCTGAGGGTCTCCTCCTCACAGACACTGCAGGGGAGAAGGGACCCGGCCCTGCTTTCAGCCTGTGGTTAGCGCACATGTCTCCCTCATGGCACAGGCAAACCGAATTCTCTTTTCTTTTTCTCCACCCATGAGGCTTAGTGCTCTCTGAGCTCCCTGAGGAAGCAGCTATGTCTGACACAGGATGAAAACCATGTTGGAAGTTAAAGATGCTAAACGGGTTTTCCACCCTGTTGAGCTTGAAGGGCTTGTAGCATACATAAGTGAAATTACTGGGCTCTGGAGAGGCTGGTCTGGAGAAACAGTTAAAGGAACCCAGCCTGATGGAGAGAGAAAGCCCCGGAGAGGACACGCACCACAAGATGGCGGCTGCCCCTGCCGCCGAGTTCCGTGGGTCTCCCGTCCTCGGACATCCACGCACCAGCACGGCCCTTCCTTCTGGCACTGCACTGCCTCGTAGTCCCCATTTCGACGGCAGCTGGGTACATAGGGGTGGCCAAAGCTGGTGGCCGCCAGCCGCTCCACTTCACATCTTGTGGGGCCTACGAGAAACCCATGCAGTCAAGGAGCCAGTGGGGTGCAGGCAGACGCGGCGGGTCAGTGCCAGAGCATAGCCCTGCTGCTAGGGTGTTTAAAATCTCTGCACCTGCTTTGGTGGAACAGCCAGGGACACGGCATTGATGTGAAAACCCGCACGGCTTCCTCCTAATCGGAGCCTTCACCTGCGTGGAGGCCTTAACACTTACATCGGAACCGGCCGGCGATGACCAGCTGAACGGCTAAGAACCGTCTCTGCAAGATCCGGTACAAGGTGGTTTCCGTAAAGGTGGAGGCAAGATCCAGGCCGGCAAAAATGGTGTCATAGATTTCATCGAGTAACAACTCCAAACCTGAGCAGAGAGAGCAAGCTACGGGTTGGGCTGGGTCACAAAGGAAGCTCTGACCTTGGGCACTGCAGGCAGATACGGAGAGGCCAGAGTCTTCTCAGCATCACTGCACATCAGTCTGCAGAAGACTTCCATGCTTTGCAGTCAGGGCTGCTGTGCACTGTTGTGCAGGTTGCTCACAGCACAAGGAAGCACAGCTGAGAAAGTGAGAGAAGACTACATCTACGCGGGTTCTACTTGCCAAGCTGGGGGCCGCCTCTTCTGGAGTGCGCAAGGCACTATGCCCAGAGGACCATACATGGACATTTGCTAGCCAGGCCCTCTCAATACCAGACAGGCTGCAGGTCAGCACAGCTATTTCGCTTTACAGGTAAGGCTGTCAGGCTCTCAGGCCCTGTAGAAGGCCCAGGTGTGCTCACCTGTCTCGGCCAGCTCCCGTCCTTGACTGTCAGCGCAGTGACAATACCCGGACACCTCGGGGAACCTGCTCCTGAAGGAACTGAAGGTCACAAATGCATCTGGAAACCTAAGGGGGGAGGGGTTACGGCCCCCATTTCAGTAAGGGCAAGTCACAGGTGCTCCCTGCAGAAATAAATGCATGTGGTCACAACCGCAGGGGAGAGGAGCTTCTGCTCTGTCTCCTGCCCTTCGCTCCATGCCGCCCACCCACGTGTCTTTTTCTCTAAATGGGTCGAACTTGACCAGGGCTCAGCGGAGCCTTATAAGATAAAGCTGTGCTAGCTGTCACCTACTAATTAGCCGTTCTCCTCACTCGTGGCTTCTGTCCAATGTATGCCCAAGCACATGTCCCACTGGATCAGCCAGAAAACAGGTCATGAGGATGGCAGGCGCCAGCTCTTCTACCCGCATCTACGTCTAGAGACTCAGGCCAAGTCTGCTTTGCAGACATATGGTGCAATGCAGATGATCTCATTTGGGAGATCAAACCTCTCCGCAGCCCCTTTACAACTTTCCAAGGGCTTGAAAAGAAGCCAGATTCCACCACCCGCAATTCTTAAGACGAACAGTTCCCGTAGCAGGGAAGAAAAAACGAAATCCACATGACATCACTCACATGGGCCCCACGTCCTATTTGCTGCATGGAGACCAGGAAAGCGACGTCTGCATCGCACCTGACTCAGCGACTGCCCAAGGCGGCCCCTGGCTGAGTCCCCAGCTGGGAGCAACCAGCGTGGGACATTTGAGGCCGGTTGACGTGAGTTAGCAACCAGCTAGAACCTTCCATCTTCGCACAGCACTGGAAGCCCTGTGGGCACACCCTCTTAGCCTGCCGGCCTGGCAAACCCCTTCCTAGCTCTGTCTGGAAACAAAGCCCTCAGCGTCAGCAGCAGGAGCAGCCGCTCTGAGAAATGGCACCTCTGCAGTGTCATCTCCCTGCGCAAAATCTAAACAACCCCAACATCCAAGGATAGGGAAATGTGATTGCAGTGAATCCCCTACATGGTGACGGGAGGAAGACGTGATGGCATAGCCCGCAGCAGTGACCGCTCTGTGCCAGCGGCGATGCCCTCTGCAGAGCCACAGCCAGAGCCGCGCAGGGCCCGGCAAGTGTCAGCGAATCTGGGTGGAGGCAGAGCTGCAGGACAAGGCCCGACGGACCCTGCTCCGTGTCAGTCCACTCCAGAGAGCACACGGACTAAAATAAAAAGGGCTTAGAGTGAGTTGCATAAGAGAAATGGAAAACTCTGCCCACTTGCCGCTGCTGGGAGGCCTGTGAGAAAAGCTCATCCTGAGCTAATTCCACTCCAGAGAACAGCCGTGTGATGTAGCGGCCTCAGCAGTGGGCAAAGCTTTGCCTTCCTCCTGATTCCCTCTATTTCCCACTTTTATCCTGTCTGGGCCTATCAGAAGAAAGGAGGAAGAGAAAATGTGAAATTTAAGTTAGAAAATAACAAGTATCTCATCTACTGGCAGGGGAGGCTCCCTCTGGTCAAATAAAAAGCAAAAATCTCAGGATGATCCTCAAGGAAGAAAACTTAGTGGAGGGGGAAATGAGGGCGTTCCTGAGCTGACACGCAGAGAGCAGCCAGCCTGGAGGCGGAGAAATCGCATCCCAGAGGGGTTATCAAGTTTTGAGTCCCTGGCACGTACCCTGCCCATTTGCAGTGTGGGACTCATGCTTCTGGGCTCAGGGAGGCAACACCCGTACTCAGCCAGACCTCCTACGTCCTCCCACAGAAATCCAACTAGGGATACACTCCCTGGAGCCAGGGCCCTGGCTGAACACAACACCCGGTGTTCCGCAGCCCACACTCAGCCTACAGGGGGGAATCGGGGGTCAGCCTGAAGGTCCTACCCGCAGTGGAGATGTGCTGGAATTCCACCGGGTCAGTATTTCTCCAGCCTCCTCCCAACTCACCTGGACCAGCACAGGGGTCCAGGCCCATGGAGGGGCCACTCTGCACCTGCCGCCCTGGACCCTAGTCTGTTCTTTCAGAAATCCAAGCCTAAGAATTATTAAAATACCCCAACCCCGCCAACCCCACCCCAGGTTTACGATCCTTGATGCAATACTGGAGACGCTCTTAAGCTTATCCGAAGTTCAAATGTAACTGGGCATCCTGTGTCTTATCTGGCAGCTGCAGATGCCAAGGCAGATTCCCCTCCACGGCTCCTTCCCCTCTGCCCAGTGGAGTCTCTGAGTCTGGCACTGCCCAGGTCTGCTTATCAACAAGTCCCTGAACTACAGCTGGGCTTCCAGCAACCAACCAGGACCCTTCCCACGACCTTCCTAAATAAGAACTCGCTCTGAGACATGCTTGCTTACATGAAAGAAAGGATCTCATTTCAGGTGCAGCTTTTTTCTCCCCCTTTTTCCATCTTAGACAATGGAGGCTAGGTCTCCAACTTTTGCATTTAACATGACTGCCCTCTTGTGGAAGGAGCTGTGAATTGTGTGCCAGGTTGGCACCCTGAGAAATTCTGGGTGCATGGAGTGGAAGCAAGCGCCTTACTGAGTGCCTTAGAGGGGGCAGAGCTGAATTGAGGTTTTGCAGGACATGAAAGGAACCAGACAGTGTAGAACCCACTAGACATGCTGCCTGGGTGGTGGGGGGGCATTCAGATTTGCCATCTGTATGCTGGAAGCCATAATTATTCAGTTATTTTTGTAGTAAGTATACGAAAGGATGGCAAACTATATAGCTCCCACTCTTCTGAACTTAAACTGAGCACCCACTAGTGGGCATCAGTGAGTTTCAGGGCTCAGGCTATGTGAGATTCACGTGTGCTCCAGGCAGGGGTGGGGGCCCCGGGGTGGGGACTCTAACCCCACCAGATGGTTGCTGAAGCTGGGTGATGGGTGAGCCATCCCTGCAGATACATAACATGCAATTCCCGTGGTGATTTCACAGACCAGGCCTTATCAGAGGTCCCTGTCCCCCCAGGAGCAGGATGCTGTCCTCTGATGTACAGATGGGGACACTGGTGCTCACAGAAGGTAAGTGACCAGGTCACTTTGCCAAGCACTGATAAGTCAGAAAGAGGGCCACAGAGGCCAAGCAGGTCATGCAGATGGATGGAGCAGGCAGGAGCATGGCAACGGGGTATGGAAGGACCCGGAGCTTTGGGGGACATGGCCTTGGTCCCAAAAAAAGACAGTTCAAGGCCATCTTCTCAGCACCAAGGGAGAATGCATACGGGCCCTCCCTCCTTTAAAATCAGGAAGTCATAATTTTGTATATTCAGTTGAACACATGAAAAATGTTCAACTATTTTTGCCTCCACAAGCAGAAATTTCATAGAGATCAAGTTCACACCCCTCAGTTTTGAACCAGCGTAGGGAGTTCCAACTGGCCTTTCTTACAGGAGCGTTCCAGGGCCCGGGCTGCTAGTCTGTGACCCCTCCTGGTCCAGCCCCATTGAGCCCCTGAGTCCCTCTCCCCAGAAATGAACTGGTTCTTGGGAAGCCAGCCACATCAAGGCGCAGGTCCCCCAAGGGGATTTCCATCCATATTTGCAGAGTAATATTTATGTTCACTCAGAAGATTTCAATGATTTCTGAAGCCTGGGTGGTCCTTTAACAATAATAAAGTCACCTGCTCAACTACCCAGAAGCTCCCTGATTATTTGGACCAAGGTCTGCACGGTATTTCCCTTTTTATACTTGTTATTCAAATCTTTAAACTTATTTGTAAGTGCACGCCATACGAAAACTGCAAAACATGCGTCCATGAGGTCATCCCCCGGCCCGTGAGAGCCACTTTTCCTGGTCTTCCGAGTCCCTCCCCCACCCCCACCCCTCCTCCTCCAAGCAACGCTGACCGCCAGGTGCCGTGAACATCGTGTGCACGCTGCTCCCTGTGCTCACTTAGTCCTGTGCAGACAGAACCCAATCCCTGATGCAGAGGAGAGGGTTTGCTTTGTTTTTTGGTTTTTTTTGCTAGTTTCTGAAAATTTAATCCTATGATCTGTTCCTTGAGACTCAGAGCACCGTGCCCCATCAGAGGCTCCTCGCAAGTCAGCCAGGGGAGTTCCGAAGCTCTGTGACGGGACTGCATCAGTGTTTACAGTGGAGGCGCATGTCCGCCGCCACCACCCGGGGTGGACCACTCTGTGCCCGGTTTTCCCCCACAAGCAAGGCTGAAGGAGACCCCCAGGCCTGTGTCGGCACACGCTGGGGCTCTTGTCTCCATGGGCTGGCTGGGCCACAGGTTCCTGTCATTTTCATTTTAAGAGCTGTTGCCAGCTTGCTTTGTTACAATGCCATGGCCCCACAGATGGCTGGGCTGCAGCCTCTGAGACTGAGGGGCACGCAGGTCAGCTGTATGGCACCGGCAGCCCCCATCTTGGGAGCACTGGGAAGAGAGGGGAGGGGACAGAGGGCCGTGGGATGCCCAGTGCTGCTCCCCTTACCTGTTGTAGCTGTGCACCAGGTCAAAAACCATCATGTCCGTGGTGTTGACAAACTTGCACTGGACAGGCATGAACCCTCCATCCGGTGAGCACTGGGGGGGTGACTTGTCCCCCACCCCGTGGAGCAGACGGCGGTTTCTGATCTCACAGCTCCCTGGACCTAGACATTTCCAAGGGGAAACTCTGAGTTCGGAAGGTGGAGCAGAGGCCTGTGCTGCTGCATCTGTTAGATACTCACTGAGGGACCCCACGGCCCAGGGGCTGCAGCAGGGGCTCCCAGATGCTCGTGCTGCTGCTGACCAGGCAGAGGATGCAGATCAAGCACCAGATGGACAGAGCAGAAATAAATGTTCTCTTATGGCCTGAGGACCAGGCTCTCTGCTTTTGCAGGGAGGCCTGGCAAGAGCTTGGTGACATGAAGGTGCCGGGCTGGGTGAGACTTACAGCGAGTGGGCCTCCCGAGCTGGCGGGTCCCGTAGACCTCCATGCCTTCATTGTCCACACACCAGCACTGCTCCTGCCTCAGGTCACACTGCACAGGCTCATAGTCTCCCGAGGCCTGACACTGGGGGAGGTAGGATGTGGCCGTGCTGTTAAGGTAGCCGCTCAGCAGGATCTGCTGCTTCTGCAGCTGGCAGAAGGACAGGCCTAGGGGGACAAAGAGCAGGTCAGGGCAGAGCAAGCAGCCTTCAAGGGCTGCAGCCCAGAAGAGCTCACACCCCCTCCCTAGAGGGACCAGCTGTATCCGGATTCCTCCTAGCATCCTGTCCAGTGGCTCAGAGGAGGGCAGATGTCATCCTGCCTCCTGGCAGCCAGACACCCCCAATAGACACCCCTCGATGTGACAGAAGGGAGGCAAGTATGGAGTAGGGGCCTGGCTGTCAGCAGAGCTCGATGTCCCCCTTTCTTGCTGTGTGACCTTGAGGAAGCTGCTTCCCCACCCTGCGCCTCACTCTCCTAAGTGCAAACAGCTGCCTCTTGAGTGGATGAGCATCCGTGATCCTGCCGGTCACTGGCCCACTGCACACCTACTGTGCACCTGGGGTGCCCCTGTGTTTATAAACTCAAAGCCACCCAGTGAGGCAGGTGCTACGTTCTGTCAGACGAGCACCCCTTGCTCAGCGAGGGCACGTAGCCAGCCGGTGTCCTCACCCGCGTGTTGAGCACCAGCCTGGCCCCCGAGTCAGCCAGGCTGGCTGTGAAAAAGCTGCGCCCCACAGGGAGCCTGCACCCTTCCGGCCGTGCCGTGTGGATTCAGCGTCAGTCCATGTTCTGGGGGCCAGCTCAACCGGACCTTTGCTTGAGGCTTAACAAGACTTGCTTCACACGGGACCACGATGACTTCTCACAACCATTTTACAGGTAACGTTTCGCCCAAGTCTCCGATTTTAGAAACAGCTGGTGTGGGAGGCGGGGGGTGACACACTGCGGGTGCACTTGGCCGCTTCCTGCCCTCACAGCCTTGGCTCTGTCTGCCGGCCTCCCCTCAGCGCCCCGCGGGGGGCCAGCCCCCCAGGACGCGGGCAGCGTGCTCGCAGGAGACAGGACTGGCCGGCTCTCGCTGTCCTGGGGGCCCAGGGCCGCCCATCGGGGTCGGTGAGCCCACTCGTGGGAAAGAACCGCGCCCAGAGGGAGCGCCGTGGCCACAGGCCCGGCCCAGCGCCCTGTCCGGGTGGGGCTGCCCAGCGGGGCCCTCCTCCCGCAGCCCCTCGCACTTACAAGCCAAGGGGCGCCCGTGCTGCCTGCTGCCGGGCACTTCCAGGCCGTCGGCACCCACGCACCAGCAGGAGCCGCCGTGCTCGCACTGGACGGGCCTGCGGAGGGAGGCACACACCGCAGGGACCGGTCAGCAGCTCACAAGGACACCACCCAGGTTCCCGCTCTCCCCCTGCACTCTGCCAGGAAGGGCAGCGAGACATGGCGTAGCCGGGTTGGGCAGCTGCGAGAGAACAAGCACCTCCCGCCCCCGGCTGACACGTGGCACCCCTCAGGCACTCGGCCCTCCAGTCTGTCCCCACCAGTGTGCAGCCATCAAGGGGCAGAGGGTAAGCCAGTGTCCCTCTTACACGGTGACGTGGACACGGCCCATCAAGGGGCCAGGCTGGCAGAGGGCAGGACCTGGGCTACACAGGGAAGCCATGGCTAAACGGAGGCTGGCAGGTGTGCACGGGGGGTATAAGGAGGTAAAATGGGGTTCAGGTAAAAAGCACAGGTGTCTGAGGCTCCTGGCACCTGGCCAGCTCCGGCTTCCCAGACAGTCCCTGCCCCCGGGAGCTGGAAGAGTCTGGTCAGGCCCCCGAAGGGACGTGCACTGGAGGAGGGAGGGGTGCTCCCCCTGTGTCCTGGAGCGCAGAGAGGGGTCCCCTAGTTCAAGGTAAAGGGCTGACCCCTGTAATCACTGCATGATTACAGGCACCCATCTCTTCCACAGGGGAGCAGTAGGTCGTCACCCCACCCCACTGGAGAAAGTCCCAGGACCCACGCCGGGGAGGGCGGCGGAGAAGTCTCACCGGACACTGACTGGGGCCAGAGGAGGCGCCTCCCTCCTGCTTGCTCAGTTGCAAGGAAAGGGGGGGCAGCAGGAGGAGGTGGCACCAGTTCACACATTACTTCACCCCTTTTATGACCACGGTGATGGCACAAGTCGGGGCTGGTAGGGAGGCGAATGCCAGGGCCGGCGCGTGAAGGGGGAGGGGTCCTGGGCTGTGTCCACTAGCTGGGTGGCCAGGAGGTGGGCACCTCCAAACAGAGGGGCCACCTCTCCCTACCCGGGGGAGTGAAGGGCCCAGGGGGCGGGGACCGGGCGCCCCCAAGGCCCTGGGGGCCGGAGCGCGAGGCGAGGAGGCCTTACTGGAAGCTGCCGTCCTCAGCGCACTGGGGCACGAAGCCCGCGCGCTGCAGGAAGGCCTGGTCCCGCCGCAGCTCACAGGGCCGGAGAGGCTGGGCATCCACCTGGTATTCTGGAAAAGCAGAGCGCGCGGTCAGCAGGGCCCCCCAGGCCTAGCGTCGGCCCGGCCCGAGAGGATGTCTGTGGCGCAAGCACCCTGGTCACCGCGGGCGGCAGAGGGGCTCACATAACCCTCGATTGCACCTTCCTGGAGCTGAGGTGGGGTAGGGCAGACCCGCACCCTAAAAGAGGTGGTCCTGGGTAGAAGAAGGTGCCCAGCCGGCACCCTGGAGCGCAGCAGGGGCTTAGGAGAAGCCACGGAGGGTCCCCAGGACGGGTGGTTTGCGCGCACCGTCGAGGAGGAGGCTGTGCAAGGGCCTCGATGGAAAATGTGCCCAGAGGAAATGTGGGGAGCCGAGTCCTGGGGCTCATTTCCATAATCGCAGGGTTCCCCGAAACCCGAACCCCCCACATGACCCACGAGCAGCCCCCCATCCCCACCCCCCCGCAGCCGGCCCCCACGCGCCGCCTGGTCCTTCGGGCCTGCCCGGGTTTGCCACGTTCTCTGGGTGGACAGACCCCGAGGTGCACCCCAAGGCCCCCAGGAAGTGGTGGCGCCGGCTGGTGCTCGGGCGTCTTTCAGCCCCAGAGAAGCGTCACTCTACTGCCTGCTGCCCAGGGCAGCCTAGGCCTCGGGATAACTAAGAACAATTTTTTGTGAAAAGTGTCAAAAAGTTGCAGGGTAGACTGGGAGACCGGACCTCCCTCCCCTCCCTCTGTGGCGCTGGCCCCTTCTCAGAACCTTCATCTGAAAAGGAAGGTGCAAGTGACAGGCCAGGGGGGGTCAGTGGGCGCCTCCAGCACCCCTGCTTCATGGTCGGGGTGCGGGACTCACCGAAGATGTTGGCCATCGCCAGGCAGGCCGAGCCCAGCAGACTGCAGGCCCACAGGACCGCGCCCATCTTCCCGAGGCCTCTGCAAGAGGGGCAGGAGGCCGCACAGGCCCAGCTCTGCCCTGGGGGCCTTTATGGAGCAGCCAGGGCTCCCTCCCCCCCACCCCCCAACTGCGCTCAAAGACGCAGCCCGGGCCTGTTTTTTCTGCAGGTCACAAGGCGCTCCTCCACCTGTGTCGGCCCCTCTGAGGACACTCGTGTGGCCAGTGGAGGGTGAGGACCTTGTCCAGGCCGCGGGGGAGCAGAACGGGGTGGGGAACCTTCGAAATTCCTCTTCATCGATAGAGGCCAAAGCTCTGGGGCTTGTGGGCACTAGGCTTGGATCCTGCGGGAGAAGAGCTGTCCTCCACTGTCATCCTCCACTGTCCAGCCTCTTTCCCGTCCTGCCTCTTGCCTCCTTTCTGGCCTCTCCCCCCTGCTCAGAGTAACAGTGAGACGAGCACAGCCTTGCTGGCCCCCGTGCTGCCCAATTCCAGCTGTTCTAAAGCCGAGTTTTCATGCAAGAGTTGAGCAGGGCTAGCAGTTTATGCACCGCCCCCCTTGGTTGCCCTCACCCCACCGTGCAGGCGCAGCGCAGCGGCCGGCCTGTGTGCTGAGTCACTCTCTCTGGCCTGGGCCCCTGGGAGCAGCAGCGAGGATCCCCGCCTCCTGACCCGTGTCTGGGGGTGAGGGCGTAGGGGGCTCTGCTCCACTGGGTTCAGTGCTTTGGGACACTGGAATTGGGGCTGTGCAGCAGGCAGGACAGGCCTGGAATGGGGGGAGGGGGTACCGCAGACTGGGCGGATGGCGCCTGGCCCCACCTGGAGGCTGCGTGAGGCTCAGCACCTGGGGCAAGAGCTCTCAACAGATCAGAGGACACACATGGGGTCCCCTCAGAATCGCCACCAAGAGCCCTGCAAGAAGTGCTTCTCTCCACCCAAGCAGCAGAGCGGGGAGCTTAGAGAGCCTCAGCAAGGCACCACCTCCGCCATGAAAACCTCTTTCTCACAGTGACTCAGCTACTGGGGGTGGGGGTGCGCTCGCCCTTCTGTGCTGAATGTAGGGAACCCACCCCAGGCGCCCCAGGATGCCCCGGTCTCCCTCCACCACTGCTCAGCTCACACTTCCCTCCTGGCTCTGCCATCTCTCCCGCCCTCCTCAGCCCCCAACACGACCTAAGCTTCTCCCTCGGCTGCTCCCTCCATAACCCCAGGGTGTGTTTCAGAACCAGTTAGAACTTTGTCTGCAAATGGAAAAGTATTGGTGGCCTTTAGGGGACTGCGGGCCAGGAGCACCGCGGCCAGACCCTGCAAGTGCCCAGCGAACGGAGACAGAGCTTCCAGGCAGGTTGCCTCTACAGGTAAACCAGCAAGCCCTTTCTCATTTTTTAAACTTTTATTCGCAGTCAGGTAATGCTGGCTGACAACAACGCATATGATTCAGGGTGTGGGTTGACACCACAGCCGCCACCGCAGCGCCCGGAGCCCTCCGCCACCGTCCACTGTGCCAGCAACCCGGTGGCTCCTCATCCCACCCTTCCGCTCTGCTAGAAAACTTCTTCAAAGAGGACAGAAAACACTGCAAACGAGAAAGGCCTGCATGTCCGTGCAGCGCGACGGAGGCCGGGCGCCATGGTCTTCCTCCCTTGGCGCTGGTCCTTCCGACTCCCGGCCCCGGGCTGCTGCCGGGTGCTGGTCTGTTGAGGGGGACTGGCGTGGTCCTCCCTTCAGGCCACGGAGGGGCCGGGCGTGGCAGCTGTGCCTGAGTTCTAGTCTAGTGCTCTGGTCATTGAAATCAGTTTTAATTTCGTGGCTCTCAGTCGCCTCCGAGGGGCAAGGTTTAGCAAGTGCCCACTGAAGACTTGGGGAAACACTGAGAAACCGGACGACAGAGGAGGAAACGGCTTCAGAACATCAGTGCTGCCATTTCTGAGCTCTGCCAGCTGTGCCCACCAGACCGTCGGCGGCCCTGGCCTAGGCTGCCGCCGTGACACAGCTCCACGCTGCTCACTGCCGGGGGCCTCGCCCCCCTCCACGGTTTCGGTTTCCCACATTCCCAGTGTTCAGAGTCACATGCCCCTCTCCTGGGTTTCCAGAGAATTCTAAAAATTCTTGGTACCTCATTTCTGCTTGCAGAGAGATGGAATCACATACTTTTCCCCTTTCCTCCTATTAAGTACAGCCGAGAGCCCTGGATACGACTTATAAAACAAGCAGAATAAATAAATAAATCTTTTTTTTTTTTTTAAAGTGCAGCAAGAGGCCAGAGCATTTAGAGAAAAATCCCTTCTTGTAAAATGAAAACCGGAGACAAAAGCATTCCCCTTCTCATAGTTCCCTAACATTCCCCGCCACCCCTTTATGTAAAGGACTGAACAAGGGTTAAGCAGAAGAGGAAATGACCCTATACTGAGAAATCCTATGCCCATCTCCATGAGACCCTACTAAGCATATGAATTGTATGAGCGTGGACAAAATACTGAATCCCTCTGTGAGCCAATTTCCTCTTCTATAAAATCACTAGTGCCTGGGGTCATTGGATGCGATTATTAGACAAATGGGTAAGACGCATAGTACAGTGCCCGGCATACACTAAGCACTCAAGATGATCTTGCAAAAATGAGAAAGTTCCAATGGTAGCAGCCCAGAATATTGGTCTTATTTCAGGCCCCTTTCTTTTCCTTCAACGTATTCAAAATATCTCAAGTTTTATTCCTTCTTTAACAAGTTACACTGGAAGTAGATTATCTGGCAACACCCCTTCACTAACCCTGGTGGGGTCATGTACAGCCCTGACCCACCGTGGCTGCTGTGCGGAATTGTGCAGCCTGCGCAGAGCTGAGTCTTAGAAATGTTTCCTCACCTCCAAATGTGTTTCCGCTCAAGCATCATGCTGAGCTTCCTGAGGCTCTTGAAGGCCATGGCCACTTGGGGCTGGTGGAAGCAGAAGCCTGATGTTCCTGAAACTATGCTCTGCTTCTTGAGTATCTGTTTTTCTACTTATCTTCTGTAGTAGAGGAATGTGATGCTAATGCTATTTTTTATTTTCCACTTTTATGTTCCTTTTGCTTTCAGGAAAACTCAGTCTATTTTCTACTAGTTTGAAAAAGTTCTTAAATCACTCACTTTTCTTCTGATTCATTTTAGACTAGTATTCTTTGCTGGACTTGAGTCTCCTTTTCCTTGTGGAAAACAAACTTCTAGGATTTGTCCTTTTGGGTTTTCAGATTGGAAGAGATAAAATCAGTAAATTCTGGGACTGCCTGTAGCAGTTTTAACAAACATACCTAATCTAATTTCCCACTATAAGTTTAATTAGCTTTCCTTTCTTCTGGGTCCTTGTATTCTTTGACATCACCTATCTCACGGAAAAATGCTTTTATGCTCCATTAGCCTACAGACTGTGATCTTATTAATTCCATATCCAGCCACATAATGTCTGGAACACAGACGACACTCAGTGTGTCAAATGTGATCTTCAACTTCAGTTATAAAGAATTGCTAAGTACTTTGCTTACTTTATTTCTCAAAGCAAGCTCCTCAAGTTCTGCATTATTTTCATTTTATGGGTAAGGAAACCAAAGCCGAGTGAGATCACTGGTAGTAAACTGCCAGAATGAAAAGTCTAAGCAGAGGATTAAATACATGCCAGTTCCACTACACCAAATTCTCACTCACTGACGTAGGAGTTCCTCCACAGCCTGGCATCATGCAGGGGGCCATGAGAAGCCCTTGTAATGGGAGAGAAATTAAAGCTTGGAGAAACATCTGGGTTTATAGACACACAGTAAGGGAGAGGTTTCCAGTAGAGTAAAATGACATGAGGCAAGACTGGAACCAACAATGAGGAGGTCGCATTGAAATGAATTTGAGAACTGGTTAGGAAAAGCACCGAAGATCTACGCATACAGACCTGGCTTGGTCTGAAATAGGGGGTCGTGAATGATTCCAGAACACTATCATGACAAAGACAGTTGCAACAGACCAAGAAAAGGGCTTCAGCTTGACTAGCCCAGGGCTTAAGTGTTGGACCTGCCACTAAGGTCTTCTCTAAGACACATCTCTGTCTCTAACCCCAGTTTCACGGTCATGAAAATAATCCTGTTTTATCTATTTTACAAATTAGATTCCACCAGTAACATATACCATGCCTGGCATGGAGTGGGCAGTGAGTGTTCATCTTCTAGCCTGGAACTGACCACTTTGATGAGCTACAATAAAAACTAAGTTACAGTATCGAAGGTCAATAGGAATTCCTCCAAGACACAACTTGAAGAAAAGTGGTACACCACTTGATTGAGGAGGAAGACAACACCATCCATTCTGCAGAACCCGCACCGGGATGACATGGCAATCAGGGAGCAATGAGCACTTCATGCCACGGCGCACAGGGAATGTCACCAGCAGAGACAGTGCAGTTGGCAAGGAAGCTGGTGGGCTGAAGGGAGAGGTGCTTTCTTGTAAACATGTGCAATTTGAACATTAGAGGAAATATGTCAGTGGAAATGAGTGTTAGAAAGAAGGATCCCTCCCCACCACTGCTCATTTTATTCTGTCCAGGAAGAAATGAAGTTATCTTTTCAAGAAATACCCTCGTGAGCTTATTGCTTCTACTTAAATATATAATAACTATGTTCTTAAAGTGAGATTAAGTAGAAAGAAAATCAACTCACTTGAAACTTCTCAGGATGTACCTATTTCTCAAAACCCAATCCATTCTCTTAAATAATGTTCAAGCCCCAGCTGCTAAAAGGCTTCTATGAATTGTTGATAGTCCACATTAAATGGGTATGTGCGTAGAAATAACATGATACAGATGTACTTTAAAAATTCTAATTAAAAATTCACATTTCCAATTCGTATAGGTGAAAGCAGAGCAGAAGTTTTAGCAATCTAATTATTAATGCAACTTCCAGTTTGTTGACTACTAACAACACAGTGCTCTAATTTTAAGACACAATAAGAACAAATATGCATTAATGGAACCATGGCACCCAGCCCTGAGAAGATGTGTGTTGGTGGGTGCAAAAGGTCTTCTGTGAACCTGACAAGCATCTAGGCAGCACCACTATTCGTAGATTAAATATGTCATTCCCATTTCTGGGGGAAAAAAAGGCATAACTTCAATGCCTAGAATTTAACCACCACAGGGCAAAGGTCAGAACTGTTATTTTTAGACAGAAAAGAAAAATAAAGTACCAACCTTGAAACACAGACATTAGCAAAATTTACTGCACACATGGAATATAGGCACTATTGTTTCACTTTAATATGCAAATGTAAACAACTACCCCATCACCTCTGCTAAAGCTTTTCATTTCTTAGAAAGATCGCTGACAAAGTTAATGCATCACAAGCAAATACAGAGGATGGTATCGAAGACTGGATTTTACGTCGGTTGATCTTTGGCACATTTGTTAAGACGGAAAATCTCAAAAGGCAATAAAAATTTCATAGTAACGGTTTTGCACATTCTTTTAATCATCTTTACATCAAAATGTAAGGCTGCAAAAAGGCAAACTGAAATTTTGGGATATGTGGAATACTTTTAATAAAGAGTTTTACATACAGTACCTTACATATAGAACAGTGTGTTTGCAAATTTAAATAATATCTGAATGTACAGTGGCATGTATTTTCTTATCAAAGATAAATTCAAGTATCCTGTCTATCAGTTCTAAAATGCACTTATACAGACCGCTGGAACTGACAGACAGAATGAGGCATGAAGTATTCAAGTGTGTATGTCCCCAAATAGCCTCCTCTTAACAGCCTTTTCCCCCTTTTTAAAAAAGTTTCAAAACCTGTACATACATTTTTAATTTTTAAAAACAGTCTGTTAAAAGGTAACATTTCATGTTAACCACCAATTCTTATAGACTATAGTAATAAAACTAGATATGTGTAGATATAAATATGTGTAGATTATGTACATATGTACGGTGAGTGTTTGTTTCAAACAAGCATGCACACTTGTGCACACCTGGGCATGGGGCACAGCTCACGAAAGCACTGGCAGACAGAGAACCTGGGCTCAAATCCAGCAAGAGCTAACACAGCAACTTGGTTGCCTTTGGTTTCAGGGATTTGTCCATTTGTGATCAAAGCTAAAAGTTTTGAGTGCGCATGTATTTTTTAAAAATAAAATTCATCTTCAGAAATGAAGGTTTTCCAGTATTCCACTACCAGCAGTTAAAAAAATCCACAGCCACAAATTATTTTGGTAAGTTTTGTCACTCCTCATCCCAGCTGAGGCTATTTACAATTTTTTCTGAAGGCAAACAGCAAAGCATCCTCAGTATCCAACTGTATGTCGAAGCCTGAATACTGCGACTCGAGCGTATGCGTCACATACAGCGTCGGCGTGCGCGAGGGAGATGTCCTCAGGGGCCGACGGTGTCCGAGGGACCCGGACAGGCGGCCCACGGCCCTTCTGCATGCCATTTTGTTTGGAACGAGCTTAATGCCTGCGATACCTTACAATGATTTGGTATCTGTTTTTAAAAAATATATTCATAATGAAGTCAGAATTCCACAACTGTTTCCCCCAGAAGTGAGACTTCTACTGTCAGTTTTTTGATTAAGGACATATGTCACCTAAGAAATATCTCATGATCCTATGAAAGCTGAAATACCCAAATTTTGGTGCAGCTGGGTCAGCTGCAAGAAAAGACAGTTCTTAAAACAACTTACAAACTCTCCAGAATTTCAGTTTCCTCTATAATTTTGTTTTTGGCCAAATGCTGGTTTACAAACATGGCTCTCCCACGACAAACTATATAAATGCACCATGTTCCTCCCTACAGGCATCTCAAGCTTCATATAGCAACCATTTAAAAATTTTGCTAATACCCTTAGTACAAATTATACTGCTTCACTGATCCTTGGTGTATAGCACATTGTCATTCGTAGCTTGCTCATAAATTTTGTTTAATTAGCTTCTTTGATGAAATTGTTCTTCATTTTCCTTTTCAAGGTGCCATCCTGATGTCACTAATTAGCTAATGACCAAACACCACTTAGCTTTTTCACCCTCCTCTGATCTTAACTATCCGCTCGCTACGTGGATGACAGCAGTCACTGACAGTGCCATGCTGCTTCGCCGGCCCCGCTGTCGTCATACAGAGCAAAGAGCTGCAATCTGCTGAACTTTGCCCATGTCGATCAGGAGCTGTTTGATGTGGCGTTTAAGCTGGGGCAGTCTGGCGAGAGGATCGGGCGGCTCCAACTCCCCTGTGAAATCAAGCCAGCTTTCCAGAACTAAAAGAGAGAAGAGAATTTCAGTGGCAAATGGAAGGAGAGTCACAGGATGGTATCAACAAGTGGGAAAGTGATGGAGATGAGAGCTCACTTTCCTTTCTCTAGAAGACAGTACGTTCCAGCTGCTTCCGAGAGGCTTAGCATCTTTTATGTCTTATCCCATGAGAGTTCTACTCCCTCCTGGTCACCTTTATCTGTTATCATTTTAGATAATTTCCCTCTTTATATATATATAAACTGAATTCATTTTGAAAGTGTCCTTTTCATTTCTTCTGGAACAGGAAACAACAGTTACCTACGCCTGCTCATGCTTTCCATTATTCAGACACAGATCCTCTCTACTTCATTTTAAATGAAATTAGATATGCTAACCAATTTTTTTAATCCCAAAGGCTTTTTTAACAAAGGAAAAGAGGTGGTAATTTCTCAGTGTCATTTTCATCCCACTATTTTATCAAGTTAAAAAAAATAAAAGCATATTAAAAGTCTAAGCAAAAGGCAATTTAGTCTATACTTAATAGGAAGTAGTATCTAGTTACATTTTTTTCCCTTCAAAGATCTACTCAGAACAAATGGAAGATGCTTCTAAGATGGGTTTCCACTTCGTCTTTCTTACAGAGAAAGAAGCAGTAAGACCTCTCAAGGGAGGGTGGAGGTATCACCTGCTTTTGCAAAATGTTTTAAAAAGGGAGGGCTTAAGTCTACAAGTTTAGGAGAAAAAAGGAGTCAGCACAGGAAAAACACTAGGTTAGGAATCTAAGTTACTCAGTTTTCTTTACTATAAAATAGGGATAGTATCTTCCCTGTCTTCTGAGCATTCCTCTGTAAAAAATTAAAGTATGAAAGAAAACGTAATGAAAATTTATATATAAACTTAAGGTTTATCTACTTAACCTTGATGATGTTTGCTATTGTTAATCTCACTTAATAAATACCAACCAAAGTGAAAACAAATATTCTGAAAATGCTTCCTCCCCCACACCCCGGGTCTCCCATTTCAATTATGCTTAAGGTCCTTATGCTGATTCCAAAGAAAACATAATCCCACGTGAGTTCTCTACTGCCTGGGGAGGGGCAGCACTGAACAAACGCCATGTGCCTGAGCAAACCCATATCCCATATACTGGCTGTGTTAAAAGAACGGGGAGGGGGGCAGCTGTAGCTTTTATCCCATAACTTAATTTTTTTTTTCCACAATAACATAAACACACTTCCCATACTATAGTTCTTTCTTCAATTACCATCAACTTCTTTCTCTATGAGGTCCATTCTGCTGGTGACTTCGTTCTGCACATTCTCAATGTGTGTGAGGAGGTTGAGCTGCCACTGAAGATGCGAGGCTCCTGGGTTGTCAGTGCCCTTTTTATCATGATAAACAAATACCGTATTCTTTGCTGCTGCGGCATTCTTTGCCAAAGAATCATTGGGGGAAAAACAAACAAACAAAGAAAGATTTGGAAGAAATGCAATGCTATAAAGGGAAAGATGTATTAAAAACCTCATCACCCACCATGACCAGTGAAATCCAGCCCTGACACCCAGAGTCTTCTCAGAGGATGTGCTCACACATCTGCCAGGCCTGGGAGCCGGCCGGCACCCACCACTGCTGTCCCATGCCCGCAGGACAGGTACAAGGCACTAGGCCCACATGCGGATAAAGCTGCTGACTAGATTCTGTTATTAGATCGCCCTGCTAATCCAAAACCACCCTTTTCTTGATTAATCTGAACCAGTGCCATGAGCGGAGCACAGGCTTTAAAGCAATGATAGAAATATCTAAAAAGTTGGCAAACACCAGCAGATCGTTTAATTAACTATAGACTGGACTTGACTATTAAGTAAAATCAATGAGGTGAGAGAAAAACATTTTTTAAAAATTTAAAAAATGCAAACTGCTCAACATACACACAATCTGAACTCTGATTTACCAGACAGCACCCATTTAATAATATTAACTTGAGAAATTAACTTGAGATACTATCCCTATTTTATAGAAATATTAACTTGTGAATATTAACTTGAAAAAATAAATTCGAACAAGTTTTATGAAATACAAGGTTCCCAAATTCACTTAAGTATCGATTTATAATGATTACTTGATAAAGGAGGCCAGAACAATAACCCATTTTAAAGTGACATTTCTAACTGAAAATCAATAAAAACACAGACCCCTCTCTAAGACCATCCCAGCAATTAGGAAAAGCTCACAAATGTTCGAAGTACATCTAGCTGCAGGAACTGAGCTTACTGCATGATGAGACTGATATGCACTTATATGCTAAAAATTTTTTATAAGTTCCACTTTCTATCTAAAACACATAAAAACAGAAGACAGATGTACTGTCGTGTTCGCACATATACCATCTCCAACACATAAAAAAGAAGATGAGCTATATTAACTCGCAAACATCCATATGCATGTCCACGTTCACACACAGACATCATTCAGAATAAGATGGGCTCATGTTTTCTGGAGGTATCTAGGGTGCTTATAAAATTGAAACTTTTGTCAGGGCAAAAGTTTTTTGATTTTTACAACCTTACATTGTCCAAATGGCCAGTGGTTGCTTATGAAGAAACAAAAAAATGTTTTTACCCTAACAAAGCACTGTGAGCTTGGAAATAAAATTAAATGTGGGCATTAACATGTTTTATTTTATTAAATTTCCCTTTGTTGTTCTCTCCTATTTTCTAAGCAAAGATCCGTGCAGTAATTATACCTTGTCAGCCATTCCATCTTCTTTAACTGAGTACTGTAAACGGTTTCTCTCTCTCATGTGGCATTCTTGTTCTTCTTCGAAACTACTAATGTCATCTTCATCTGAGCTCCCTGGGTCTACAAGAGATTTGCAGTCTTGACCAAAACTCTGTGGCTTCTGGTAGCTGTGCTCACTTGTTATATAAGTGCCTTCCACTCTTAAGGGCAAACGAGGCGGTTCTTTATGGTTCTGTACATGGGATTTCTTTTCCTCTAGATGGACTGTGTCTTGCACAGTTGTGATTTTTTTCTCTACTCCAGCAATTACTTCGTCTTGATCTTTTCGCTTCCCAGAACAAGCCCAGAGACGAAGGTCAGGATGCTGCTTATTCCTTAAACCAAATTTGAAGATACAGTAGTTTAGGGGAAAAAAAAGTATAGCTAACAAGGTTAATGCCATAATACCAGCCACCATGTAAATAACATAGTTACCTCTGGTTGTCCATGTTTTTCTATGCAGAGGACACTCACTCAGGTCTGAGCCCCAACTCTCTGCTGGAGACCTGACCCCCACCACAAGAGCCAGGCTCAAAGGAGGTCAAGGACTGAAGACAAAGGTGAAGATATTCTTTAGGCTAACCTGCCCCAGAATTTAACCAAAATGTGTGTTCTTATAGTTTTGCAGAAATAGTGAGGTAGGAAAATAATAGTGAATTTAATTCTGGTAATGATTCACGGTACTATTTGATATATAGACTTCTTTTTCTAAATTTTTCATTATAGTTTTTTATTACATGATATAAGAACTTTTATATTAGCATATTTTAAAATCTTTATCCAATTGAAAAGTAGTATTTAGTTATGACAAAAATTTGGACTATAAATGTGTGCAAAGTAAAAGTCCCAAGCCTTGGCAATCCTCAATAACAGGCATAATCTTACAGGTTTTCTCTCTCTATATAAAACTATTTTTACAATGGGTAAGCAGACACTTTCTCTTTTTTCATAAATGGGACTCTCAAACAATATGTTCTTTCCATATGTAACATGAACAGCCATCTTGCCTTGTCAGTACACAGAGAATTCCCTGATTTTTATCTAGTAGCTGAGCAGTATAAATGTACTGGTCTTGTCTAGCTAACGAGTTCCCCACAGAGAGATAGATAAGCGTTTGTGTGTATGTGTGTGTTTGCACATAAGTAGGAAATTTCAGTCAGATGAATGTCTGAGATAAGGAATTGCTAAATAAAGTATTTTTATTTCCACAGTGGTTTCCAAAAAAGGTGTACTGTGTACACCCTCACGGACAATCTATGATCACACCCTTTCACACCTATTGTCACTGAACACGTGGGCATGATACTGCATAGATAACCAGTGGTAATTGAAATCCTGCAGTTAGTGTAACAGGAATCATGCAGAGCTGCAGTGGCAGGAGGCTGTTTGGGAAGCACAAGCCTTTCAGCAGTCTCCATAAAGTCTGTGAATGGATTATAACCAAGTTAGAAAAATACCAGGGATTAAGTGAATTTTCTTCTAATAACACCCATATTTTTTCTGAAATTGTAATTTTTATCCTTTGGATACCTAATAATTCAATATCCAGAAAATACTACAATTGTCTGACAGTGAAAGGCATACTAGAAAGAAAGTTGGCTTTGCAGCCTAATAGTGCAATGGGTTGAATCCAGCTGTGCCAAGGAGGAACTCGGGTGAGACATGTAACTCTTCTCATTGACTACCCAACTATCAAACGAGGCAGGACTTATTTTACAGGCTAAATAGCATATGAAAACACCAATTGCTGGCATGTAGTACATTACCCATAAGTAGAAGCCAGCAATAATAACTGCTAATATTATTAGAAGTATTAACACAAGGAGGGCCTATAGGTATGAGGCAAAAAATGGTCCACCTAAAGTCCTGAGTCAAAGTATGAATGCAGAACATTCAGGCTGACATCAAGAGGGAAAAGCAAGTTTTTTTTAAAAAAGGCTTATAAGCTTAAAAAGGTAGTTGCACCCATGAATTTCAGTATTTGCATGGAATCTTAATTTCATATTCAGGGTGATGATAAACAACAGAAGCAAATTTCCTTAACAAATAGGTACTGGGTATTTATCCCTATACCATGGGATGATGCCAAGACACCACCCCTATCGGAATGGAACCTATTGCTTAGTAAGAGAAGACATACGTAAATAATACGGAGTCCACCTCAGTGCCTGTGCCAGTGCGCATGGGCTTGCCCAGAAGGGCATGATGAGCTCCAGGTGGGCAGGTAACCAGGAAAAGGTGTCGGCTGGAGGCACTAGCGGTATAAGGTTACTCTGAGTGTGAGTAAAGCCTGTTTCCCTCCCAGATTAGGATTTAGTATGGATGGGACATTTAGAGGGAAAAAATGAAGAGCGGGAAGACATGGCAACATGATGGAAGAAGGAATATTCCATGGAAAGGCTGCCTGCTGAAGAGCTCAGACTCCGTTCACAGGGCACCAGGCAAATTCCACGGCACATGAAGCCGAGAAGAGACCAGCCCTTATTTACCTTACACTGAACTCGCAGTGGCAATAACGAAGGATGAACTCAAAGCGAATTCCTGTGGCAAGTGCTCATGGGAAAAGAGCAGGCTGGGCTGAGACAGTAGTAGCAAGGAGAGAGGCAGGGACGAAGGGACATTAAGCAAAACAACAGGAAAACTTTGCGACCAGGTCCGCGAGGGAGGCCCTGAGACCTGAGGCAAGGGGCAAGTACCCAGCCCAGGCAAATGAGCTCAGACGAAGAAAATCTTGTGAAGAACCCTAATGAATCATCCTATTTTTATATGAATTTTTTTGGTTATTTTTTTAAAAAAAGAACTCTAGTGAGGCGTTAGGAAGAACTGAAAATGGTCTAGGATGACTAGGAGATACCTGGTGCACAGCAGAGGGGTGGAGATGACACGGCCTGTTGACTCCCTGCAAATTCAATCTTATGGTAATCAAAAAATAGACTTTCGCATCTATTTGCATTCCTGAAGGGGGACACACAATAGAGGGTTCCCCATAGCAACTACATGAAACAGAAGCACAGGACTAATATTTGTTGAAATACCAGATGCTGCATCTGCCTTCAGCACAGCTTACCTAGTTGAGGAAAACAGGCATGATGAAATAGCCCAAAAGTTAATAACCTCTGTTTTTCTTTAAGGTAAAACATATTCAAGTAACAATTCCAACTTCCAAACTGTTTATATGAACCTTCAAAAGGCCAACTGACTAAGTCTGAATCAACTTACGCAGAATCACCCTGTCTCCCACCCTCACTTACTTCAGAATCCCGATCTTCAGCTGCAGCCCATGCAGCACCTCCGTGACACCATAGACATCTGCGAGCAGGTGATGTGTGGAAACTATCTTTTTGGCATTGAGATGAGAATAATTTTCTTTTAAAAAGGATAACCCACACATTCTCCCATTATTCAGCCAGTCCTTATCATAACGGTATTTTGCATTCCATCTCTGACCTAGGGATGAAGTTGACATTAAAGTCACAAAGGATTCCACTCAGATTTCCCATCAAATGCTGCTGCCCCTACTAACATCATTTAGTAAGCAAGGCTACTCTCGAACAAAGAACAACTTCAAAAGAAGAGAAAGGCAGCACTGCAGGCTGCTTCCCTGCACCTTCAGATTTCCTCCCCACTAAGGGCACACACTTCAGGAAGGATGTGGACCGTGGCAGGTGACACCTATGGAGAACACTGCTTTCCAGAGTTTATGTACCTGCCATCTCTTCTCTCCAGGCTGAGGGCTGGCCAGGAACTAGACAGGGGTAGCTATGTCACCAATCTGTTTTGAACTGCATAAAATGAGAGAGTTCTAGCTAAGAGAACAGGGAACCCACCCCACGCCTGAGATCTCAAGAAATCCTACACAATTCTCTACCTCAGAGGTCAAGAGTCATCCGACCTCATTATGATTAGTTGCGTATGTGTCTGTGTCCCCTACCATACTGTGAGCTAGTGGAAGGTGTGGCTAAAGTATATTATCTTGCCTCTTCCCACAGTGCTTGGCAAGTAGAAGGCATTTAATAAATACTACCAAATGAATGACTAGAGAGGTTGGAATAAGTCTCCTGCTCCTAATGTTACTCTTCTTTGATAGACATGAGACAATCAATTCACTAGCTTTTATTTGAGAGCAGCTGGTTATTTTCTGCCTTGGAAGCCAAAAGTGTAAGTGAGACGCATAACACTGCGACCCCAAGAGCCTCCCGTGTGGAGGCAGCATCAGGGGGAGCCCGCAGACAGCAGGCCAAAAGGCACAGGCCTCTGCCTCAGCTGTGCTGCGCCCACACTATCCCTGTGTATGGGATGTCCAATTTTCCGTACCCACTTGCCTCATCAGTAAAAGAAGGGGATTGTATGTGATGACCTAAAATTTCATTTCCTTTACATTTAGTTGTATATATAGCCCTATCAGAAACCTTTTCCAAGTCACATCAGGAGGAGTGTGAGCTCAGAACACAGTTCTTTTCGACTAGCCACCGAACACCTATTTGGAAGTCACAGCACAGGAGCACCCTTGGAGCGAATTCTTCTCCAGGAAAAAGTCATAAACTATAGTTCCCATAAGGTAGTAATTTTGATGCATTTATCCTAACATTTCTGCCTATGCAAATTAATATGAAAAACAAAAGCATAACAGACAGTAAAAAATAGGGGGCATTTTTCACATGGAATCAAAGAAGGCACAAGACTCACGAGCCACACGCACGGGCCCAGCACGCAGACGCTTACCTGGCGGGTCCCGGCAGATGTAGCAGATGTACTGCTCAGGGATGCTCTCCTCCAGCAGCCCCATGCACGCGCTGTGCTGCCAACACAGGCACTCCTCGCACTGCCAGGAAAGAGAGTGGCGCTCAGGATCAGCGTCTACCCACCGGACAGACGGACAGACTCCCTTCCTTTCAATTAGGTCACTTAGTTCCTGGCTGCTGCAACTCAGTCAATTCTTATTTGATGTAACAAAATCAAGTGATGATTTAAGATAAATTTAAACAGTCACTATCTCAAGAACTTCCTCCTGTTGTACCTACTAAAAGGTGGTTTGGGAAACTGCTTACATTGTAAAAAGGTCATAAAATAGTTTCCTCATCTATTTCCCACTGATTTTGTGGCAACCCATCCTTACAACTCTTAACAATAGCTTACTCAAGTGCAGGAAGGGGGGCAGAGCAGTGCCCACCTCAAACTAGCCATGTGGCCAGCCTAGATGCCTCTAGGTCCCTTGCTGAGGAAACCATTCCTGAGCTCCAAATCATCCAAAGTCACCACAAAACATGGGTGATACTTCCCTTTTTTCTTAAAGATACTCTTTCTTAAAGAAGCTGCTTTTAGTGACTGATCTCTGCATCAAAGTTTTCCTTTTATCTTTGAGATCAGTGGAAATTTTGATGTCCCGGTGTCTTCCCATTGAAGGGTGACTATACAATGTCAATTATTAAACAACAGGGAGCCAGGCCAGTAAAAGGGCTGCTACGGCCTAGCAACCCACCTTGACAGCTCTTGAAGAGAATTTCAGCTTGAATCAGGCCTCCAACTCAACACCCAAGCACAGGGATTGACCCTCAGGCATGAAAACTGTCTACTTCCTGTAGAGATTTCCCAATCAATACTACTGTACTTACATGTCCCGTAAGTTACAAACCTCCCTCTAAACAGGACAGTCAGCAGGAGAAAGGCAGCCCTGTAAAGCCGCTGGGCACCCATGGGGACACCTCAGTACTAAAGGGGAGGGCAGGCACCTGAATCATGAAGCCGTTCTCCTCGTCCATTTCACAGACGCACCGCACAATTTCATTCAGAGCGTCATCTTCATCCTGAGATTCCTCAAAATTGGTTGAGTCAAAATCCTGGTTATACTCATCTCCACTGAGAAGCAAGCTCTCTGTTGAAGAATCATCTAGGAACTCCACATCTGATAAGTCTAGAACATACAAGAACAACACTCAGCATATTTTTCCCCGTTTCTATGTCATGTTCCAGAAAGATGGTATGTATGGCACACAGGTCTAAGCTGCTAAATATTTAGAAAGGAAGGGCCAACACGTGGGAATAGATTATCTGCCTCTGGACAAAGCAACAAGAGACTTTTGCAGCACAGGTAGTTGCGACTGCCTGACCTTCTACCGCACACACTGCTACAAGTGACTCGGTCGCCCGTAGTTTGGGCACTGACAGAGGCTACAGCCGAGGGCAAGGTTATTCAAATTGGCAGTTTTCAGATGCTCTCACAAATGTTATCCATCTGATCGCCACAAGAATCCAGAGTTGTGAAGAGATCAGGTTTCATGACCAGCATTGAAGCAGCCTGTAGAGATGATTACCACCATCACTCTGAACAGCACTGGCATCAGTGATCACTGCCCCTAACTGCACCATGTACTGTACCAAGCATTGTAACTATCAGACATATAACTTCCTCAAGGAAAATAGCTAATAAGTGATGAAGCCAACTGAGTACAGGACTGCCTGATTCTATACTGTGTGTTTAATGTATCGATGAGGTATATATACATATATGTATATCTTATTCACGTAACACTGGCTGACAGCACATATATATATGATTGAGGGGTGTAGGATCCACGTTTTTAATGATTTCACCAGTAGTTCTTAAACTGGGATCATGCATTCCAGATTTCATTTTGATACAAAGCTCTACAAAAATGAATACATTCTGAAAAGGAGATTATATGCAGGACTGCTACCTACAACTCAATGTAAATGCCAGGTTATAGGCTTGCATTTGTAAGAGTTGATGTCAAATACTACCCTTTAGCTCAGGCTACTGAGAAAAAGAAAATGAAGGAAACATAAGAAAATATTCATTTACGACAAAGGGAAAAGGTTGAGAGGACACTAACGCTTTTGCAGGAGTACACAAAGAAATGATGAGGAAAATGAGTCATCACGAGACACATAGTAGAAGACCTGAAGGCTGCCCGAGACTCCTGAGGTGAAGGCTCTCAGCGGAGCTCTGGGGACGGAGGTGGTTTTCCTACCTCCCCACCCTGTCCTCGACTCACATTCTGAATGGCAAAGTCACCTGCTGATACTCATCTCCCCTCTCCAGAATGTCAAGAGTCCATGAGAAAAAGGGTTTTGTAATGTTGAATGCTCCCTATCCAGTGCTTAACATGAGGCCTGATCTATGCAGTAGCACCTCATGACAGTATTTCAAAGAGCAAGGAGGGAGTCTAGGTACAGATAATTTCCCTCACACTTATTCAGGCCAAATGCAAAGTGGCTGAGTTCAAAGTAAACATGCATGCTATTTATAAATATTTCACAACTTAGTGTTTCTTCTCTCAGCTTATCATCTTTTTTTCCCCCGACTTAACCGTTTTCAAATGTTTTATTGTTTTTATAAAAATTAATGTTTTATAAAAACCGCTTTTTTTTTAAGTAAGTTTTCTTCCTTTTGTGCCTTGGGGCACAATGGATAGAGTAACATGTAGAAATGAGATGATGATAAATACATGAAAACATTTGAGGAGCAAGAAGTAAACCAAATAGGTAGACACAGTAGTTTTGAGGATCACAGGAGAAAATTTTGCTGGCTTAAATCCAAAATTAGTATTTTCTTTTGGACTCTCCTGAATACAAATTCTGTTTCACAATGACAGACTAAAATGTGGAGAAACAGCTTCCAGTAATATTGAAACATGTGTTATTAAATGGATAGCAATAAAAATTAACTGAAAACCAGGATTGCTGAATCAGCGTGCATCTCACACAGGCTTGCATGACCGAAATCATTGGCCAGAAAATCCAGTTTGAGTAACTGATCCCAAACATCAAACAGATTTCTGGCTGATATCTAGGGGTGGCATAAATGATTCCTGGATTGTAAGTTGTCAGGAAAAGCAAGTCCAAGTTGCTTCTCATACTTAAGTAGCCATCTGGACACTAGCTGCACGGGAGGGCCACAAGAACACCCACCTGTTCCCTTCCAACTGCTCCCCCTTGAGCTATCATTGCTATTTTCCAAGACAGCATTCTCAGTGAGGGTTCCAAATGCACACCACCTGGGATCTTGTTAGAAATCAGGAATTCTGACTGAGGCTCAGAACTGCTTGAGCAAGCTCTCCAGGTGGCCCTCATGCATGCTAACATTTCAGAGCCTCTGCCTCTTGTTAGCATCCCTCTTCTTTCTCCTGACTCCATGGTTGATCATAAGAAGGGCAAAGCAAAGAACGCTGGAATTGGAATACGATTTCATGACACTCTTTCTAACACTCTCAGATATTCCAGTTCCAGCACACCATCAGTCTAGATACACTCCCCCATTCTCCATCATTCTGTATATAAGACACTTCTCAGACCTTCACGGCTCACAGGATATGTGTTCTTATGTGATTTTTCAATACTTGTTGCCTGCCCCAGATTCACCCAGAACTCTCGTGTACTTGTGCTCCATGGCAGGGCCCAGTATGGGTGTAGGAGCATCAGAGCGATGACTATAACTCACACCTGGTCTGAAGCTGCCGTGGCATGGCCCAAGTGAGGAAAGGGTACTTGTGCTATGGAAAGAGTATGGGTGGGGGTAGAGAGGGAACTTTTCCTAATTTTCCCTCCCCCTGATTGTTTTATTAAAGGCGGAGTGTGCTTTGTCTCCACTGTGAGAGAGTTGTTAGGCTTGGGAGAGAGCAGGTAACAGGCCAACAGAAAACACTTTGCCTAGTGACACCATGTAAGGCTCTCCGAAAGAAAGGCAGGAAGTGAATGCACTCGTAATTACCCCTGGGGTTCTCTTCATTCCCTTGTGCAGTGTCCGACCGTGCTAGACAGACCTCTAGTCTCAAGTCACTGACATGGCTGTCTACACTGGGGGGAGTCTCCCTTTCCACTGCTTTGAACACTGCAAGGTGAGTCCTCACAGTTTCCACTTCCAGGGCTGGGCTTGCAGGAGACCTGACAGACCCAAGCCCAGGGTTCTTTTCACCACCCGACAATGCCCTCAGTCCCTGTAAGAGCGACTAATAACTGATTGTGTACAAAGCATTGATCTGACCACATTCTCAAACCTTTCGTGACAGGTTTATTTGTGATCAGAAATTCAAAGTATATTTTTAGGACTATAACAAATATTTGGCTAAAATAAGAAGCATCTTCTTTAAAGACAGACCTTGATTTGAATTTTCATTCTAAAACACAGTAAGCTGAAAAGTTGCTTTATCTATAAAACTTTGCTTATGTATCTATGTCATGGAATTATTATCTACTTTATAACTAGGCAGTGAAAAATATGAGAATATATGTAAAAACACCTACAGAAGACCAGTCTACAGAGACATTAGTAGTTTCCTTACCATCGCTCAAATAATTAGTACAAAAGCCAACTTTATAGGAATTAAAAGTACTCAAATTTCTAATGTTGACATTTTCATATTAGTTCATGGAGTAACTTTTTATATTGTGTGCCCTGCTCAGATAAGCCCTCAATCAAGTATGTTTTATTCTCATTTCCACATTTAAGAATCTTAAGACTTGTTTTAAGCATTACATGGTTACACATACTTTCACCACTAAGATCAACTGACAAAATTGCCCTTGGGTACTGATATGTTGTATTTTTCTCCGTAAACATGCTTCGCAGAGCCAGAGAACTCCCAGAAGATCGAGTTAGTGGAGAAGAGCACCTTTCCAAAAATTCTAGGGAACTGTCTTCATAGTCTGAATAGTCTGCAACATAAGATACATAAAGAAGTATTAATAAAGTGTCAGGTAATCAAGAAGAGTCACTATAAATATAACGAGAAAGTCATGTTTCAGGACATACAAAGCATTCACGCCACTACCACCTCCTCTTGTCCATGGACACTAGATGATTATGTATCTGAAAAACTGCATTTGGCAAGAACATCCGGGAAATACATCCCAGGCAGCAGCACAGATGAAGCAGGAGTCACTGTGTTTTACCTGGTACTAGTAAACTTGTTCAGTCATCCAGAAGTGAAAAAGGATTGTTTTTACATTTTCTCTCCGCTATAGTCACAGCTATGTCTGCAGTAAGATATGCAAGGCGGAAATTAACCTTTTCTTTTTCGCACTCTGTAAAGAGGTTCTCATGATGTCTAGCAAGCCAATTATTACAGCAGTAATTTGATCAATAAATCCTTCAGCAAAATGCCTCTGAATGAAATTAACTGTCTTGAAAGAAATCAGTCAGAAAGGGTTGAAGAATACCAGGATTTTATAATCAGACACACATTCCCTTGGCAGAGTCAAGGAGGGGTGAGGATGGATATGCCCGGTGGGTGGGCAGGGAGGTGTGGTGGAGAGAAGACGAGAAAGTGTCCGTGCAAGGGCTTCGCTTCCTTCCCTGAGTGTGAGACAGAGGATGTAAAGGGAGGCAGGCTGGGGAATAAATAAATAAAAGGGAACGAGTGGGATAAGCTGAGCAGGATGAGAGTAAGGCATTTACAATGGCAGAGCAAGAACAATGCTGGTGCGTACTGAGAGTCCATTGGAAGTCAGTGATTGTGGAAGCACAATAATGGTCCCCAGTGATATCTGTATCTTATCCCTGGAAGCTGTGACCAACTTAGGGGCATGAGAAAAGGAAGTAAAACTGCTGATCAGCAGACCCTCAAATAGGGAGATTAGCTCTGGATCATCTGGGCGGGCCCAGTGATATTACAAGGACCCCTAAAAGCAAAGGAGGGAGGCAGAAAAGTCAGTGTGGAAGTGGCATGAAAGGAGAAAGCCCTGAGTGACCATTACTGTCTTTGAATGTGGGAGGGGGACACATGGAGAGACACGCCACCACCTCTGGAAGCTGGAAAAGTGCACCCCTGCTAGAGTCTTAAGAAAGGAACACACCCTTTCGGCACCTTGCTCTCAGCCCAGTGGAGCCCATTTTGGAATTCCGATTTTCAGAACTTGGAGAGAATAAATTTGTGTTGTTTTAAGTCACTGATCTGTGTAATTTGTGACAGCAGCAGTGGGACACCCATCCAGTGGCCATCCCAAATACCACAACATAGCCCACCGTCCTGAGAGCTCTCCACGCGCCATGCGGACATCTAAATCTAGAAGCCCTATTCAGCCAAAAAGCAATTTCACTGGTTTTCAACACTGAAGTGCACATAAACTGGAAAGCTTGTTAAAACACACCCCTGGGCTCACTCCCCATGGGTGAGCGGTGGGGACACTCTCTGCTGATGCCGATGCTGTCAAAAAACAGAGCAGCCTCTGAATGCCGAGAGCCGCTCTACCTCTCTGGCCTCACAGGAACTGCTGGTGTGCCAGACACCATGTCTTGCAGGCCCAGGCCTGGGAAGGCGTCCATGCAATGCTAGCCAGATTCTGGTAAGTTCTTTACAGTGACTCCCCTATTGAGTCCTAACAATAACTCAGCCAAGAAGAAAATATCACTACCATTTTAAAAGTGAGGAAAGTGAGGTTTATGGAATTTAAACAACTCGCCAAAAGTCGCCAGGCACTAATTATTGTAGTCAGGAATTGAACCCACAAAGCTGCCCTTTGATCAACTATGTATTTATCACCCTTTCAGCAAAAATGAAAGTAGGAGCATCTGAATCTAAAAACAATGAGAGAAATCTCAGTTCCATGATAAAAGTAAAACATGGCTGACATTTAATCTCTGTTATATAACAACTGAACAACATTTTTTAGCATTCTCTACCTCACTTGTACTCCCAACTCCAATCCCCTTTGGCCATTATGAATAAAAGTCTACAGCTATGTTTGATAGCTAGATCAAAGGAAATCTTCTCCAAAAAGTCCCTTCCTTGATCACTCTAGCTTTCCCATAAACTAAGTAGAATATATTTTGTACCACTTTAAGGGCATATAGCATATCATACCTTCCTGGTAGATATTTGTGCAGACTTCTTATCTCTCTCATTATAAACTTGTGTGCTTATGTTACAAACTCCTTGAAGGGAATTTTTGTTTGTACTGATTTAATACACAATGCTTTGGATGCTGGATCCTCTTAGCATTTCTCATCTTAGTTGTTTTAAATCTCTGTACGCCTTCCATTTCCACATATTTACAGACACATAAAAGACACAAAGATGAAAGACTTGCTCAAAGTAACCAAATTAAAAACTGGCTGAGATGTCATTCTGCAATAAACCTAACAGGTCCATTTCCCACACACTTGGATGGAACACAATGTTAGTTTTTGATCTAAATCTGGTAATCAAAACATATGTCAACCTACTATTGTACCAATAATCATGAAAAGTTACTTAACTAAATTGCTACTAATTATTGCTTCATTTAAAATATCAGATAATCACAAGAACTTAGTATGTCAACAAAGACAAGTACAAACTAGCAGAGTCTACTAGTCAGTCAGGGGCAGGAGGCCAGAGTAACACCAGCCTGATGGTCAAAGTTCAGCTCTGAATCCAAAGCAGACCACCTGCTGAGCACTGTCACCATGTGAGCTTGAACCACTCTTTTCCTCAGTCACTTATTTGTAAAATGGGGATAACAGGCCCTGCTGTGAAGGATTAATTTGAGGAGTAAATGAACTAGTAGTATATGTGAAACGCTTAGTGACTCCTACATAATGAAAACAAGCAGGATATGTAAAACATTCAGTGAGTAAATAAAATAATCTTTAAAACTCCCTCATGGCAGTAACTGTGGGCTAAAACACTTTTTATATTAGAAGCTTCCTGTACTAGTAATCATTCACAATAGAGATGTCTCTTAAAGTTATTTAAAACCTCCTATTTCTAGCTCAGCGACCACGCTTATAATTTAATCACCCAGGGAAAAGCATCACTTCCAAGATGAAAGTAAACAGCCCAGAATAAGAGCTCCTCAAACATAAGGAGGAGCTGCCAGGAAGCTGGTGACAGGGACACACCTTTAAGGAAATGTCACCATCATTTAAGGTCCCTCTGCATCATTTTTTGATAAATTCCCTTCCTGCTATCCTGAACTTCTGTTGATGGGTCTTGCTTTTCTTTAATGTGTTTACTACATAGCATTGAGTTTCTAAACATTGCACTGTTTAACTTTTTGACATTTACATAAATGAAGCTATATCACAGGTTTCTTTAGTAACTTGGTTTTCAGCTCATCATTTTGTTCTTGGGACTCCTGAGGATGTGATTTCTTCATTCACACAGTGTTGTGGATTCCACTGAATGGCTGAGGCCAATGCAGTTGTGGGCGCCCTTGCATAGGCCCTGTGACCCTGTGAGTCAGCTGGAAGCTGAGGGCACCTGGCCAGCACAGCTTCGCCCTAACTGGAGGATGCCCACTTGTCTGTCGTTTCTCAGCAGCACCTGCTACCATCCCCCTGGTACTTGTGCTCAGGTGGCGAGTAGAAACTGCATTTATCCAGCTTCTCGTAAGATTGAACATCTCACCATACACTCATCTTAGCATTTTAAGATTTCCACTTGTGTGAAGTACCTGTCAAAATCTCTTGTCCGTTTTCTTACTGGATTCTTTCTAATTTCTGAGTTTGAATTTATTCTAAATACTAGAAGTCTATCAGGTCTATGCATTGCAAATATCTTCTGAGGCTTGTGTGTGTGTTTTTTTCACTCTTTGTAGTAACTTTTCATAAATCAAAGTTCTAAATTTCAGTCTAGTCAAATTTGCAACCTTTTCCTTCAGGGTTCACTTAGAAAACCTTCCCAAAGTTCATAAAGAGGTTTTTCTATACTGTCTTTCAGAGTTTTATGGCTTCAGCTTTCACACATTCAGTCCTTAATTAACATGGAATTGGCACGTGTATATGCTGTACATTAGGAGTTCAGTTTCATTTTTCTTTCCTATATGGATTATCCATTGTTCTAATGCTATTTACTGAAAAATCCATCTTTTGCCCACGAATATACAATGCCAGCTCTGTATAAATTGAGTTTTGAAATATGTATGGCTTTTCTTTGGTTACTCTGCCTTAAATCAGTATGTCTATTCTTCCAAAACACCTCTCTCCCTTACATAGCAGACAATAATCTTCACATTTTCCTTTAAAGGGACTATCATTTCTACCTCTTTACTCTTCCAGTTTCTGGCGTCAGCACAGTTGCTGCAATCCCTTTACATGAAGTGACGTTTTCTCAATCCCCAATCTACTAACCATGGATATCAATTATTTCCCATTAATTTAGGCTTTATTAGTTTCCAAATAAGGTTTTATATCTGCTATTCAGAGTTGGTTTTTTTTAAAAATATAAAGACACATGGATGAATCAATGGTTTTTCTGTATTTAGAGAGACCGTAATGTTTTTTTCTCTTTCATCTATTACTGAGGTAAAATTTGATGACTCATGCTCTAACATCAAAACAACTTAGCCTTCTAATCCAAGGTAGCAGTATTTTTCTATGCACTGCTGGATTTAATTATCACATTCGCTAATGGGTTTTACATCTATGATCACCAATGAGAACAGCTAATGACTGTCCTTTCCCATATTGTTCTGGGTTGGGGAGCAAAGCTACTTGTCATCTAAAATAAACTTAAAGTTGTATTAGTTTCCCAGGACTGCCCCAACAAACTACTACAGTTTTGAGGGTTCAAACAACAGAATATTCTTTCATTGCGTGGCAGGCCAGAAGTCCAAAACCAGGTGTCAAACAGGCCTTGTCCCTCTTAGGCCCTAAGGCAAATCCTTCCTTGCCTCTTCAGTTCCTGGTGGTTCCCAGCTTAGGGTTGCATCAACCCACTTACTACCGGTGTCATCACAAAGCCTCTCCCCCGTGTACCTCAGGTCTTCCTCTTCTTTCTCTTTCAAGACACCGTAAATCTCTTTGCCATAAAGGCTCTTTGCCCCACCATAAATCTAAGATGATTTCATTCTTAATCACATGGGCACAGATACTATTCCCAAATACAGCTACATTCACAGGTATGGGGAGACACCTTCGCCCCACTACAGCAGTGTCCTTTCTTTTTTGAAATTGTGAAATAATTTACATAAATTTGTAATATTCTATTTTTGAATATTAATTTTTTTTTTAGGTTTAAGACTATTCAGGGCACTCAATGCTGCTTTGTCAGAGGCTAGTGGACCATAATGCTGGGAATCCAAGTCTCTAATCAGCTGCAAAGATTCATTTACTGAACAGATTAAAACAGAGTTGATTTTTTCAAAATTATCAAGACAAAGGAAAGTGACAGAAACTTCTCAGTACTCAACATGGGGATCTTCTCATATCCCTACTTTGGTAAGAGGCAAGTAGAAAAATTTTGATAATTTTTAAAAAGATGGGAGTTAAGATGTTAACATACTCACCATGCTGCTTAGATTTCTTTTTCTTCTTCTTCTTCTTTTTCTGTTTAGGTTTGTAGTGATCTTTGTCTCGCTTCTCTTTTCTTTCCTTATCCTTTTCTTTTCTCTTACCTGCATGACAAAGACAAGTCAGTGATCATGGCTGATCTTGCTTTGCTCCTCTGCGGCTAGCATAGAAGCAGCATTTATGTTTCATTCAGGTACTCCAGTCGCCTGCCCAGAACAGATGGGTCAATTAAACTGTCCCTGTCATGCCTCTGGCACTCCTGATTAGCCTTATGGACTATAAAAAGGGGTCTTCATTAGCAGTGTTAAGAAATTCCCCTACCTAACACCTTAAAGTCAACACAGATGGTAATTAAAATCTTTAAATAGTAATAGAACTCAGTTTTCTGTTGGCAAAAAATAAACTCCACAATTTAAGAAAGACTTGACTGAGGAAACTCAGCATTTTCCATATAGTAATAAGAAGTTATGCTAAGATTTGAAAAATCTGCTGAACTGTTTACTTTGGCAAAATAAAAAAAAAAAATTAAATCCATAAGTAACGCCTTCAGTTTTTCAATACTTTGTGGGTGCACAGAAGGCTAAGAACACAAACAAAAAACCTTACTTCATTAAGTGATTTTTTCCCACAATTTTAAAATATCCCTTTTACACAACCATATGTACTTCAAAGAAAATGAATGAATATCAAGCAGTTTCCTAAAACAATTTATTTAAAAGAAATGCCATCACATATATTCAACTTTTTCCTCCAATTCAGAATGGTTTAGTCTATAATTTATCAACCACATTTAACTTTCAGTGACCCAAGCTTCAGTTAGCTAAATCTGTAGAATATTTAAGATTTAATCATTCGTTCTTCCAAGACATTTAGTTATTACAGCACATAAGATAGAAAAGATGGCAGAAAACCCGGTAAGTTCTTTTACAAGGGAGGTTGAAATGGTAACTTATTTTTAAATAATCATAATTTTAATCTTTATGTTCAAACCACACGGTTATCAGAGAGAGGTAATTTAGACCCCTTGACAAAAACTACACAAATTACTAGAAGAGATGTTTCAAGCAATCACTCGTCCGAAGTTCAGTAACACTAGTAAACACTAAGCAGATGACCACTTACACCTAAGGGAGCACTAACAGGTAACAAGTAAGGACAGACTATGTCCTCTCACTCTCAAGCTGTACAGTCTTTTGCTTAAAGATTACTTTCTGTTCATACCAAATGCTGTGGAGCTTTTTTCTTCCAATTTCACTTTTTTTTCTGTTTTCGATATTCCTGTAGGTTAAGGGGGAAAATATGGAAATTAAGTTAGAAAGGGTTAAAAGCATGAGACAGTTTAAATTACAACTGCTCACAAAACTACACATTAAAGGTTTACATTGTTGTACTGTTTGAAGTACTACAAACAAGTGGGATTTCTTAATTGAAAAAACTGTTAAAATTCAGTTAAGCATGAATCTAGTTCATCAGACTAACCAGATTCAATCCTGGTTTCACCACTTACTAGATGTGTGGCCTTGAGTAAATCATTTAATATCTACCTGTGCTTCAGTTTTCCTCACCTGCTGAACGGGAATTAGAGTATCTGCCTTGTATTGTTGTAAGGGTTAGATAAGTCAATGTGAATACACTGCTTAGCACAGTGTCTGAAACATATTAAGTTCTTATACTTTTCCTTTGTGGTGGGGTATTAATTTGAGACTGTATCATTTTTTTCCTAGAAATGTCATAAGTCTAGAACTAAATGTAAAAAATTTCAAGATAAAAATAGTAGGCTATCAGCAAGGATCTACCCTGGCAGCATGGCCTGCTGATCCAGAAGATGCTGAAAAGCACGGGAGTGGTTGGTCCATGCAACATTTTTGCTTCTGTGACAGTCAAGATGTGAATGCTATTCAGGCCAACCCAATGAAATATTACACTTCATATTAAAGTATAATGGTTTTCAACACCTTGTATAACTTTTTTTAAATAATATTTAATCTCTGTTGTCCTAAAACAACCTTTGAACTTCATCATAAATATGTTGTTAGGTAACAATAACGCTCAAAACAGAATTATTCCACAAATCATTTTTGGTCTATATCTATCAATAAATGTAAAATACAAAGACTTACTTACACATCAAAATATCCACCCCAATGGCATGCAGATATTATCTAATAGCCCCAAATACATTTTTAAACCAATAACTGAAGCAATTAAATTTAATGAAGTTCTTAATTCACCTTCACTATTTTTGATGCCATCTTAATTTGTGTCTAGGGTTAATCTAAGAAAAATGCCACAATATATTTAAAATGCAATTTCAGTCTACTAAATTATGCTTTAATATCAACTCTTACAAATTCTTTTGATTTCCTTATCACAGAATCAGTATTACAAAGATCAGCATCTTATTCAAATTACTTCATATATTTGATGTAATTTGAATCAAATATAATAGTAATATAAAATACCACTCCGGAAAACAAACCATATATAAGAGGTGTTGATTTATAATGATGTACACCTGAAACCTATATAATGTTATAAACCAATGCTACTGTAATAAAATTTTCCTTAATTGTACAAATTAAAATTTAAAAATACTAATCTATACAATTTTATAAGCTGTTATTTTAATAAAATTTTCCTTAAATGTCAAAAATAAAATTTTTTGAAAGAATAGTAACCTATTTAGCCCATTTAAAAAATTAAAATACCACTTAACTTGAATTAAATGCTAATAAGGTTCTAGTAAGTAAATTTCAAATTAATTAAGAATATTGATAGCCTCCACTTCTTATGTCCCAAACTGGAAGGGACATCAGCACAAAAAGAAACACTTTTAAATTTCCTTATTACCATGACTACTGAATAAAAACATCACTTCCTTTTTACTAATTACTATTAATTAATGCATTGTGAAAATCCTACAAATTTGATGTGATTTCTTGAAAATAATAAAGCATTTACAGTGTAAACAGTAAGAGCATTGCTTTATAAATGCTCCATAATAGTACAGGTGTGTGCACAAGCAGCAATGATAATGATTACCGCTTCCTAGGCCCTTAAGTCCCTGAAGCACTGACTCTGGGTTGAAAGGTGAAACAAGACTGGAATCCCCTGGGTTGATTAAAATGAAAAGAACTGCTTTATTGGGCTGTCTTTACTGACTAGAAAGGCAGGGGTCTCTCAGGTGCAGGGGTCTCTCAGGTGCTTGGAAGACAAATGCAGTTAATTATGAATCACTGCTCAGTAAGCCAGCTCCTACAGCAAAAAGAAGTAGTCATCGCCCCGACTGCTTTCAGGAAGACCAATTCCAGATTCCACTTCCACATGTTCTATTGGTTCCCAGGCCTTAAAACTCTAAAGGGGTAAGATTCCAAAAGTAAAACTGACGGGGGAGGGAGGGTGTCAACAAAGGGTGTCAACATCTCACGCACAGGGTATTAAGTATTCATATATGCAGTGATGGCAGAACTTGTACAAACATTCACACATAAATAGAAAAACAAGCCCATTCTAGAATTCAACAAAAGAATAAATTTTGATTTATGAGAAGTTCATTACATTGTCCTTATTTCACCTATGCAAGAATTCGGGAACTAAAACACTAGAATATTCATGCAACAAATATCGACATTTAAACTAAATTTTATCAACACGTTTTCTTCAAATTAAGTATTATGTGATAGCCCAATATATGATAAAAAACAAACAACACAACAGAGCAGAGCTATTTAAATAAGACAGGTAGATCTCTGAATTTTGCCTACTTGCAGACAATTTAAAGTCAATAATAGAGAGTGGTTTCTCAAGCCCCTTCCATATGCTTAGCATCTCAGATTCTACAAACTAAAAAAGAGGCTATCCCTGAGACTCTCCATGGAAACCCCAGTCTCTGCACAAGCCATGGACATTTGGTGTGGGGGTGGCAGTAGATTAGAGTGTCTCTGGCTGTAGTTTTGTTCTGTTTGGTACAATTCTGGGAAAAAAATGGGAAAATGCTTTAAAACAAAAGGTTTGTTAAAAGTAAATGTACAAGTGATATAAGATGTCGGACCAAAAATGAAGTACATTTAAAAACCACAGTAAGATTAGGTATGGCTTTTTTGCCATATTAAGCCAGATTACCTCTGATTTAAAAAAAAATACTATATTAACCAACCAGTAATATCTTCATGGACACCAAAGAGAGGAATCACTAAGAGTCATCCACCATCTCAACTACCATGATAAAACTATACAACATTCATTCATTTACCTCTATCTACATTTCATTAAGAGATCAATTTCAGATATGACTTTGAAGGACAATGAAGAGAAGCCTAATGATTTTCAACCAACACCCTCTAAAATGTAGTTGTCTGCTAATGAGCATCCTGATAGCAAGAATGTACAGTCTTCATGTCCAGGTCAATCCAATAGTCAAACCCATATTAACTAAAAAAATTCTGCAGTAAGACAAGATTCTTTGCTATCTATGTATTGATTTGTTCAAAACAGAAAATGGAAGATGTATTACTAAAAGTTTCTTTCAACACAGGACAAACTGAAAAAGCTTAAAATTATATTCATATGATCTCCTAATCCCAACTGCATCTTCACAGGAGTTCCAAAGAATTTTACAGAAACTATTTTAAGAGAAACTATCATTTCTAAGAATATTTAAAAATTGTAAGTCGAAAGTGAAAACAATATCATAATATGAACTTTTCTTTGGAATAAACATAAACCCCATTACATGCATTATCAATGATTTAATAAAAATAAAAATTTCAGAGCCAACAATAATCATAGATTATCATCTGCTACAACCTCCCCATTATATAAAGGAAAGACTGAGTTTCAAGACTGATTTATTTAAATGCTATTTATTTCCCTACCTGAGGCCTCCCTGAGAGCAATCTTTTATATTTTTGAACTCAAAAGTGCTCTGTACCTAGTTACTTACATCCTGCATAGAGGCGTTTTACATTCTATGTTATTTTTTTATGTATCCCTTTTAAATTTTCTGAAGGTAGATTGTGTACCTTCTAATGCATGCCTTACCATAAGAAAACACTCTGACAGGGAGCGATAGCTATGTTGGCCTCATGTGCACATTAAAAGTTTCTATTTCAAAAAAAAAAAAAATGTACAGCCAGTACTATTATCTAGAATTTAAAAGATTTAACAGCTACAAAACTACATGCATCATCCATATCTTTTAACTCCTTAAAAAGAAGTTACAGGTAATTCAGTATTTGTTTTACATATATATATATATATACATACATATATATATATATATATACATATATATATATATATCTCCAGTAGATAAAAAAGAAAACTAATTCACATCTCTAGATTGTAACAGAACTAAGAGTCTTTGTGAGGCTCTATCCTCATCCCAAACCAGCTGGCTGTTAGATAAAGCATTCTGCTAACACAATGACCACAAAGGCATCCATTTTTGAAGGTACTGATGCCTTCTTTAGTAATGTGAGCAGTGATATGTTCATAACCTTGGTTAATCACCCTGTCAGGACACAACTCATGGAAGAATGTAGACAGTTTAGTGCAATATCATTATCTCTACTGGAAAAAACAATTAAAAGTAAATGCTAACCTGCTAAGAGCAGGTGCAATAATAATTGAATCATTTGCATAATCTCATCTATCCTATAGCATGACTAATAAAATCATTAGCACACAAATCTTTCTCACACAAAAAAGGAAAAAATCAAAGTCTGTTAAGCTATTTCACAGTTAGTCACAAATATCCACATCATTTTAAATATCCCAAGAGTTTCAATTTAACAAAAACAACCCAGAAAATGTGTTTGATGCAGGTCTGGTAAATAATGCTTTCTGTAGAAATTTTAAAAATTCAACTAACAAAATTTACTTTTATAATCATAATCGAAATCAAGCAACCAAGCAAACACACACATTAAAAAATAAAAAAAAAACAATGACAACAACAAACATCTGGTACTTTGACTCTAAAAATTATTAAAGACAACCTGGGGAGCAGAGAGAAGTTCAACAAATACTACAGAAACGGTTCAGAGATGGTGGGTAACATATATGTAAAGGGAGAAAAGCATGCAGACTACTGAAGTTTCAATGCAGTCAGACAGGCTCACAGGTTTTAATAAAAAGATATCCAATTAGAACATGGCCTTAATTCCATTATTTCTCTGAAAACATAAAAAATTAAAATAGCTAATAGAAATAAACTAGGACTCCCAACCTCCTTCCATTCAATAATAAATCAACCTTCTAATCAACATTTAAAAACATGCATTTTCTTGAGTTAAATAAAGTTGCCAGCCATAACCACACCTACATAGATGATCCTCAACAAACCTACAAATCTCTCCAACAAATCGACCAAAACATCATATAAATTGAAACTCCTCTCCACCTTTCACCCTTCAAGAAAACTGCCTTACTGTTTTACTTTCTTGAATTGTTTTTCAAATACTTCAAAAAGAAAATTTTGTGTCTTCCTTCTAATCCATTACATTTTAACCAGTATGAAACACAGTAAGAAACATGCCGGTATTGTAACTAGCCATATATATTACAAATAAGCTAGATATTCTGGGGGAAAAAAAATGGCTGTGCTAATGGAGTTGTAGAAAAGCATATATTTAATATTGGTTACATTTTTATTTTGAAGGAAGGAGTAAGACAATAAAAGCAATAAACTAATAAGAAAATGCAGTTAAGCTAAAACAAAAATGTTTCTTCAGTTATATCAATCATTTTGTTTTAAATTTTACCACCATCAGAAAAGAGCAAGCTCTATTTTATGCTTCATCCAAGAAGCTGATAAAGTGATTTCAGGAAAGATGCTTATATTAAGTACTATTAACCCCAACATTGTTGGTTGTAAATCAAACAAGTTTTGTTTTTCTCTATTTTAAAATTAACTCAATTGAGAGCTCCTCCATTCACGTAATTCCAAATTAGTAATTTACTAGAAAAGGATTTGAAATTAGCATTTGCCCTATTTTCTCATATGTTCTTTAGTTGAGGTTAAAATTCTATCAACTATTTCAAATAAAATAATATAACTGTACAGGGGAAATATAATTAGTGATTCTGTTAGATTAAAATATCAACCTAATAAAATACCCCTGAATCCTTTCTGTTAGATTAAAATATCAACCTAATAAAATACCCCTGAATCCTTTCAGATTATGTCCAAAAAATCATCCCAAAGATGTGTTCTTGAGCAGGGCTGATTTTATATGACCGACTTCTAAAATCACATTATAACAAATTACATTTGAACTTGGGAGACTGTGCCCCAAGTTATAGGGTTATAGGTAAGATATAAGTATATATAGTTAACATTAAGCTAAGTATTGCTTAAATATTAGCAGCTATTAAAATCCTTAAACCTCAATGTTGTACCCATTAAATATTACCTGGCTTCAAAATCAAGATTTTTCATCATTATATTTAGCTTTAATGATTGCTATTTAGTAGCAGCAGGATGTTGAAAGAAGCAAGGGAAACGACGCAAAGTGACAAAGAAGTATATTCATTAAAGAACTTTAACAGACACAAAAGCCCTATCTCTCTTAGAAGTTATGTAAAGATATTTATGAAAAGGAATTATCCATTAATGTAATTATATCAAAATGTTTATGCTTATAAATACCTAGCTACTTGTAGAACATTTTTTTTTTTGTTTTTTTACCTGATGCTGCTGGAGTTCCTCTCATATCAGTTATTGCTTTGGAGGAAGGGTTTGTAAGCATCTGCGATTCTTCCTTGTCTGTCTTGGGACATTCGTTATGGTAAGAGGGATCTGGGACTAGAGGCGCTGTAACTTCTGAAGCACGACTTAAGTCAAGAGGGAGACAGGCCCCCAGCTTCTCAAGTGACAAATGTGCAACATCAGGAACTACACAAAATAAAGAATGTAATATAATATTAACATAGATAAACTGGCACAGTTAATATCAAATTGGATTAAAATGTTATATAAATTGAACAGTGCCTGGCACAAAGAAGGCACTCAAATATTTGCAGAACAAATGAAGTGCTTATAAATCCAAAAGATGTAAAAAGGAAAAAAAGCAGAAATTTCTTAATGCTCTAATAAGCTTAAACTCTTAGTGCGTTCTCTATCTTCTTTACGTTTGGTTCTAGAGGAAATCAATATACATTACCCTCTGGTACTGAAGGCTCTTGCTGATTTTGAGAACTGATGGAGAAAGCTTTCCCATCAGTGGCTGGAGAGAGAGGAGAAACCTTTTCTATAGAATCATCAGGCATGGGCAAGGTGGCTAAACGCTGAGATCTTCTTCTCCGCTCACTATGCTTGAAAGGTCTAGGGGGGTTCACAGGCTGTGGAGGACCTAGAAAAAGATCCTCAATGTTCACGAAGCAGAAACATGCTGGGATCATCTTATAATAGTTAAGGAGATAAATAGGGAAAAGAATTTAAATTCTGCCCTCTGATGTTGTTCCAAAGGTAATCAAAGGCAAAAACTGTGCCCTCATTCACAAAAAAAAAAAAAAAAAGTTAATCAAAACTTCTAAAATTTAAAGCCTATCAGAACCAAAAGAAAATAACAAGGAACACTAATTTCAGATAGCTTCCCAAGTGACAGATTATATTTAATTCTGTAATTGCAGATCGTTGTGTTAGTTGCCATTTTTCCTTTGGGAAAATAGTCTCTGTTAGCCAAGGATTTTTTTTTTTTTTTTAACTCCCTTTCGCTGCATTACAAATCCAGAAACACTAAGGGTAAAATAAAAAGCAGGGAGCATAGGTAACAAAAATTTGACATGCATTTTAGAGTTAGTGCTTTACTTCACTTGCCAAAATAAAATGAAATAATTTTATCCCACCCTCATTCTCCCAAATGGATTCTTCTAAACATATGTTTGGGCCTGATTCATTAAAAAAAATTGAATACAAACAACTTTAAATAGTTATTATGGGCAAACAATGAGGATTTTAAAAGAGTATGAGACTTGCCCTCATGTTTTGTTTTTAAAATAATTTGGTGAGTCATTTAAACATCATCTAACTATGTAACACAAAGCACAGAAATCTTTTTTTAACCTGTTTTTTTTTTTTTCTACAAGGCATGTAAACATGTTTATAATCATTTTGAATAGGTGGGATTCCACCAGTTAATATGTTCATGTTCATTTAGGAGAGGAAATAAGAAAGATCTAGAGGTTGATACTCTGGATATCTAATTTTACAAAAATCAAATGAAAGACATGGTGACAACTGAAAAAAAAATTAATAAAATTCAGTTGCTGTAACATTGTGGTTATACCAAAATCAAAACAATTTCAAAATAAAATACGTATCAATATCGTGGAACACTGCAGTGACTACTATTTCATGGTAAATTCCATAATGAAATGAAGTTCGTAAGAAAACAATTGAGTTCTTCTGTCCTCATCCTGTCTACATATTTGATAAAAAGAACAAAACTACAACCAAGAAATACCAAAATCTGATAAAAAAATTAAAAAAACACTGTTTGGTAGAAAATAATGGAACTAAATGTTTGATTAATAAAAGTCTTCTCAATGTCAACATCTGAAACAGTCCGTATGGAAATATTTCCTATTCATTTACTACTAATCAGGTTTTAATTCAATTGCTGCATAGACAGCAAAAGTACCTTTTAACAAGTGACTTTTCAGGTAATTGTTTTTCATGTATCTCTTACTTAGAATAATAAACTAGTATGATAAACACAGGGTCAACACAAATCTTCCCATATATATGTATACATGTATCTGTATATATATGTATATATCTCCAAACCAAGGTTGAAAGACTATTTTAATAAAACGAAAGTAACTCTTGAAAGGTAAGTGGTACTGAAACATAAAATCTTTAAAAATAAGAGCAAGGAAGCATTTTTCTTTCACCAACAATATTAAACTTAAGTTTACACTCTAACTGCTAGAATAAAAAAGATATATAGTAGAGGGGATTACAGGCCAAGTGGTGGTCACTAACCCAATCAAGCCATCAGTCATTTTCGGAGTTAAGGAAAAATATTCACCGTGGGTGGGTCTTTTTGTGACTCTATGATTTTTGTTTGTCTGTTTTGTTTATTGGGCTTTTTTTTTTTTTTTTGTAATGAATCAGGCCTCTGATTGTGCTTAGATTATTAGTTAAGGAGCATCAAACTACAGTGGAATTTGCATTATTAAATGGTAAGGTTTCTCAACCAGCAGTACAATTTCTGTACAATAAATCAGCCAAAAATGTTTATGGTTTTGCCCCTGAAAAGTTTCAAGCCTTCCCTATCATATCCACTTAAGTTTGAGTATTTAAAAAGCAATTTCATAAAAATACAATATAACTACAATCAAACTTTTTAATGTATCTTATAGGATAAATAACTATTTTTTAAAAATCTGTGCTCACTAGTTTTATTTATCACTGAAGAAGAAAGCTGAGATACAAGCGTCAAATCCTCGACTTGTATTAATTCTGGGGAAAGTGGTGATTTAGGGGGTTTTATACACCCAGAAGAATCTCCAGATTCATGTTTGCATTTCTTGCTGCGAGCCTTCCCTGAAGACAAAGTTGAGGATAACAGTGCAGGTTTCTGAGTGTTGGCAGAACTGCTAATGTCAGCTTCATTTTTTTTCTGACTTTGAGGTTTAGGTGAAATCGCCTGAATAAATAATAAAAAATTGATATTTTTATTTTGGTTTCTTCATTTTTGTTCTTGTATTCTATTTTGATTGTTAAGCAACTTTAGTATCCAAAAACATTGTTAAGCAACATATAACATTTCTATTACAAATGAAAAACCAAAAAGAACCCCACAAATTATTAACTAAAAGTTGAATAGGCCGTCTTTAAAGGGATGCTGTCAACTTTTAGTCCAAATGGCTTTTTAAAAATATATTTTATTCATATTATTCTCAGAATATAAAATGTTTTTCCTGAACAAATATTTTCAATTTAAACTGAAATATACCTCTTTGAAACCATAATTACTAATAACATCAGTAATAAATAGGTGGATAAAACAGCATTTTAATGTTTTACAGCATTAGAAGACAACATTTAAACATTTAACTGCCACATGTTTTTCTCGTAAAATAACTTCCTTTAACAAATTAAATGTGGAGGTCTAAGTAGACAGCTTCCCTTTAAAGAAAGATCTCAACAGGAAAACAATGACCAAATTAACGAAACATTATCTTTAACTCATTTTAGTGCTGAAAGCTAGTTTCATAAGCATAATGCATCATGAAATCAAAGCCACCAGCAATACAGAGTTAAAAGACTAAAAAACAATACAAAACAAGCAACAACAACAAAAAAAAACCAAGGAGATAAAGTGTAAGTTTAAAACATTGGATTTAAAAACAAAATACGTCGCATTCTTAGATGAGAGTTTTACCTTCTTCCTGCCAACTGACACTTTTAAAAAAAAATTAGAACTTTGTCAGTTCTTTCATAAAGAGTATCTTTAATCATTTGGCAGTAAAATTTCCTACATATGCAAAAATATATGTGAGTGTGTCCAAGGACAAGAGTAAAGAGCCACACTGGAGGACTTGGAATCTGAGGTGTGGGTATGCCTGTACCGTATCTGACATACGTATGAGAGCAAAACAGGATACACAATTTTAAAAATGCATACTAAGATAGGTCTCTATAAAGAAATGGATTGGTAGCACTCTGAACAACATGTTTGACCCCAAGAAGCCTTTTTATTTCCCTATCCTTTGCAAGGGATGATAATCACATCTGCAGTCTGCAGTTCTCTGGAATATGAAAGACCACTCTCTGGGGACCAAAGAGCTTTCTGTTCGCAGTAAAATATAGGCACTCAAGTTTTGGTGGGGAAAAAGTGTATATTCCGTATTAAGTAGGGCACCTTTGGATGCTCTACACAGGCATGTTGGACATACCACATAAAGTGCCTGGTGTCATGTGTCCCATTCATTCAGTTGTCATCATTTCTATTCTTGAATTTACTCATTACACATGTGTGTAAGTGCAGATTAATCATTTGGAAAAGTACTCCACAGAGGGAAGGATTCCTAAACTTATCATAAAAGGTGTTGCCAGAAAAGTAATTAGAGCCATTACTTGTAAATAAACGATTTTATTGTTCATCTTCACATATGTGAGAGACATCACTACAGCATCCATTACTCTCGAGTTACAAAGTTATGAAACAAGATTTTAAAACTTAAATTAATATCTTGATAAGGTGCTTAACTTCTAAACAAGGACAAGTTAACACTTTAAAAAACTTACTGAATTATGCATCTAATGCAGATTTTATCCAAAAGTAAATATAACATAACAATTCCCTAATACATAAATAATCTATAATTAATAATTGGAGGATTGGGATTCAAGACTACAGAGTTTGAAATTTTAAAAATGTAAATAAACCCATTAGCACAGTAGGTTTTAGTTGTAGGCCTGTTATTAATCTATGTCATAAGTGACATTATTTTATTCATTAAGACAACAGAGGTTAGGGAAAATCAATACCTCTCCTTTCAGTCTACTGTTGATACCAACTGAGATGTAATGAAAAGTTTTATAACTCGGCATTTAAACTCTGAAGCAGGGCAAACAGCACAAAAATTAAGCGTTTGGTTACAAAACATTTTCACACTGAAATCAACTTGAATAACATAAAAAATAAAGGAACAGCATGATGTTCCTTAAAAATCTAAAATAATTCACAAAGTTTTCATTAGTGATTATTGGTCTCTTTGTTACAAAACTGGCAAGGACTCTGAAAATTTTTTTAATTATGCAAATATAAACCGCCGAGTTACTCAGTTTTCTTTTTTTAACTCAATTTTAAAATGTTGCTTTCTATACTTCTGAGATGGGCACTGCCCTCTATTCTAACTTCCACATATAATAAGTAATTTTCACAATCATGTTCACCTCAGTAGGATTGTGCATAATGAAAGATTGACATTGTAATGAATTTTCCAGAAACATTTTTATTACCCAAGTCCCTGATTTATTGCATTTTTGAGAATACCATAAACAGTGGTGAAAATACAAAATATTAGATCTGGGACATTGAAAAAAGTAACACACAGTAAAAAAATCATTTAAAATTTGGTTGATATCCTGACAATAACGGCAAAGACTTAACCGTCTGATGATCACAGAAAATCAGAAGGTAATGATTTGCTGACATACTAATTTAAAAGACCATTGATTTAATACAACATTAATGGAGGCACCAAAACAACGCACTGTTATCAAATCAGGCCTAAAAATAACCCTGAAAAACTCAATACAATATCAATTAAATTTGGACTATTTGTTAAAACACAGAAAAGAGCAAAAGATACTCATTTTAAAGTCTTCTTTATTAGGCTACTAATAAAGAAAATTAAATAATACAAAAAGGATATATTAAAACTACATTAAGGCTCAGATTTTAAAACAGGAGAACCAAGGAAACCCACTTATGGCTATTACTGTGTTCTTATAGTCTTACAGCGCCCAGGAAGGGAAGCCCTTAGAGAATGTGAAAGCATGCACAGCTCGCTATGTACAGTGTTGTGGGAATCTGAAGGTAGCCAAGGCAAAATCGAGCAACTGTAACCTTCACTTTTAAATTCCTCTATTAGGTGGTTTAAAGACAGACCCTTAATAGATTTTTTTTAAATTCATTTTTTGTAGTTATTAAAATATACATCCTAGCAAAAATGTATGGCTCATTGATCAATATTCATAAAACACACAGTCTACCAACACCAATTGTTACAATATAAAAGAAACTTCTTACAAAAGAAGCTTTATTAGATGCCAAAAAACCCTGTTTTAAATCACAAATGGAAAGTATTTGTGTAAGGGTCTTTGTGTAAGCTAGTTAAGGTAATCCAGCTTATACCTGGGATGCCTGTCTCCAGGCCTGCACATTTTGGAGACAAAGGCGTGACTGCCAGTCTATTGAAAACAAACGCTAATGAAGTCTGTGGTTTATCTGTATACCTTGGAGAAGGCAGAGTTAAAAATATATCATCAGTTTCCTATTCCCTTATCTGATCAAAAGGGTAATTTCAATTATGTGGATACTATAGCTCTGCGATCATTCCAGTTGGGGACCTTGAAAAAAATCAAATGCTACCATTTCATACCTGCTCCAGCATTGGAGCCGTTTCACTGTAGTCTTCCTTTTTCTCAGCACCATCCACCCCAACAGCTTTGGATGCCAACAAACCTTGAGAAAAATTGTACAGAAATTGCTTATTAGAAAAAATATTAACTTCCACCCTAATTAACTCTCAAAATTTAGCAGATGAATCCCTCATACTTTCTAGCATACAGGAAGTAAATATTCTCATGTTTACTCGCCAAAAAATACAAACACCCTTAATGATTCAAGGGACTGAATTAGAACTTGAGAGTTTGCTGATACCATATAAAAATTAAAAAAAAAAATACCATTAAAAAACTATATATGTATACACAATTATTCTGTAAACATTTTAAATTCCATGGCTTACTACAGAAACCAAAAACTGCCTATATTGTGTATAACTCACACAATGAGCTTTGGCTATAGAAATGAAATAAAATATAGATTTAATGTTTAAGACATGAAAAATCCTCTAAACATCTACAATACAAAATCTTTGCTGTATTAAATTAAAAAAAATGCTACCCACAGAATATAAAATCTTTGTTGTATTAAATTTAAAAAAAAGCTCCCCATTTTGTAATTTCAGGAGTGTCCTTTAACCTAAGCCTCACAGATTTATCTCTGCCCAGTTGTAGCTGTTCGTCTTAACGTAAGTTCCAAAAACACAGATGGATTCATATTATGTTAGTGGGAACAAAAGTGTAAGCTCTTCCTAAAGCATTTGAACTTGCTTAATATTAGGTTCTCATTGCACAAATCAGGAAATAATTTGGTGTCCTAGTTTTCTCCAATGTACACCAAATTCTGTTTTAGAAAACATAACATTTTATCTGGAGTATATACCATAACTTTACAAGACATTAAATCTATGCTTTAATTCACAATTAAAGTCATTTGTTTAGTCAACATTCTTTGCTAAGCAGCTTTCATGAAATCAAGTATATAACCGGGCATATAAAAGGTCACCAAAAATCATTTTTTCGTTATTTCAAAGTTGGTCACACAAACCCTTTGCTTCAAAGGACGCATGTTTAACAATCAGCAACAAAACAGTAAATTTACTGCAACTATTTTACTCCCTGCATTACCGATACTGTCCACAGCATATGTAACAGGAGAAAAAAAGGTACCACATCATTTTGAGTTTTCCCCGTCAACATTTCACTTTTTCAGGTAAATCCCCCAAAGATGTTAGGTAATGGAAGTAGGAATTCAAAGGTTAAAATTGTATTCTTAAAGAAGTACTATAGCTACTTCTTAAATGAGTCAAAAAACCACCTTCCCTATAGGGAAGATGAATATCTAGCACTTGGAAACGTAATTTAAAATAGAAAAGGCTGAGTGTAAAACAATGACTTTGATACATGATTTGTATTAAAACTGGTAAGTTAAAAATAAACTGGTAAGGATTTGGCCCAGCTTGATGTAACAATTTACATAGTTTAGTCAAGTTTCACACACTATCAAATGTGGGTTTAGGTGGGGAAAAACAACAAAATTTATTAAAAAAGCAACAAAATTTATAAAAATTACTTGTAAGTATAAATTCAATTCTATCAATATGACTTTATATAACTTGTGAACATTTTTAGACGACTGAAAATGATGTAGCTTGGAGCGCTTGTTAACATTTAAAGCCTAGGTTGTCACTAAATTTTTTTTCTCTAGGTAGTATTTTTAAGGATACTATTGCAAAAAAAGAAAATAATTTGACAATCAAATTATTTCACAGAAAACTAAGTAGAGATTCTATTTCTAAGGACTATTCAAACAGGACAAATATTTGCTAATCAGTCTATTAAACACATCTTACATTTTGCTCATTCTCATGTAGGTGGTGGAAATACTTTCAAAATGTCATCAACAGATGGAATAGATGACAAACTACAAAGTTAAATACAAGGTACTACAAGTTTTAAAGGAAAAAAATAATTTAACCATACTCTGTGAATTTAAAGGGGGATATTATAGTCTCAACTAATTAAAAGCAATTTCCATTTAATGGTTTGTAAAGAAAAAAATAAAGCTTCGTAATGGTCTTATAAAGTAATGGGGCATTTGGTAAAAACAACTTAAAATGAGATTAGGGAATAATACTTGGTTCATAGTCAATTCAAAAGCCTCAAATAAGATCAATAAAAAGCTTTTCATGTTTTATAAGCACATCAGTTACAAGAGTTACCAAATATGAAAAAGAAAAGATGACAAACAAAACATATCCTTAAAAGAGAACTCTGACCACAGCTGTTATCTTGACCGGCTTACATTCTGGGGATAGAAGCAGTATCCCCAGAGAACGAGAACTGAAAGGAAATAAATGCAAATGAAAACAATCTCAGTTATTTTCAAATGTCCCCATCAGCACACTACTAACAAGTCCTCCTCCAGAAAAATGTATCTACAGAGTAGTTACCTTAACGGAATGCATTATGCAGATTCAAGAAATTATGTATATGGGAGGTTGAAGAATATCAAACATTCATGAGCACCACCTACAAAGGGGTAATCTCTCAATACTCTACTTTAGCTATAAAAATATAGAGTTGGTCTCATACTGCCAACAGGAATAAATAGACTAGAGGACAGAGCACCTGGAATGCCAAAGGGGAGGTCTATTTTTCATCCAGGGATTCCAAACCACAACATTCTTGCTGGGATTAAGAATCAAATATTCTTGATGTTATAACACATTACTGACCAATTCAAATCTCTTTTAAGACAACTTTCAAAATTCCTTAGTCTCACAAACATATTTTTAAAATACCTAAACCTCTAGAAAACTCCTAGAACTATCAGAAGAGACCTGATGCCAATGGCTGGTGTCTCTTCACTTAATCCCTTGACAAACTATATTTTAAAATCTGCTCATATTCTTGTCCTAAAGTACAGACTCTTGATTCTTGTAATTTGAAGTCAGTATGCATAAAGTATGGCCACTAATAAGGTGTACTATATAATTAAAAACTCCTGAAGGCCATATCTATATACCTATATATGTGCAATTATAATTTCAGTGTCTACTTGTTTGGAAACTTCAACAGAACCATTCTTATTCAGCCTCTATGTAGAAATCAGGCATAGAATCACTGTAGGGTGTGCATATGCATAAGAAATCAAAGTGACTAAACACATGACTTAAATTCATCCAGGGGCTTCCCAATATATTTCCAACTAGAATCATTCTAAAAGTAAATAAAACGGAGAGAGGAAATATATCCACGCAGACTGAGCCGCTGCCATGATCACAGCCCTATTCCTTTCAGTAGAAAAAAGACAAAAAAGGCATGCTTAAGTGTGACAGACTTAAAATACACCATCATTTTATAACAAATTGCTACTTTATATTAGTTTTCATCTTTTTATGAACTACAAACGGAATTTACTATACAGAGGCAAGCCTGCTTTCCAACCATTGACGATGATGTCATATCTGTGGTCTTTTTGCATGATAGAGCGGTAACGTGAAGTTAAATAATAGGTGCAGAGAGATGAACTTTTAAAAGGATTATCAGACAATTAAACCTTCTAAGTAAATAAAAGGAAAAGATCATAATGTTTCACATTCATAAAATCTTATGCTTTTCTACTGCTGCTGAACTGTCAGTTGTTCATATGAGATTCCCAAAGGGATGTGCAGACGAAGTCTATCCATAAAAAACATGGGGTGTTACTAAGCAACCAGTGTTAGAACTTTCTTGAGGCGCATGGTGAAATGGTTCTTCCCCCCAACCCTACTGTCTTTGCAAGGCTGTGTGGTGATGCCTCATTGTGACCTGAGGTGTTTTCTTTTTTAACTTCTTTAAATGTTGAGCTCGAACTTCTCAGTCAGTAAGAGTATATTGACTGAAACTAAATCAGGTTATCCGCATCGTTGGGAAGAAGCATGACGCTGGCAAGCTGGCAGCTGTGTCGCTTCAATGTCACTTCTATCTTCCTCTATCTTGGCTCCTCCAAAAGCACTTCAATCTTGGTATCACAGGAGTTAGAAGCACCATTCCACCTCTGCCACCATATGGGGCCCGGGGTTCCAACATTCTAAGGCAAAACTGAAGTCTCAAGTTGCCATTATAACCATCCCTTGAATAAGATTTTGGCCTTCTGCAAAGCTAACATTTTCTAAGGAAAAGATGGAATGGCTGAATTTATTTGCAATTATTTCCTGTCCTTGGGGCAAATATATCCTTTATCTGAGAAAGGCACAAAAATAATATTAACAAGTGGAAAAACTAAATGTTTCACCTGTGGAAACCAATTATAATCACTGAAATGAATATTATAACAAAACAGTGGTTCTAGAGAAACCTCGCTTGTAGGATATTATGGAAGGAAAATGTTTATGTTTATTCTTGGATCTGACAATGAAATCAAGCGTCTTCACATTATTTAAAAGAATGCCAACAAAGATTTATGTTGTTTTATTAGGCCAAAGGCATTAAAAACCATTGTCCTTGAAATAAGAATCACATGACTGAATCAAGTATGTTAACTCCCCTTTCAACATATACTCAGAAAAAAATAAATAACATTCACATTTTAAAGGCTGGTGAGCCTTGGAAGTGACAGGGACTAGGAGAACTGGTCCCAAATGTAATACCTAAATCCTCCTTCTATAAAAACTAAGGAGTCTAGGACTTTTCAATGTTTCTACCATCTGAACACTCAGAGAAAAAAAAAAAAAAGCCCACACAGAAAAATAAGCCTAGATACTAGAGACCAACGAGAAGGACAGACATTTTAAAAACTTACGGAAGTACTTTTACATTGGGAATTAACAGATTTAGGAACTGATTTTAATCCCATTTTTATCTTTCCAACCATATATAGCATCATCCTTAATGAAACTGGTCAAGAATAAGAATGTCTGGAAAATCCTATTTAGTCTCAGACATTATTTCACCACAGGCTGACAAAAGCAGATAATTCAATTCTTAGAGAAACTACTCCTACGGCCAAGGTGACAATTGATCCTATCAATCCCCACAACATCCCTGTGAGGTAGGTAGAAGATATGTGGTATTTTTCACATTTCACAACAGAAAAGGTTAACAGTATAAAGCAACTATCTTTCATGTTAGCCAGTCTGTTACACTAAACATAAAGATACACTTTGCTTTATTAAACACAAACTACTCTAAAATCAAACCCTCCATTCCCCGCCCCCCCCCAAAAAGAATCATTGTAGTTTACCAGTAATCTTGTTAAGTCGAGCTCTCTTTGCCTGAAATGAGTTGCCTTGATTATTTTTCCTCTTGTTTGATAATGTGCTCTCTGGCTGTGGAAAGACCATCTTTGGAACGTTCTCTACATGAAGTCCTACTTTTAATAGAATACATATATGAGTTTATCTAGAATCCAAAGTTAAAACACATGAATTTTATTAAAGTAGCAAAAATGTTTTGCACTTATTTTTTAATCTAGTGCTTGACATAGAACTTTAAAAACCACAAGTCTCTCCAGATTGATATATTAGAGGTAAAAGACTACTAAGCAGTAATTCTTTAGGAAAGAGAAGCAGGAAGGAAATGAACTTACTACTTTTCCCGTATTATATACTGAAGCACATGCAGAAGCATTTAAGGGGGTGGGGGGCAAGGAAACGCCAAATAAGACAAAGCCCACTACTAAGAATTTGCAAATAAAATCTCAGCTCATGTCTCTGCAAGAGTACTGAGGGTGTCCAGTATCAAGTACCCACGTCAGACCATTCATCTTCAGAACTATCCGTAAGATGCTACAAAAAGTGAACAATCATCTTATGTTAAAGGAAAAGAGCTGAATAATTTAATTGCATCTTCAAACTGACAGGTATCCAAGGGGTCTGACTTGTTAACTATGCGAGTTTACCACTGCCAGAAGGAATGAACATAAGAACATATTTTGTACCAAATGTTTCACTAGATGTGGGCAGATCTTCCTTCTTCTCAGTTTCTGATGTGGCTATAGATGTTGAAGTCTCTTCCTTCTTTGAAGGTACTTTAAACCATTTTCTCTCATCTTTCTCCTTATCTTTATTGCTGTTAGCGCTGGTCCGAGGTTTGTTCCCTGTTTTATTCTTGGCTGCAGCTGCAGCAGCTGCTTTGACTAAAGCTATCCAATCCTCCAAAGGAAAAACACAAAACATACTTAGTGTTAAAAATTAATCAATTTAATTACACTAATGAATAAAAATGTGCCACATTTTCAAAGCTATTTTCACTCAGACACACAAATACAAGAATTGAATCAATTATATTTACAAGGTAGATCATCATGATGGATTATCAGATTTAATAATCTAATGGGTTAGTTGAATTATATAATTTTACACAAAATGGGAAAATAAGTGTTCAGTAACAAACATTCCCTTGATCTATTTCATAGGAACAAAATGCAGAGTAACAGAGGAAACCTATGACAAATGAAGACTACATGACATTCTGCTTAGTACTGTAGGGTTTCGATGCTGATTGTGCTTCTTTTCTATAATACAACAGACCACAAAAGAAAGAAAAGTGCTTATGTTGCCACGTAGCAAGGATAGAAAGAAATGCATTTCCATTTAGCAAATTATTCTTTATTATTAATTAGGACGAATGTGCCACTCAAAGTGTGTCCGATTAAATAGAAGCAAGATATGACTTGACTATTTTTTAAAGATTTCAAAGTCAGACACCAATTTATCACAACAGCATAAAATTACCAATAAAATAAAAAGAGCTACTGGACTTGATCAAGGAGACATAAAAAACTGTCAGGCTCCAGTGAAATTTCCCTCCCTCTACTACTTCCTGGCTCCATGTTACTCTTCTGAGAGGTGGGCATTTAGTTTTTCTGTGTTCACCTTGTTTAATTTCTTACTAAATAATTTTATTATTTTATCTTCAACTAAGACTATTTATCACAAGAAATATAAAAAGATGTAAAGAACTGATACTAATATTTAAACATTCATAATTAAAGATTTTTTTTTTTACAAAGCAAATATTTGAAATATCTCTACAAAGTTAATTTTCCATTGAGGCCACTAAGGTGACAATTCAGATTTAATCAAAATGCGTGAGATGAATTCTGCGTCCAAGCAATGAAAACCAATTTCACCCATGAGATGTATTTAACTCATGAGTTCCACTAACAAACATTGGTCATTAAGCAATAGAGGCAAAGCTCTATCTTAAACGCATAATGAAAGCAACAAATCATTAAAAACAAATAAAATGTGCGTCTCTCTCTCTCCTCTCTTGATCGAAATGAACTGGACACATCAGGCACTTGTACCTGGCACACTTACCACTTTCCTACTGAACACCCTGGCCAGTCTCTACGAGGAACATGCAAAACATTCAAGAGGCAACAGCTGGTAGAAGACGCTGCCTCTAAGTAACAGGAACTCACAGGCCCTGGAGTAGTCACATGTTTGCTCCTGCATCTAACTTTCCCAGTATTGTAAACTACAAAATCCCAGTATATGTCGTATTAGAAAAATTAATTATGACAAAGTGGTGAATAAAGGTTTGTATATCTACTATGTGAAAAAAAATGTATATAACAAGCCAGGTGTACCTATTTTACTTAGAGCCGCTTCTTTTTATAGTCCTGCCCATAGCAATGGCAAGCAAATAAAATTAACTCCGAGACCATGTGACAAGAACGAGAGTAGAGGAATAAATAAAATACAATGGGAGAACAAAGAAGGAAAGATTAATTTTGACTGAAGAGAGACAGAAGAATTGAAGGCTGAAATAGGACTTGGCTAAGGTAAAGGATAGAGGAACAGGAGTAAACGGACTCTCCTGGCTACAGGGATTTCATTAAGCAAACAGAAGTCAAAGTGCAGGGGAACAAAAGAGCAGGGTCAAGGGGCCACGTAGTAGGTAAAAGAATTAGGGCTAAGGTGAGCCTTGAGATTGCCAGGGTAGTCGTACAGAAAGCAAGCACCACCGATGAAAAAGGCTAGGAGAGAGCAATCAACAAAGCAGAAAGAGAAATAAGAGTAAGTATAACCAGACACGCAAAGGAAAGTACTAAACTCAGCAGAGAACCTATGTTTGCAGTGTTCCTGAGAGCACTGTGTTTAATTCTGGGTTCCACATTGTAGGGAAAATTTTAAGTTGTTAGAGAAATATTGAAAAATGTCAGAAAAATTCCATTGCCAGCTGTTTTCTATCCCCAGTAAAGAAAAAAACTAGGTGAAAGAAATTCATGCTATTCCTTTTAAAAGCTAAATTAGATAAAATAGTTCTTCATCACAAGTTATTGATCATGGGAATCACCGCAGTTGTGTAATATAAAAATTCCCCCATTATTTTGCTCTTCTATTTTTAAATAAGAAAGATTCACTATCAAAAGCAAGTCTTGTGATCCTTCCATGAATTAGAACTAATGATATGTTCTGAAGCTCCCTGTAGGTAAACAACCGAGGCGTGCACTTTATAAAGAGCACTGTTTGAAATCAGATCTGAGCTCAGCATATGGTGCACATGGTGGTTGAGTGAGGTTTTAATTCATTCAGTTCTCATAGTTCTGAATTCCTCAACTGTGAAATAGAAATAGCAGCCATGCCCATGTCAAAGGATTTACTATGAGAATCCAATAAAACAATGTAGGCAAAAATGGCTTTATAATTAATAAGACTTGAAGAGCCAATTCATATAAACACTAGTGATTTACAGTGGAAATTTTCTATCAGCACACATTCAAGAAAAAACAGGAGGAAAAAAGATATAGAAAGTTTAGAGAAGGGCATTTCCACAGTGTATGCGATGCCTTATCCTTCGCTAGCTCGGTATAAGAAATTTTACTGGATGCAAACATGAGTCCTCTCAGCACTGCCCAAACAACGCTGATTTAGTGTATTTCTCAGATGAAAATAAGTCAATACTTGTTGGGAAAAAAAAGACAATCAAAACACGAGCATTTTACATAAGAACCACCCTACAAATATTTTTAATGCTTGTGATTAAAAATTATAACACTATATGAATTCACTCCTACGTGGAATATAGAGAAACAAACAGATGCACTGAACAAAACAAAAATAAACTTTTAGACAGTAAGGCCAAAATTACCAGAAGCTAAGGCTAAAGAGGAATGGGTCAATTCAGTAAAAGGGGTTGACGGTGTTAAGGACAGATTTGGACGTGGGGGTGAGCTCGAGGTACACAGACAGCAAACCTGGATGATGCCCACCTGAGACTCACGTAATTTCAGGAAACAATTATTAGTTCAATAAAAATATTATCACAGAAATTAATGAAGAAAATTATAAAATTAAAGGAAATACAGTATTTCCCAAATTTTCTTTCAGTAGTTGGTATTTTGGCATCGATTCTAAGTTAATATGGATCATGGTGTGACTAAAATAGTTAAGAATGTTTATTATAGTAAATAAATTAAGGTTTACACTTGTAATTTTATCACAAGCCACATTGACTCACTCTCACTTTGAAAAAAATAGTTTTAAGGCAAGAGTCATGGCATGGACATGTGAATAATGACAATAATAAAATAATAGTTTTAAAGCAAAAAAAAAGAGAATTTTGTTTAAACAGGTATATATTAAACTAAGTTCCCAACATATTAATTATCTTTCTATGCAGTAACCAAAAAATCACACCATAGAATGCTTAAAGAACATTTTATTTATACATACAGATAGGGAGACACAAAGCAATTTCCTGATCAAAAGTATTTCTATATTTAATTGCATTTCCGTATTAGTTGGGGGGAAAATGCCACTAGTTGATCATTTCAAATGTAAATTTTTGAAAACCAGGTGATTTTAAACAAGCATACTTCTCCGAAGATAAACAGGAATATTTTTTGATGTGGTGATCCACATTTTCAGATGAAGGAATATATACAGTTGACTGGAGCTGACCAGATGATACCAACACATTTCAGGATACTTTTTACTGCACAATATGTTAGACATTTTTATAGATCACTTTCAATTTCTTAAAATTAATTGTAGGTCCAGGTGCTGAAAATCCCAAATAACAGCAGAACATAAAAGAAAATATTTTAAATTTCTATTGGCACCTTTTCTTTCCAGTATTTCAGGAAACATATTCAACCAATGTAATGGTGATTTTTGACTTAACCCCAGATTCTCCTTCAAATGCTTACCGTTCACGCTAGCTTTGAGCAGTGACAAAGCTCGTGACACAAGGCTCACCTCACATGACTCAGGGAGCCCTACCTGCAGCAGCCTAGAGTGTCAGGTAAGCGCCTTTTAAAAGAAGATTAATGACTATTATTTATAGGAGGAAAGAAGAAGATGAGAAACTCAATATAAAATTTTATACTAAAAATTAACTTTCTAGATGATAGTATATAACCAGGGAAAACAAAACAGAATTAAAGAAAAGGCACTTACCTCACTTCCCATAGACTGGTTACACGATCCAGCTGGGTCGATAGGACAACACCAGCTTAGTGGATGCTGGGATTTCACCTGGAACAGAAACTAGTGACCTATAACTTTAGCAGGTCTAAAACCAAAGAAGCAAAAATCAAGTGTATAATTTATTTTACATTCTAAGTTTCTTTTTCTTGCTGCTATTTGGGGCTATCAGCACATAACCCTACAATTAGTTCACTTCAAAATACAGATGTTTTTTGATTGGTCACCATCAAGAAGACATCCCTTTGGGTCGCTAGGAATGCTGAACACTCTTACCTGCCCCTTAGCATCTTCTGGCATTGCTTTAATGTGCATTCTTTTTAAACAACGAATTACTCCATCATAAAACTGAACTGTGAATGTTCCTGAAACAGGAGCAAGTCGGAATCATTAGAAAATATTCAATCTTACAGCAACACTTGAAATCTAACAAGTAATACCAATGAGAATAAATACTCTGTGATTGCAATAACTGCAAACACATACCCCTGTTGAGGACCCCATAGTTTATTAAGTTTGCTTTCTCTTTTCTTCGAAAATAAACTCTGCTTTACCTTAAAAAGTACACAAAACAAATTAAATCTTGGTAAGTTAACTGCCTGCAATTCTGATTTTTACTGAAGGATTTTAAAAATTATTTTGTAATAATTTAAATAAACATTTAAATTACATGGCAGGCATGTTTTAATTTGCCCAACAAATATTAAAATCATCATTTGCAAAAATGTATGCTATTTCCATAGGAATTAACTGAAAGTTCCTTTCCAAACAAGTAACAGAGAATGATCTGATAAAAGTAAAACCATTTTCTTGGGAAAGGAATAGTCCTTTAGCAATATTAATGAATTGGCAAGTAAGAATTAAAGATCACAGGCTTTTAATCTAGAAAACACTTTACACATCAACTAGATGAAAGATGAAAGTAAGCCTTTCCAAATTGGAACACCGACCCCAGGAGGGAGAGCAGGGACACTCAGCAGAGCTGCAGCGCAACCTGGCAAATACCCCTTGTCCCCATGGGCCATTCATGCCTTTCCCACCATTTCAAGCTGCTCTGAGAACTCAGGATTCTTTTTGCATGATTACCACAGAGCATATTCACTTCCTGCTACAGACTCCATGCTTTCAAGTGAATAAAAATTACACAGATTTTATACTTAAGGAAATTCCACCATTTTCTATCATCTCCTGTACAAATGAAGGCAAAGTAAACAGAAACTTGACCTTTACAAAAGAAGTATAAACAATAAATGTGATCATTATTACTGTCACTGAAGTTGGTACCAGTCAATGATACAGATACAAAGACTTTTCGTAATTTGAATTAACACCATACTGCATATTTCCCAATAATTAATGTAATGCACAATATGGCAGATATAAATATCTAAACCCATTATGGAAAAAAACTGATTAGTTGAATAGCAAGGATATAGAGAGGCTGGAAACACCCTAAAAGTGCCAGAATGCAGGTACACCTCACTCTACCATCACCCCTGGAACAGTGCTCCTCCTCCAACATGGCATTCCCGACATGGGCTGGCTCCTCACGGAGCTGAAAGGGCCTCCTCGCTCCTGCTTCTGCACACACTGTTTCCTCTGTTACTCTGCCTTCTTCCTTTCCTAATTTAAACCCATTCTTTGAGGATCAGCTCTTCAGATCCCACCAAGAATGTGAGAACTTCCCTGACCACTCCAAGCTACACTGATTTGCCTGTTCTTACTTCTGTATACAGATATCACAAAATAAATACTTTCAGTGGAGGTTTTTAAAAAATGAATTGTATCTGCCACTAAGGGCCCACCCTTACTATTCCTGAAATGACAGAAATCACAATCAGTATCATCACCACTCCACTAACACAAGCTTAATTAGCTATATTAAGAGGCCCCAGGACAAATGAAACAGACTGTTTCTGAGGGTCCTTACTTGTATGCAGGTACTCACGCATAATCCCGAGCTGCTTAAAGCATGGAAGGGAGCAGCCCACTTAAACTGCTTGTAATTAAAATGGAGACAATATTTAATTTTACTGTTTTGGGTATTCTATTATCCAACAAAACTGATTATTTCTCCCTTCCACAAACTGTTATGATCACCTACTCTGCTGGGTCTGGACTATACACATGGAGAGCCAATGTGAGAACAAGACCAGAATACAAGCTCAGTAAACCAGCTCTCCAGAGTGTGAGTGCAAGGTGAAATGGAGGCAGCACTAGCACAGAAGTCACCTGCACTCCTAACAACCGAAAGGCTGCTCACCCTGCCTGGTAGTAGGGTGACTAGTGGTAATAAAGCCACAGTGATAGCATGATTTCCATTCAATAAAACAATATATGGGAATCGGGTCTTTAAAGTTATAGCAGTTTCTTGCTAGGCAACTATGATTTTTCACAACTAACATTGTTTAACATTTCTTTTTACGTTTATTGTTAGCTTAAATACTCAGCTTAAGTCCCTCCCATTGTTCCCATGACCTCCAAATTCTTTAGCAAGATTGCAAGATACTTCATGTATTTGATCCTTGCTTCTCCATCCAACCATTTCTGCTCTTCTACTTCCCTTAAGGAATCCTTTACTCCAGTCACATTAAAGCCTTGCAGCTCCTTAAAAATGGCATGCCTCTCTTCAATTCTTTTGCATACACCATTTTTTTTTCTGGCAGAAAAGGCTTTTTTTTAGCCCCTTTTAATCTAGTTAACTTGTTTGTCTTTCAGGATTCAGTTCAAAGGAAGTGCCCTCTTAGATTAAATGCTCTCTTCTTCCAAAAAAGCGATCACTCAATATGTATTTCTTCAGTAAAAAGACTGACTGAGAGGTCAGGTTTAAGAAATAAATGTAATAGAAAACTAATGAATTGACTCAAAAAATACATTTAGAAGTATTTCACAATTTTAAGTGAGATTTTAAATAAGAAATTTTAGAAATAATATATAAGCATATTTCCAATATTAACTGAAATATTTATTCTCACACCTTTTTTAATTAATCCATCTGCAAGTTCTACTTTTTATCAAGTCAATGGATTTGGTGGTCTTACTTATGCCACATAAATATACCCGCTTTTTCTGTTATTTTTCACCTTCTGGGTGCTTCTATTACTTGTGCTCATTATCGATATCACATGTCACAAATCATTGTCAGAAAAATTAACTCTTAATTATGGATTGGAAACTATGAAAAAAAGGGTCAGGGAGAAAAACACAATAAAGGAACTCCTCAAATTCATAAAGTTCCATATTCTTTACTCAGAAAATATTGTACTGTATTTCACTTGCAAGTTGAGCTGACTGGAATGTTCCTCTATCTTCAACCTTTCATCACACTCTGGTTGATATGATCATCAAAATAATTTAGCCAACAAACTGAAAATGGAGAAGTAGGAATAAAATGCATTTAATATAAACCTATGAAATGAAAGCTGAAAAATTTTAACCATTTACCTCTCCTAGTTTAGCATTGTATCATGTTATGTATCATGCATCATCCCATCCTATGCAAAATATAACAAATTAAAAGCTCCCAAGAAGAATATTGGCAGGAAATTCATACAGCATCAAAGAAAAGAGCTATATTTAACAAGTGTATTTAAGTATTTAACTAAATTAAATATTCAACAATCACAGACATTCTTTAAAATGAGAAACACAGTTAAACTCTACTATGAAGCCACCTCACATCTCTGAGCATTTCAAACACTCACCCTCTTTGTTGATGGCTTCAATCTTGGCAGGGTAATAGCGACAGTCTGTCCAGCGAGCCAGAACTTCTTCTCCGGCTTTAAAATCCTATTTTAAATAACTTTTAAGATCAGTACCATGTATGATAAACAAAAACAAGATTTTGTAACACTCAGCAGAATCCCGTTTAGGATGAGCGCGGTGGCCCGGGGAGCTGGCTACTTACAAAGAAATCCTCCTCGTCTTTGAGTCCCTCCTTCCTCAGTGCAGGCCTCTCCAGAGGCCGCAGTCTGTTGCTGTCCCAGTAAATCCACTCATCGTAACGATGACTCCAGCGCTCAAAGTGGACCAGCATCTTGCCCTCCTCATAATCAATTTTCTCAATCCGTGACGGATACCTCAAAAATAAAGGAACTTCACATCAAATGACAATCTGTGCACTTGCTTATGCAAGATATTTTAAAAAAGATTCCCCGAAATGCTGATTACCACTAAAACAAAAACAATATGGCCCATAGTATTAAACTATTGAACCTGTCCATTTCTCATTTTTGTCTCTTTTTAAAAAAATGACTAGTCTCAAGACCTAATAAAATAAATGTTTAGATTCATTGTCAGTGTAAATTACCACACTGTTTTGGAAAGTAATAAGACAGCATGCATCAAGACACCACTTTAACCCATTAATTCTAATTCTAGAGTTACATATACAAAACATTTATAATAACAAAGAAAACAGAAACCAAATATAAGTGTGGTTACAAAAGACTGAAGATGGTAAGTATGCAGTGGTTCACCCACTGAATGGAATAGTATACAGTCCTAAGTGCAGTATTTACAAAGAACTTAGAATGCTGGAAAATGTAAAAGAGTAGCACTAGGATCACTAAAATTATAAGTATGTTAAATACATTTTCTACCAAAAAATACCAATATGTATATTTGTCTCTAACTGGCATAAGAGCAATTTGTTTTTTCTGTTTTTCTATATGTTCTTGTATTTTATAATAGGAATTTACAAAGATAGGGAAAGTGCTGTTAATCCGTAAACTTAAAAACATAAAAATAACATCACATTTTTTCTGTCTTCAGGTATGATGATTCTTTTATAATTAATTCCAAAACAGCAATTAGTTAACTCAGATCTTTAAACAAGGAAAATTGCCTTATCATCCCTAATGTATTATGTTAAATGTTCACAGATGACTCAGTTTTTTTAAGAACATTAAGAATTCACCAGTAGCACACAGATGATTCAACCATAACCTGAGATCATGTTTTTTCTAGTTTTTGAAAAATCTGGGACTTTTTCTTCTCTGTAGAAAATCAGTGTTAAATATAAAGCATGACAGACCTCACATATCCTGAAATTCAGAACAAACTCCTACCTGCTTTATAGGCCATTCATGCCGGGGCAATCCCTGAGTGGGCCCCTGGCACAGCGTCTTCCCCCACTCTGGTTTAATGATAAAACCAAAACTCACTGGGATTTTCTCAAATATACCATGTCCCGTCAAACATCGGTGCTCTTACATTCTGTTCTTTCAGTCTAGCCCTCAGCTAAGTTGCCAACCCCCTCTTTTATACACTCATTATTTAAGATGTGGTTCAAAGTATAATCATTTGTGGGACACTCCCCCCTCCCCACCACCACCACCCCGATGCTCTCACACACACTTGTCATAATCACCTCTGTACAGGGCCTGAGACTGTGTGCTGTAGAACACTTATAGCCTTGAGGCATACACACAACACAAAAGAAGATCCTGTGGTCAAACAAGCCAGGAAAATCCTGGATTAAAAAAAAAGTCACAGTTTCTTTATTGAAAGACTTCTCCCATCAACAAGATGGAGATAAAGAATTCACTACTACCAAACCTAAAGTACTACTGTGACCCTTTTCTCATGGAACATGTGTTAGCATATGAGACAATAGAGACAGAAGGGACATAATGTTAGAAGCGATTCTGGCCTGTGAGCCTGTAGCAGTGAGTGAGTCTTGTCCATCCAAGTATCCCAGAGCTTCTAACATCTGACAGCCATACACCAGCCACTCAGGGAACACTTGCCATGAACAAGACGTGATATTAAAGAAAATCACACATTTCTTCAGCACTGAGAAAGCTAGCAACCCAGTTGTAACCTTAAGCTGGCTCTTATTAGGTCTCTTTGGGGTAGAGGGTGTGGATTTAGGGGAGTGGGTGTGGGTAAGGAAATCTGTTATTAAAGAAGAGCATACAAACAAGACCTGGGAGACTCACACCTACCACTTAGAAGCAGTGCCTTAATGGCTCTTTCACAGTGCTGTTCTGATGTGTTTGTTTTTGCTACTCAGGCTTTTAAAATATAAAGATTAAAGGGAAACCCAGGGATAAGGCTGTTCTTTATAGTTTTCAACACTTACTAGCTACTTAGCTTTCATATTTTTTTAATCAATTATAGAATGTGATTCAACATCTCTAACTTCATATACTTATTATCACATCTTTTCAATTTTTTTTTTTTTTAAGATTTATTTATTTAATTATACAAGCACTGGGTACAGTCAGAAGCGCGGGAGGGTGAGAGAATTCACCAGAGCCAGAGCAGGGAGCAGAGCAGGCAGACTGACGAAGTACACTGCTGAGAGGAGCAGCAGGTGGCGGGAGAGGTCTGCATGCCATGTGGGACCCTTGCCCAGAGGCCGTGGATGGAACCGGCGCTGCAGAGGCTGCGGGCAGCTTCGCAACCCAGCACTCAACCGCTGCACCACTGGGAAGGCCCTCTTTTCAATTTTGAATAAGAAATAAGGAGCTCATTTTCTCAGTTCATTCAAATTCTAAATATACACAACTTTATATATTTGAAACATTTCTCAAAATCAGAATAGTTGACAGTAACAGTCAGATGTATAGTTTATTACTATACCATGATTCAATTCGGTAAAGAATCAGTATGAATTCAAATAATTTAAATCTGGATTACATTTTTAAGTAACTTATGGTTTTCCTAAGATAGTTTAAATACTGTTGGCTGAAAAGTTGCAACAACCAGACAAAAAAATTATATTTAGGGAAGCTTCTTCAGGATAATTTGCAGTATGCCATACTCTTTACATAAATATCTACAGACTGACATGTAAACCTCAGATGAAGGGCAAGAATCAGATAAGTAACACAGATACCCAAGGCAATTATCTATTTTAATTTTTACAGTGTTTAATGAAATTTTGAATCTCAAATAGATTTGTCATAAATATTTCTATTCTCAAGAATGCCCACATTCTTGTTCATTCCACATGTATGTGTACAACAAATAAGATTCAAGCCCTTGCCAGATACTACTGATAGATAAAAAGGAAACATAATTACTCACACCTTCCAAAGAAGTTTAGCAGAGAGTCAGATGAGGAGAGAAAAGAGTTATTTCCTAAATGCCATGTATGCACCAGGCCCATGTTCTGTCTTTACTGTCACCTGCTCTCTGCCTATAATCTCAGTAGAGCCTGGTTGCCATGCGAGGTAGAGAGAGCACAGTCCCCACAGGGGAGATGAGACTGTCCAAGGATACATGTGGGGAGTACTCAGAGTCTAACTTACTGGCACAAAAGCCTACAGGAGAAATGGGATCAGGTCTACATCAAATTCATTATGTCAAGCATGCCAGACCGGTGAGCACATACTAGAAAAACATCCTAACATCAAGCTCTAGTTATACTTTTAAAATGAACAAAATGGCAACTTAACATACATTTGTCCATAGTGAAAATGTTTCCCTGTCCTAGCAGGTGGCCCACAGAAATAATGCTTTGAATGAAAACCACCATTGAATGAATGTATTCACAAATGCCTCCTGAATTCCAGGAATATTATTTTGATGTGCTATTTATATTGTGAGTGTAAAAGGAATGTAAGAGTGCTCTTACTGAATTTGGAAGAAGTAGTGATAATGTTTTTATTTTGTCATTTTTTTTTAAGGTCTGAATCATGGAAAGCTGTTAGACTTAAGAATAGTGATTAGGCTCAGTCCCAGACACTTAGGATTCGGGAAAGAGATGAGGAGCAGGAGAGCGGGGTTTCAGAGATAAAACAATTAGAGGAAGAAGAAAAGAAACACCATAGTTGGCATCTCTTAAAGAATTCAAAAGAGAGAGAACAAGAGAAGGCAACTTCGCTAGGAATATCATTCTTTGATGCCAAAATTCTACATAAAACTCACTCCCTCATCATGTTACTGCAAAATACCGTAACATTTCCATCCTCCCTCTTTCCTACTATTACACCACTTCAAAATGCATGCGTTGCTTCAATGGTATTACTCGTGCAAAAACTAAGGGCTTGCCTCCATTGCTCTGGGTCTACCTTGCTCTCCTCGGTCTTGCACACTTGAATCCTAGAAAACAAAGCTTACTCTCAATAAACTCACAAAAAATGATACACCCTAAAATTGGTTCTTTCTAGCTTAGGCTTACTGGAAATGAACAGCGTTAGAAATACTGCAAAGGCTTATGAGGCTTTCTAAATTTAACACATTTCCACACATGCAATTCTACTACTGCAATCTTTCAACTGACTTCTTGGGACCCTTTTTGAAGCAAAGTCTTTCAAAGGTCAAGTTAAACTGTCACTCTAACTACAGAGTAGAACAAGACAATTACCAAAAATAAGAATTAACTTCACGTTCAGTGAACTCTTACAGCACTTTACTCTTTACTGCCTTATCTGATAATACCAGCATTTTACCGCTGTCATGTGTGTCTCCCACATGTACAAGACTGGTCAGCCAATAGCGAGATCTATGAATTCTGGATTAAATCCATAATCCAATAAAAACCAGAGAGTAACCAGAGGTTAGCCATACACTGAATATACTGCATAGACCTTTTCAGTATCAACTCTCCAGTGTTGTCAAAACACAAGAGATGATGAAAAACTGAAAATGGGAATTATTATTAGATGAACAACTCCTACTAACTCATGTTACTAAATGTTTACGGGGGCAGCTCCTGACCCTCCCAGCAGGTCAGGAGGCTGTGATTCCCTGGGTTTGTATACAAAATGTCAGATGTTTGGTAGAGAAGTGTCTGAGTATTCTTTCAAGGTGGAGGTTACCCAGATTAATCGGATTTACAAAGGGGTTCATGATCATCCCTCACCCCCCAAATTTTATCTGTAAGGGAAGATGATTTGTTAACAATCAAACTACAGCTGCTCCATTATCCCTGGGAAGGAGAAAGACAACCAACATGCAGCTCTGCCAGAAGCATAATGTGACAAAACCACTGAACATTATTTGAATTGAGGGAACTCATACTGAGTTGTCATCTAGCTTGACATATCCAGATTTTTACCTGTATCGATAAAGAAAGAATGCCAGGAGAAATCAAGGGAAATTCCTTGAGACACTTACGGCCTTGAAA